ACGGTGTGTTGGGGGGGGAAGAAAGAGGGGGGCTAGAGGGGAATTATCACCTTCTGGCGCCTCACCCGCTCCATCTTCTTGGGGAAATTTGCCAGCTTCGCCACCTCCAAGGACGGCACAGGCACGGTGTGTTGGGGGGGGAAGAAAGAGGGGGGCTAGAGGGGAATTATCACCTTCTGGCGCCTCACCCGCTCCATCTTCTTGGGGAAATTTGCCAGCTTCGCCACCTCCAAGGACGGCACAGGCACGGTGTGTTGGGGGGGGAAGAAAGAGGGGGGCTAGAGGGGAATTATCACCTTCTGGCGCCTCACCCGCTCCATCTTCTTGGGGAAATTTGCCAGCTTCGCCACCTCCAAGGACGGCACAGGCACGGTGTGTTGGGGGGGGAAGAAAGAGGGGGGCTAGAGGGGAATTATCACCTTCTGGCGCCTCACCCGCTCCATCTTCTTGGGGAAATTTGCCAGCTTCGCCACCTCCAAGGACGGCACAGGCACGGTGTGTTGGGGGGGGAAGAAAGAGGGGGGCTAGAGGGGAATTATCACCTTCTGGCGCCTCACCCGCTCCATCTTCTTGGGGAAATTTGCCAGCTTCGCCACCTCCAAGGACGGCACAGGCACGGTGTGTTGGGGGGGGAAGAAAGAGGGGGGCTAGAGGGGAATTATCACCTTCTGGCGCCTCACCCGCTCCATCTTCTTGGGGAAATTTGCCAGCTTCGCCACCTCCAAGGACGGCACAGGCACGGTGTGTTGGGGGGGGAAGAAAGAGGGGGGCTAGAGGGGAATTATCACCTTCTGGCGCCTCACCCGCTCCATCTTCTTGGGGAAATTTGCCAGCTTCGCCACCTCCAAGGACGGCACAGGCACGGTGTGTTGGGGGGGGAAGAAAGAGGGGGGCTAGAGGGGAATTATCACCTTCTGGCGCCTCACCCGCTCCATCTTCTTGGGGAAATTTGCCAGCTTCGCCACCTCCAAGGACGGCACAGGCACGGTGTGTTGGGGGGGGAAGAAAGAGGGGGGCTAGAGGGGAATTATCACCTTCTGGCGCCTCACCCGCTCCATCTTCTTGGGGAAATTTGCCAGCTTCGCCACCTCCAAGGACGGCACAGGCACGGTGTGTTGGGGGGGGAAGAAAGAGGGGGGCTAGAGGGGAATTATCACCTTCTGGCGCCTCACCCGCTCCATCTTCTTGGGGAAATTTGCCAGCTTCGCCACCTCCAAGGACGGCACAGGCACGGTGTGTTGGGGGGGGAAGAAAGAGGGGGGCTAGAGGGGAATTATCACCTTCTGGCGCCTCACCCGCTCCATCTTCTTGGGGAAATTTGCCAGCTTCGCCACCTCCAAGGACGGCACAGGCACGGTGTGTTGGGGGGGGAAGAAAGAGGGGGGCTAGAGGGGAATTATCACCTTCTGGCGCCTCACCCGCTCCATCTTCTTGGGGAAATTTGCCAGCTTCGCCACCTCCAAGGACGGCACAGGCACGGTGTGTTGGGGGGGGAAGAAAGAGGGGGGCTAGAGGGGAATTATCACCTTCTGGCGCCTCACCCGCTCCATCTTCTTGGGGAAATTTGCCAGCTTCGCCACCTCCAAGGACGGCACAGGCACGGTGTGTTGGGGGGGGAAGAAAGAGGGGGGCTAGAGGGGAATTATCACCTTCTGGCGCCTCACCCGCTCCATCTTCTTGGGGAAATTTGCCAGCTTCGCCACCTCCAAGGACGGCACAGGCACGGTGTGTTGGGGGGGGAAGAAAGAGGGGGGCTAGAGGGGAATTATCACCTTCTGGCGCCTCACCCGCTCCATCTTCTTGGGGAAATTTGCCAGCTTCGCCACCTCCAAGGACGGCACAGGCACGGTGTGTTGGGGGGGGAAGAAAGAGGGGGGCTAGAGGGGAATTATCACCTTCTGGCGCCTCACCCGCTCCATCTTCTTGGGGAAATTTGCCAGCTTCGCCACCTCCAAGGACGGCACAGGCACGGTGTGTTGGGGGGGGAAGAAAGAGGGGGGCTAGAGGGGAATTATCACCTTCTGGCGCCTCACCCGCTCCATCTTCTTGGGGAAATTTGCCAGCTTCGCCACCTCCAAGGACGGCACAGGCACGGTGTGTTGGGGGGGGAAGAAAGAGGGGGGCTAGAGGGGAATTATCACCTTCTGGCGCCTCACCCGCTCCATCTTCTTGGGGAAATTTGCCAGCTTCGCCACCTCCAAGGACGGCACAGGCACGGTGTGTTGGGGGGGGAAGAAAGAGGGGGGCTAGAGGGGAATTATCACCTTCTGGCGCCTCACCCGCTCCATCTTCTTGGGGAAATTTGCCAGCTTCGCCACCTCCAAGGACGGCACAGGCACGGTGTGTTGGGGGGGGAAGAAAGAGGGGGGCTAGAGGGGAATTATCACCTTCTGGCGCCTCACCCGCTCCATCTTCTTGGGGAAATTTGCCAGCTTCGCCACCTCCAAGGACGGCACAGGCACGGTGTGTTGGGGGGGGAAGAAAGAGGGGGGCTAGAGGGGAATTATCACCTTCTGGCGCCTCACCCGCTCCATCTTCTTGGGGAAATTTGCCAGCTTCGCCACCTCCAAGGACGGCACAGGCACGGTGTGTTGGGGGGGGAAGAAAGAGGGGGGCTAGAGGGGAATTATCACCTTCTGGCGCCTCACCCGCTCCATCTTCTTGGGGAAATTTGCCAGCTTCGCCACCTCCAAGGACGGCACAGGCACGGTGTGTTGGGGGGGGAAGAAAGAGGGGGGCTAGAGGGGAATTATCACCTTCTGGCGCCTCACCCGCTCCATCTTCTTGGGGAAATTTGCCAGCTTCGCCACCTCCAAGGACGGCACAGGCACGGTGTGTTGGGGGGGGAAGAAAGAGGGGGGCTAGAGGGGAATTATCACCTTCTGGCGCCTCACCCGCTCCATCTTCTTGGGGAAATTTGCCAGCTTCGCCACCTCCAAGGACGGCACAGGCACGGTGTGTTGGGGGGGAAGAAAGTGGGGGGCTAGAGGGGAATTATCACCTTCTGGCGCCTCACCCGCTCCATCTTCTTGGGGAAATTTGCCAGCTTCGCCACCTCCAAGGACGGCACAGGCACGGTGTGTTGGGGGGGGAAGAAAGAGGGGGGCTAGAGGGGAATTATCACCTTCTGGCGCCTCACCCGCTCCATCTTCTTGGGGAAATTTGCCAGCTTCGCCACCTCCAAGGACGGCACAGGCACGGTGTGTTGGGGGGGGAAGAAAGAGGGGGGCTAGAGGGGAATTATCACCTTCTGGCGCCTCACCCGCTCCATCTTCTTGGGGAAATTTGCCAGCTTCGCCACCTCCAAGGACGGCACTGGCACGGTGCGTTCAGGGGGAAGGAAAGGGGGGGGGAGAGGGGGGGCTATAGTTGAATTGTCGCCTTGTGTCGCCTCACACGCCTCACCCGCTCCATCTTCTCGGGCAAGTTCGCCAGCTTCGCCACCTCCAAGGACGGCACCGGCACGGTGCGCTGGGGGGGAAAGAAGGGGGGGGTGTGGGGGAGGTGGTTACAGTTGCAGAGGATTGCCATTTAGGATCTTGTACCCTTCGTAAAACAGTGGGGGTATTCCGCACCCTTGGTCATGCTCCTTCACCCCCTCTCTATGTTCAGTTCCGCCCACTTGCTTCCATCCATCACACCCCATCCCCCACTCCCCAACCACGCCCCTCCATTCCCCCAGGGGGCAGGACATGCGCGGGGCCAGGGCGGGCACTGGCGGGGGCGGGGGGGCGAGGAGGGGGGGCGGTACACGAAGCACTCAGAGGACGAGGTGCTGCTGATGGTGCTGGGCATCATGGGCGTGTATGAGAGCAAGGTATGTACATGGCCTTTCTAATCCTCCCAGCAACCCATGGCTGTTCGTTTCATTCAGCTCAACTTGTCCATCACCTCTCTCTCTGCGCTTCTCCTCTTGTCTCGTCCTTACTCCCTTCTGCCTTTCATTCGTTTCAGGCAAGTTATCCGCCTCTGCCCCCCCTCTTGCCAGGTGCAAGCAGCCTTCACGCAGCTGGAGGCAGCGAGCACACTGTGTCCGGACGTGCGCTGTGCCGAGTGGTGGAGCAGGTGGCTCACACATGCAGCCTTTTCACGCACTCCCTTCCCCCCTCTCCCCAGGTGCAAGCGGCTTTCACGCAACTGGAGGCAGCGAGCATGCTGCGCCCACACATGCGCCGACAAGTGAGTGAGAGGGCTGCACCCTTCTCACATGCTCCTCTTTCTTTCCTCCCCGCCAGGTGCAAGCGGCTTTCACGCAACTGGAGGCAGCGAGCATGCTGCGCCCACACATGCGCCGACAAGTGAGTGAGAGGGCTGCACCCTTCTCACATGCTCCTCTTTCTTTCCTCCCCGCCAGGTGCAAGCGGCTTTCACGCAACTGGAGGCAGCGAGCATGCTGCGCCCACACATGCGCCGACAAGTGAGTGAGAGGGCTGCACCCTTCTCACATGCTCCTCTTTCTTTCCTCCCCGCCAGGTGCAAGCGGCTTTCACGCAACTGGAGGCAGCGAGCATGCTGCGCCCACACATGCGCCGACAAGTGAGTGAGAGGGCTGCACCCTTCTCACATGCTCCTCTTTCTTTCCTCCCCGCCAGGTGCAAGCGGCTTTCACGCAACTGGAGGCAGCGAGCATGCTGCGCCCACACATGCGCCGACAAGTGAGTGAGAGGGCTGCACCCTTCTCACATGCTCCTCTTTCTTTCCTCCCCGCCAGGTGCAAGCGGCTTTCACGCAACTGGAGGCAGCGAGCATGCTGCGCCCACACATGCGCCGACAAGTGAGTGAGAGGGCTGCACCCTTCTCACATGCTCCTCTTTCTTTCCTCCCCGCCAGGTGCAAGCGGCTTTCACGCAACTGGAGGCAGCGAGCATGCTGCGCCCACACATGCGCCGACAAGTGAGTGAGAGGGCTGCACCCTTCTCACATGCTCCTCTTTCTTTCCTCCCCGCCAGGTGCAAGCGGCTTTCACGCAACTGGAGGCAGCGAGCACACTGCGCCCACACATGCTCCGTGGAATGAGTGAGGACTATGCAACCTTTTCACATGCTCCTCTTTCTCCCCCCCCCTCTCTCCAGGTGCAAGCGGCTTTCACCCAACTCGAGGCAGCGAGCACGCTGCGCCCGCACATGCGCCGGGCAGTGGAGCAGGTGGCTCACGCGTGTGCTGCCCTCGCCGTCAGCGACAACGCCCCGCCACAAGCAGGTGAGGCGGAGAAAGTCTTGAGATGTCTTGACATGACTGCATCCCACTGGTTCCCATTTTCATCCTACTGACTTTCCGCTCCCCCTCCCCTCCCTTCCCCTTTCTCCCCTTTCTCCCCTTTCCAGTGCAAGCGCTGCACCAGCTACGAGTGGAGATCACATCTCGCTTCGTGAGCCGAGTGTGTCTGCTCACGCGCGGCACCTCAGCAGAGCTCGTGGCGGACGAGGACTGGCGCCCCGTGCCCTCTGCGCTGCGCATGGGGTCGCCCCAACGCCCACCCTCGCCCGATCCGATCCCTCTCTATCCCATGCCCATTCCCCCTCCTCTTCCTCCCTCCTCTCCTCTTCTCCCCTCCCCCTCCCTCGACAGTGCAAGCGCTGCACCAGCTGCGGGTGGAGATCACGTCGCGCTTCGTGAGCCGAGTGTGTCTGCTCACGCGCGGCATCTCAGCAGAGCTCGTGGCGGACGAGGACTGGCGCCCCGTGCCCTCTGCGCTGCGCATGGGGTCGCCCTTCGCCATCTCCTCCTTCCCTCTGCGCCTCCGAGACCGCCTCGCCAACGCGTTTGAGCACGTCACTGCGTGAGTGGGGCTGGGGGGGGGGAGGGGTGGGGGGGAACGGGTTTGAGGCGACTCAAAGGACGAGGAGGACTGGCGCCCCGTGCCCTCTGCGCTGCGCATGGGGTCGCCCTTCGCCATCTCCTCCTTCCCTCTGCGCCTCCGTGACCGCCTTGCCAACGCGTTCGAGCACGTCACTGCGTGAGTTGTGTGGTGGCACATCCTTGCCTTGCCTTATGTTGCCGTAGGACCTTATCACTTGCTTTGTCCAGATTTGATAAGTGCTGATCCCACCCAGTGCGGGGCAGCCGCCCATGCCTTGTCAGGCTCCTTCACCCCCCTTTCCTCTCTCTTCGTTCCCCTTCTCTGCACGGCAGTGTGCTGACGGACGTGGCAGACGAGGAGGAGTTGATTCCCCCCAGTGCGAGGCAGCTGCATATGCCTCAACCTGACGCCTCCTTTCCTCCTTAAAACATCTTGTCCCTCCCCTCCCCCTCCCTCTTATCAGAGTGCTGACGGACATGGCAGACGAGGAGGAGCTCATCCCACCCAGTGCGAGGCAGCTGCCTGTGCCCTGTGTTGACCGGATTCATTCACTCATCTTCCCCCTCCCCCTCCCTCTGTGCAGAGTGCTGACGGACATGGCAGACGAGGAGGAGCTGATCCCCCCCAGTGCGAGGCAGCTGCCGGGCTTCCCGACAGCGGATGAGGTGGAGGAGGCCATTCGCCTCATGTATGACTCCGTTAAGACCACCTTCGCCCAAGCCTTCCAAGATGCATGCGGTGAGTGCGGTGCAGTGTGGTACGATATGGTGCAATGCGTTCCAGTTCAGTGCAAAACGGTGCAATGCGGTGCAATGTGGTAATGTGCATCAGCTGCCGGGCTTCCCAACTGCGGATGAGGTGGAGGAGGCCATTCGCCTCATGTACGACTCCGTCAAGACCACCTTCGCCCAAGCCTTCCAAGATGCTTGCGGTGAGTGCACTGCAGTGCGGTGGAGTGCGGTTGGATGAGGTACAGTGCAGTACAATGCGGTTCGACACGGTGCAATGTGGTGCAGTGTGCGGCAGCTGGATTCGACAGCGGATGAGGTGGAGGAGGCCATTCGCCTCATATACGACTCCGTCAAAACCACCTTCGCCCAAGCCTTCCGAAACGCCTGCGGTGAGTGCGGTCGTATGCAGGGCAGGCAGTGCGGTACGATACGGTGTACTGCAGTGCAATGAGGTGTAGTGCAGTGCAACATGGCGCAGTGAGCAACAGCTGTCGGGCTGTTTAACAGCGGATGAGGTGGAGGAGGCCATTCGCCTCATGTACGACTCTGTCAAAACCACCTTCGCCCAAGCCTTCCAAGACGCCTGCGGTGAGTGCAGTGCGATGCAGTGGGATGCGCGCCAATGGCTGGTAGACGCCTTGAGTTGCCCTTTACAGGGAGCTGTCACCACTGCCAGTGCTCATGCAGCCGCCATCAGCAGCGGTGGTAAGCCTAGTTGAGGCGCGCCCAAGTTGCTCTGTCTGTCTCCCACGCATTTTTCCCCGTGCACCCGCCACAGATGCCCTGACGAAGCTATCCCAAACGGCCATCACCACCACCCCCCCTGACGCAGCTGCCACCAGCAGCGCCGCTGAGGGAGCAGGGGAGGCAGGGGCGGAGGGCAGGAAAGAGGGCGGGGGGGACGGGGCTGCTGCTCCCGCCCCCCCTGCTGCTGCCGTGCCGTCTGCCAATCCCGATGACATCCCGGCTGAGCCTTATGTGGGGCTCAAGGTGAGCACTAAAGCGGGAATTGTGAGGTGGGGGATGGGGCTGCCGCTCCCTCCCCCCTGCTGCTGCCGTGCCGTCTGCCGATCCCAATGACATCCCGGCCGAGCCTTATGTGGGGCTCAAGGTGAGCACTAAAGCGGGAATTGTGAGGTGGGGGATGGGGCTGCCGCTCCCTCCCCCCTGCTGCTGCGGTGCCGTCTGCCAACCCCGATGACATCCCGGCTGAGCCCTATGTGGGGCTCAAGGTGAGGCTTATAGCGGGGATGAGGAGGCTTGGGATGGAACGGTCTTGGATGTGGGTGAGAGGGCTGTAGCTTGAGTCGTTTCCGACCTCAGTGCCCATAGACCGAGGCCCAATGCCTTCCCTGCCTGTCCGCATCGCAGCACTCTTATTATCTCTTGATTCACCTCAGAATTCACTGCCATCTACCCGTGTGCTTGCGTGCGTGCGTGTGCATGTGTATGTGCATGTGCATGTGCATGTGCGTGTGCATGTGCATGTGCATGTGTGTGTGCATGTGTGTGTGCATGTGTGCATGTGTGTGTGCATGTGTGTGTGCATGTGTGTGTGCATGTGCGTGTGTGCGTGTGCACGTGTGTGCGTGCGTGTATGCACAGGTGGGGGAGGAGCTAACAACAGCGGACCAGCGGCTGCTCATGCTGCTCAGCAACTGTGGTTCAAAAGCCCTTCTCATTGTCCTCTCTATATATATGTGTGCTTCCGTGTGTGTGCGTGTGTGCATGTGAGCACAGGTGGGGGATGAGCTAACAACAGCGGATCAGCGGTTGCTCATGCTGCTCAGCAACTGCAGCTCAAAAGTCATTCTCATTGTCCTGTTTGGATGTGTGCATGTGCTTGTGCGTGTGTACTCGCACAGGTGGGGGAGGAGCTAACAACAGCGGACCAACGGCTGCTGATGCTGCTCAGCAACTTCAAAAGCCATTCTCATTGTCCTGTTTGCATATGTGTGTGCATCCCTGCATGCTCGCACTCGCACAGGTGGGGGAGGAGCTAACAACAGCGGATCAGCGGCTGCTCATGCTGCTCAGCAACTGTGGCTTCTGTCGCTCCGTGCTCGCCCCCTACCTCGCCGATAAATTCACCTCGCTTTGGCTCAACCCCTACAGGTGAGATAGCGTGAATCCTCTCAGATGTGCTTTCAGGTGTGCTTGTCGCTCCGTGCTCGCCCCCTACCTCGCTGATAAATTCACCTCGCTTTGGCTCAACCCCTACAGGTGAGATAGCGTGAATCCTCTCAGATGTGCTTTCAGGTGTGCTTGTCGCTCCGTGCTCGCCCCCTACCTCGCTGATAAATTCACCTCGCTTTGGCTCAACCCCTACAGGTACGACCGTTGCTGCTTGTAGCTCTCGCTCTCTATGCTTTCATGGGTGTCTACGGCTGTCTACCTCGCACGTTGAATCACCTCCCTGTGTGTGAATCCCTGCAAATGTCCCCCCTCGCTTCCTGTCCCACAGTGTGGAGCTGGAGATGGTGAGTGCGACGGCGTACCGGCAGGTGCAGCCGCAGCACCAGCAGCAGCAGCAGCTGGCGGAGCTGAGGGGCGTGTTGGGGGAGGTGGAGCGCGTGTTTGAGGAGCTGGAGGCGTGGCTGGGCGACCAGTACATCGCCATCAAGGCCAACCACCTGGGCTTCGCCGTTATTAAGTACTTCCTGGAAGACGGAACCTCCTGGGCCACTGCTCCTCCTGTCCGGGTGAGTTGCCCGGGGGACTGACTTGTGCTGTATGTGTGCCGAGTGTAGGGGGAGCTGGAGGCTTGGCTGGGCGATCAGTACATCGCCATCAAGGCCAACCACCTCGGCTTCGCTGTCATTAAATACTTCTTGGAGGATGGCACCTCGTGGGCCACTGCCCCACCTGTCAGGGTGAGCTATGGCTTGCTGCATGTGCTTCCGTGGTACGTCCTATCTGGGTATTGTTTCATTGGGTTTGAGGAGCTGCAGGCGTGGCTGGGCGACCAGTACATCGCCATCAAGGCCAACCACCTCGGCTTCGCCGTTATTAAGTACTTCCTAGAGGATGGCACCTCCTGGGCCACTGCCCCGCCTGTCCGGGTGAGCTTTCCACTGGCTTGCTGCATGTACGAGCGTGTTCCGTGGTATGTCCTACCCAGGTATTGTTTCATTGGGTTTGAGGAGCTGCAGGCGTGGCTGGGCGGCCAGTACATCGCCATCAAGGCCAACCACCTCGGCTTCGCCGTCATCAAATACTTTCTCGAGGACGGCACCTCGTGAGCCACTGCTCCTCCTCGTCGCCGAGGTGGTTGGCCTTGATGGCGATGTACTGATCGTTCAGCCACAGGTGAGCTATCTGGTGATTCGCTGCTCACAGGTGTGTTTCTCCTGTGAGATTTGCAGGGATGGCATCTCGTGCTGCGCCACTGCTGTCGTGGCTTCACTTTGTGACTATGTTGGAAAAGTCGCCAGCCTGGGCATGCATACAGCGTATAGACGTAGACGAATATACGCTGTACGCAATACGCACGTACATTCGTTCGGAAAAATCCGGGCTGCCCGGCCAAAAAAAGAAAAAGAAAAAGTTCGCGCACGAAATTGGAAAATGCGTCGCGACGTCAAATTGTTCGCAACATCACAATTCGTCGACCCCACCCAACACACAAATTTGGCAAGGGGGCATTCAAATCAACCGCATTGCACCGTCCGTTACCCCGCAACTCCAACTCAGCTACACAAATGTCTCCAACCAGCCTACCTCATCTCTCATCGAGGACAAAAAGGTAATCCCTCCCAACCCTAAAACATCTCATCAGTCACGTCGTAATGCTCTTTCTCCAGTTCTCTCGATCACCTCGCAGCTCTACGATGACGCCCCCTACTGGCACTGGCACTCCCGCGAGTGCGACTAATGAGGTTTCTAGTCCCGCCTGACCGGAAAAAAGTTTTACCTGCCCGGGCAGCGTATTTTTCACGTATTCTTGAGTCACCCATTCTGCGCATCCCGTATTATACGCAAGCGTATATACGCTTGCGTATAATACGCTGGGCGCGACTTTTCCAACATAGCTCTGTGACTGCTCACTGATGCCTCCGCGCCTGCCTCTCTCCTCACATCTCCCATACCCCTCCCCTTTTTCTCCTTTCCCCTCCTTCCCCATCCCTGCCTCATTGGTCCCCACCCCACCACCCAACAGGGGCTGCGGGATTCGGCTCTCGAGCTCATGCACCCTCTCGTGGCCGTCCATGCTGAGGTCAGCATTAGTCCGTGCTAAGGTCAGCATTAGTCCATGCTGAGGTCAGCATTAGTCCATGCTGAGGTCTGCATTAGTCCATGCTGAGGTCGGCATTAGTCCGTGCTGAGGTCAGCATTAGTCCGTGCTGAGGTCAGCATTAGTCCATGCTGAGGTCAGCATTAGTCCGTGCTGAGGTCAGCATTTGTCCGTGCTGAGGTCAGCATTAGTCCATGCTGAGGTCAGCAGTAGTCCATGCTGAGGTCAGCAATTGTCCATGCTGAGGTCAGCGCTTTTTTGTGCTGATGTCAGCACTTGTCCATGCTCTGGTTCAAGCTGGTACTTACCAAATCTATGATGTGCAGATGCTTGAATAGTGTATGCATGGAGCAGCACCTACGATCCCGTATGCCCTGTGCCCATACCATGTGCGTGATACATGCCATGCCATCTCATACCATCCCAAAATGACTCACATTCCATGTCGCATGCCTCACACCCCATACCCCACGCGGCCGTGCCCCACGCCCCACACGAGGTGCATGTGGGGTGCAGGACAATTGTGGACAAGGCAACTAACACGCTGGCGGAGGGGCTGATGGACGCGCTGCAGTATCACATGCCCTGTGCCCCATGCCTTGCACGCCATGCTTCACACCGCACACCACCACATACCACCTCACATCACCCCACTCTCCACACACCAGGTGCACGTGGGGTGCAGGCCATTCATGGACAAGGCAATCAACACACTTGCAGAGGGCCTGATGGACGCGCTGCAGCAGGTGGCGTACCAACACGAGGACCTGCAGCCTCACATGCCCCATGCCCCATGCCTCATCCCCCACACCGCAATCCACCACACTCCACCGCACTCCACTACACCCCACTCACCAGGTGCACGTGGGGTGCAGGCCGTTCGTGGACAAGGCGATCAACACATTAGCAGAGGGCCTGATGGACGCGCTGCAGCACCCATATCCCCATTCCCCCATACCCTACACCGCACACCACCACACACCCCCCCACTCTCCTCACACCAGGTGCATGTGGGGTGCAGGCCATTCGTGGACAAGGCGATCAACACACTAGCGGAGGGCCTGATGGACGCGCTGCAGCAGGTGGCGTACCAACACGAGGACCTGCAGCGCCTTGACGCCAATGCCTTCTGCCAGCTCTCCCTTGAGGTCAGCTACTCTGTACCTCTCTAGGTATGCCTATTGGCATGGCAGTGGAGGTATGCCGTTGCCTCGTGCCAGCTGCTGGTTTAGGTAGGGCAACCTGTGCCTGCTGCCACTGGGAGTACCCCGCCTCGTCCCAACTGCTGCCCGCCTCCACCCAGCTGTTGTTGAAAGCTTTGCACCTGCCGCGCCTCAACGCCAACGCCTTCTGCCAGCTCTCCCTTGAGGTCAGCTACTCTGTGCCAGCTGTTTAGGCTCTCCCTCTGTGCCAGCTGTCACTGGGGTCAGGCTGCTGCTATCTGCTCCTGAAGCTTCTGCCACAGCAGCCATGGTTGTTCGCTCATATGCCATAGCAGAAATGGTTGCTAGCACTAGTAGCCGAGACACTCCACTCTCTCCCCTCCTGAACTCGTCTTTCCCCTACCTGCCTTCCCCTGCCATCCTCTTCCCCAACCGCTCTCCACCCAGCTGGACTACTTTGAAACCGTGCTGCACCCATTCTCGTCGCCAGCACTGGAGGAGATTCTGTTCCAGCTGCGCGAGATGCTGCTGCAGCGCACCCTGCAGGCGCTGCAGCAGGAGGCCGCCCGTCCCGCCAATGCGCGTGCCAGGGCTGATAGCGAGGAGCGCGACAACCACCCGCAGACCGCTGCTGACCTCAAGGTGAGGGGGGATGTGGGGAGGGGTGGATTTGGGGCATGAGGGTGCGGGGGATCACTGCAGCAGAAGGCTGCTCGACCTGCCAATGCGCGTGCCAGGGCTGACAGCGAGCGCGACAGCCACCCGCAGACCTCAAGGTGAGGCTCTTCAGAGTCTACTCAAGGTGAGGAGGGGGGGTTCGTAAGAGTAGTGGCAGTGAGGAGGGTAGAAGGGACAGCCTTCCACAGACCGCTACTGAATTCACTATTTTCTTCCGTTCTCCTTGCTCTTTCCTCCATGTCATCACCTCACTGCGTCTGGTTTCTTCCCATCTCCCCTCGACCATCGCATCAGGTGATGGCAGACAACATCAGCTCCGGCCTTCTCCCCTACGAGCTACTACACTGCATGTCCTCACTGCCCCACTGTTCATTCCCCCCTCCCTCCACCCTCCCTCCCTCCTCCCACCAGGTGATGGCGCACAACATCAGCTCTGACCTGCTGCCCTACGAGCTGCCACACTCCATGTCCTCACTGCCCACTGTTTCCTCCCCTCTCCCTCCCTCCTCCCACCAGGTGATGGCCGACAACATCAGTTCTGACCTGTTGCCCTACGAGCTGCGCCGCACCAAGGTGAACGTCTTCTGCTTCACAGGCAAGGTGCAGATAGACCCTCCCCCAGAAGAACTCCTAGTCGTCGAAACCCTCCCCGCCCGCCCCGCCGCGCCGCCAGCCGTCTACACCCCCAACACCGCCCCGCCTGCATCCATCAACACCCCGAGAGGCACCCCCGGGAATATCAACCGGACGTTTTCGGGGTCGAGTTCGGGGTCGAGTGCGGTGTTTAGTCAGCAGTCGGGGAGCAGTGCGAGAAGGCAGAGCAATGTGTCGGCTGATAGGCAGGCGACGACAGGGAGGGGGAGGGGTGAGGAGGGGTACCCGCCTAGGGTGGGTGCGAGGGGCACGGGGGAAGGAGGGACGGGAAGGGAAGGGCGGGCCCGGCGAGCCGGTGGTGGCTCGCGGGCATCCCAGGCGTATTAGAAAAGATGAATTTGTGTTTCCTTGTTGAGTTTGAATATCATCATGTCATCTATATTGCGATGTGCAGTATATTTTTGCTATTATGCTCGAACATGTTTATGCTCTGCATTGTTATCTCAAACAGGATTGGAGTACGGTAGGTGTGCATAGCTTTATCACATCTCCGGCCACCACCCCCATATCGAGTTGTTCGCTCGGCCTTCCACAAATACACCACCAGCAGCAGCTTCACTTGTCCTGCTTGTCGCTGCTTCCACACCCACCACGCTTCGACGTCTTCGTTTCGCCTTCGCCCTCCGCTGTTTCCGCCGCGATCCCCGGATCCAGTCACCATGCCTGTCGGAAAGCCTCTCGCGCAGGTTGCGATGAGCGAGGCCAAGCGAAACTGGCCGTTCGTTTTTGGGTTCGCCGTGACGGGTTACCTTGTCGCGAAGCTGACCGCGTCGCTCAACCGTAAGTCCGCGCGTCGTTAACGCATAAGCCTGCCATCGCCGTTGCGGTTCTCCTTTTCCTTCTCTCTGGCTAGCTGGTGTCGTCGCTCGGTATGTTCAACCGCCTTTTCATTTACTCCTAGCACAATCCGATCCGTTGCCCCGCGCAAACCCTAACGTAGCGGAGAATAAGGTTTACAGCAGGCGCTTGCGATCTCGTACCCTGATCACGCTATATTCGTTTCGTCATCTCGTACCAAGCCATTATCCTGTGCTATGCCACCATTTCGTGCCATCTCACCATCCCATGCCATCTCATAGTTCCATGCCATCCCCTCCGAGCACTCTTTTCCTGACCATCAACCTACTCCGTCTGCCTCCCTCCTCCCCTTCCCTGTCCTTTTTTAAACACACTCTTCTCCTACCCATCAACCGTTCCTTCGTCCTCCTCTTCTTCCCTTCTTTCTCCACCCATGACTCAATGCCTCCCTTACACACCCTGTTCTCGTTTACACATCCATCACCGTGCTGTTGCGCAGAAAGGCAAATGAAGGCTGTCCATCAGTTCCCTATACGCGGACGGCTTTTCATTTCCTCATCACACACTTTCTCTCCCGTGCTCTATATTCTCTGCCCCGTGTTCCCTTCACATTCACAGCCGCGGATGCCCAAAAGTCTCCTTTTATCAACGTGAACGCACACAGGCGAGTACCAGTCTATATGGGGAAGAAGGGGGGATGGGGGAGAGGAGGAAGAGGGAGGGGAGGAAGAGGGGGAGTGGAACGGGAGGGAGGGGAGGGGGGGGAGGGGAGGGAAGGGAGGGGAGGGAGCAGAGGTGGGGGGAGGAGGGCGAAGAATTGGGGAGAGGAGCAAGTTGTTGTATTGTTATTCCTGACCGGACTGAATGCTGGACCATCATATCTGACATGTCTCATCTCATGTTCTCTTTTGTTTGCTGTTGCAGATGAATGTTGTGTTTACTGATGTGATGGCGTGGCGCCCAAGTTTCCGGCAGTGTTGCCTGTGGGAAAGTAGGCCATGCGTGCATGCATGACCACATGGTTTGTCATCATGGCACGATGAATACGACGTTGTATTGAAGTACTGTTCCGGGTGGCACTGCCACGTCCTTGCTAAGTGTTGTGCTTAATTGTTTAGCTAGTGTGACAATGATTCTTATGGTGTGCTAGCAAGCACGAAAGCTGGCCAATCAGACAAGCACCTTCATGGGGCAAAAAAAAGACAGCAACTGGGAAGCTCGACCATGGATTGTAGGTGCCATGGTAAAGGCATTAGCTTGGAGTTTCGTCTAGGCATTACGTAGGCTATTGTCTACACAGTCACTGCACTTCCTCTTCGCCTGAGCTCCCTGGTCCAGATACTGGTAGCTAGCAGCAGCAGCACCCATAGGAGCTTCTAAGGAGCCTCACAGGAGCCCTTCAAGTGCTGTAGCCATCCAGCCACAGCCACATGTGGCGGTGCTCCCTGCCCTCTTACGCCAGTGCCTCCTGACAAGAGACCCCCTCCCTCCGCTCTGAATTGCCGCACAGATTCGCTTGCCCCTCCCACTACCTCCTGGCATCAATATGAGCTGCTGCCCCCTCCGTTTCCCCCTGCTCCCCTTGTTCCAGTATTATTATTATTACTTGTCGTCGGCAGTATTTCACCACAATCCCCCCTGACCTGACAGCCATGACCCCAGATTTGTTTGCCCGTCAGGGGGGTCTCTCTCGAGGCCCTCACGCTGGAAACGTGGTGGTCTCGTAGTAACCCGAGCCTCCCCTCCAGGAGCTTCCGGATTGGGTGGAACTCTTTGCCGACCCTACTGGTACCGAACCTCCTGCTGTCATACCAGGGGAAGTGGATGGGATTACGAGAGGGCAGGTGAGAGGAGGTGAGCTCGAGGAGAGAGGGAGGGAGGTTGATGTTTCATGCAAAGTGAGTAGTGCAACTTCAGTGGAGAACCAGGAGGCGCTTCTGGCATGGACGGTAGCGCTTTCGTTGGAAATTACAAGGAGAGAACTGGGGGAGAGAGAGAGGGAGAGAGAGAGAGAGAGAGAGAGAGGGAGAGAGAGAGAGAGAGAGAGAGAGAGAGAGAGAGAGAGAGAGAGAGAGAGAGAGAGAGAGAGAGAGAGAGAGAGAGAGAGAGAGAGAGAGAGAGAGAGAGAGAGAGAGAGAGAGAGAGAGAGAGAGAGAGGCATGTAAGTCAGCCGGGATAGATCCTGATCCTACCTTCACCTGCTTGCTTCCCCTCGCTGGGCGGCGGGCGGCAGAAGAGCACGAGAAGAAGAGTCACCACTGCAGCCAGCAGGGTAAATCCCCCAACCACGATGCCAATGACGGCTCCTGTGGATAAGGTCTCTGTATGCATAGCGGCATGGCAGCATGGGATGCATCGTGGGAAATGGGTCATGGGGAAGCATGGTGGGGTTGGAATGCAGTCAGCTCGAATGCAGAGCGCTTCGCACAGGGCGCAGGGCAGAGAGCAGGGCGGAGCTTAGGGGAGTGCAGCGCGGAGAGCAGGGCGGAGCTTAGGAGAGTGCAGCGCAGAACTCAGGCGACCAACCCAACGTCAAATCCTGCAAGGCGGCCCGTTAAGGCGGTGACACAGTAGGTGGTACCTGGTGAGGAGTTGAGGCGTGAGGGGAGGGAGAATGCCTTACTAGGGGAAGAAGAGCCTGTTTGGTTGGCGGTGGAGTCTGATGGCGTTGCTCCCTGCGCCTGTGGTGGTGGCTGTGCCTGCGCCTGTGGCGGTGGAGGTGGCTGCGCCTGTGGCAGTGGAGGTGGCTGCGGTGCTGCTTGTGAGCCGGGCGCAGGCGCTGAGCCTGACGGTGGAGCTGGGGAAGGTGGCGCAGGCTCGGATGCTGGTGCAGGCTTGGAAGGTGGAGCTGGGGAAGGTGGCGCAGGTTCGGACGCTGGTGCAGGCTTGGAAGGTGGGGCTGGGGAAGGTGGCGCAGGCTCGGATGCTGGCGCAGGCTTGGAAGGTGGAGCTGGGGAAGGTGGCGCAGGTTCGGACGCTGGTGCAGGCTTGGGAGGTGGAGCGCCGGAAGGTGGCGCAGGCTCGGATGCTGGCGCAGGTTTGGAAGGTGGAGCTGGGGAAGGTGGCGCAGGTTCGGACGCTGGTGCAGGCTTGGAAGGTGGAGCTGGGGAAGGTGGCGCAGGTTCCGACGCTGGTGCAGACTTGAAAGGTGGAGCTGGGGAAGGTGGCGCAGGTTCGGACGCTGGCGCAGGCTTGGAAGGTGGAGCTGGGGAAGGTGGCGCAGGTTCCGACGCTGGTGCAGGTTTGGAAGGTGGAGCGCCGGAAGGTGGGGCTGGGGGGCTCGGCAGAGAGGGCGGAGCAGGCGAGGTAGCGGGAACAGGCGGAGCAGGCGAAGGCGATGTAGGCGGAGCAGGCGAAGGCGAAGTAGGCTCAGCAGGCGGGAGAGGTGGGAGAGCCGGGAGAAGCGGGATTTCCGGGACGGGAGAACGTTTCGGACGGCGGCGCGGTGCGCGCGCGGCGGTCGCTTCCAGCATTCGCCGATTCGGCAGCAGCGGCAGATTCCTCTGCCGCGCGACCGGACCTTCCGCTCCGGTGTCGTCCAGCATTGCGCGCCGAGCCCAGCTCGTCTCGTCGTCTTCATGCCGCAGGTTGCCATGGTGCCGGGTCTCTGCCACAGCACGCCGTGTTCGAGGAGAAATTATCAATCGGAACTTAGTGAACCGCAATGGCGTATTCCTGGGTAATTTGCTAGCGTCAACAATTGGCCCTATCGCAATTTCAGCGACGAACATGAGAATGAAGATGGCGAGTAAAGAGATTTCAAGGCGACATTTGCAAGTCATGGCGGCCAGAAACCTCTAATCTCTTAATGGAATGGATGGAGTAACGGGAAGAGAGAACCTGGGAACAAAGACAGTGCTCGTCTCTGGAATAAATATCTGCTGGAAAAACCTCTTGCTGGTGCTACTAGTAGCATCGTTGGGAAGGGATGAATAATTACGTTGTTATGAGCACGGGCGGATGAATTGGATGAGTTCGGTAGAAAAACGGGGCGCAGCAATTCGCCTTGATGTTGGTTCTGAATCGAAGTGTGTCAACTCCGCAAATAATGTTGCGGCTCGGCTGGAGCCGACTCGCGACTCCATTCGGGAATTCGAGCGTTCACCAATAATTGTATACAAAACAGCTCGCCTCAAAAACACGACACTAGAAATGAAACACAGGACAAACCTTGCTAAAGCATTAGATTGACACTCCTGACCCAGATGGGTTAGATCTCCAAGGTCCCATGCCAGAAGCATCTGATGCAAGCTCACTGATCTGAGCTATTTGCTCATCAAGTGGGATTGCAGCTTCTTTGACAACGCTCGATATTTCCGCATCCACCATATTAGCAGCTACGTTCTCCTCAACTCCAAAACATTCCTGCTTCATGTTCTTTAGCTCGGTGTAAATCTGGCTCATGGTCGGGCGATTTGCAGTGGGGAGAGAAGTGCAGGTCAGGGCGAATCGAGCAATGCGCAGCATGAGATCGTCGGGAATGGGGATGTCAAGGCGAGGGTCTTTGAGGCTGTTGGCATCGCGAGCAAGCACATGATGATCGGCCTGCGAAACAAGCAGAGGGAATATGTGGACAGGTAGCATGGACATGGAAAGTGTGTCAATTGGGCCAACAAGCTCTCAGGGTTATGAGCCTTCTTACTCATGTCATGCATGTGAAGTTGAAACAAGTCAGTTAGTCTATCAAACTACCCAGTTAACACGATACTATTGTAAACTTACCCAGTCTTTAATGTTGATTTGCTGTTCGCCCGTGCCCATCATCGCCCTCTGCCCAGTCATGACCTCCAGGATCACGATTCCATAACTGCAAGCAAGCACATGGATATCAAGGAATGCATACACATGAGGTAAAGAAAATTGTACTGCCATACGTAAGCGCTTGTATGAACAACACATGCAAAGGGGGAGCATGGACACACATGAACATGAAAGCATGTTCCAAAAAAAAGGAGTCGTTACTGTACCTGTAGACATCGGTTGCCGTTGTGGCCCTGCGAGTGCGAGTGTACGCAGGGTCGACGTAGCCGGGCGTGCCGAGGATGCGGGTGGTGCCGACGGAGGTGCCCTCGCCCATGCGCACGAGGCCAAAGTCGGCGACCTTGGCGTGCATGTGGCGGTCCAGCAGAATGTTGGCGGGCTTGATGTCGCGATGCACGATGCCAAAGCTGTGCAGATACTCCAGCCCGTGCGCCGCCCCTATCAGCACCGCAAACCGCTGCGACAGCGTCAGGGTCTTGGGCGCCTCTGAATTGGTGGATAGTACAATATGCACATAGTAGCAGAGGAGAACACACAGAAGATATATAGATTTTTGCTGCACTTGTTTGTGAAGCGGGCTATACCAGGCAGAAAAGAAAGAAAGAAAGGAGGGACAATTCCTGGATTGCAATGGAGAGGCGCCTCACCTGGCCCCACCCAGGTCTCGAGGTCGCCGTTGAGCATGTACTCGTAGATTAGAATCTGCTCAGTCCGCTCATTTACGATATCCATGTCCAGACAGAACCCCAGCAGCCGCACCAGGTTCGGGTGGTGCTTCGATGCCATCTCGTGGATCTGAGGGTGATCAATGGGGCTTTTGATCTGAATCAATTGAAAAAAGAGAAGCAAGTTGAACGAGGAAGCGTGGAACAAAAACAGCTGGGAATCCCATCCAACACTTTACCTCTCGCTTGAAGTCGTTGATGATCACTACCGCCCTCTTCACCACCCATGGGCGGTTCGGTCCATGGGGTGGAGAGTTTGGTTGGTCCATTCATACGGATGCGCACTTCTATTGTCATTGAGTTCTCTCTCTCACCTCTCGTTTGAAGTCATTTGTGATCACTTTCGCCCTCTTCACAGCCCACGGGATGGTGGGGTCCATGGGGTCCAAAGCCCGATACACGTCCGCGTATCCTCCACTCCCGATCCTTCTCGTCTCTGAGAAATTCTCGGTGACCTGCTTGATGAGGAAGAGAGGGTACTGGTGGCACAGCAGCGGCGTGTCTGATGTGCCGCCCACGATTATCGAGTGGATGTGGTTTCCTGCTGCTCCTGCTCCTGCCCCTGCCGCCGCCATGGCTCCCGCTGCTGCAGCGGCTGCTGCTGACTCAGGGTCGTACTTAGGGTTGAGCTTGGTACCTGGAGGGACGTCTGCAGCTGAGAGTGCCACCAGAGAGAGGAGGAAACGGGAAGGTGTGAGTTGGACAAAGCAGGGACATGACTACAGTGTTATTAACGTATACCACATTCCCTAAAAGAAAAAAAAAAGATGCCTTGTAGATAAAATGAACGGTCATGTAGTGATGCACACCTTTTTGTCGCTTCTTGTTGAGGCAGAGGAACGCGGTGAGCACGACAGCAACCGTGGAGCACAGGAGAGCGATGCCGCCCGCAGCGATGCCTATGATCACTCCCGTTGAGATAGTGGCTGTAACGAAGGTGACACAAACGAGTACCAAAGGTGATTAAACTAAATGGTGAGGAGCAGTTTTTCGTTCTTGCGTGGTGGTTCTAATAAAGTGACGAATAGACGTGGAAACTGGGGCGGAAAGGGAGGCCAGAGTGTTTCAAGAAGTTTGGCAAGATGCACGTTGGTTTCAAAAAGAGCGATTTCAAGCACGTCAAAGTGGATCGACGGAGGAGCACTCACAGGACGACGATGTCGTTGATGTTGTGTTTGGCGCAGCAGGAGCGGGGGAAGAAGTCTGAGGGGGGGGGCTGGGGGATGGACTGGACGGTATAAAGGTGGGTTCAGGAGCTGGGTCAGAGCCCTGCGCGAAGGCGGAGAGGCGCAGATTGGCGGACAGCATCTGCTCCAGCAGCGCCGACCGCCGCGCCGCATCTCCGTCTTCTTCCCCCGCTCCTCCGCCTCCCCCACTCCCCTGCTCCTCCCGCGGAGCCACGTCCGCCGCGTCCTCCGCCAGCGCGCGCCGCACGTCCGCCATCCCCCCGTCATCCATGTCGACCGCGCTCTCCTGATTCTGCCACACCTCGAAACCGCTCTCACTCCCATCCTCGTAGTTCCCTGAGGTCCCGCCCTCCGACTCGGCGCCATGGCGCGGCCTCGCGTAAAACTGCCTGCGAGCGAGCCTACGGCCGTCAATGCCGTCGCGAACCTCGTGCGGGTCGGTGAACACAGCCTCTTGCGAATCATCGTCGAACACAGGATCTCGAAACGAGTCCCGCCGAACGCCGTGCCGCGAAAGAATCGGCGCGCTGCTCCTTTCCGCAGGCTCGGCGTTTACCGAACCTATCTCGTAGCCTCCGTCGCTGACCACAAACTGCGGCGGGAAAAGAAGGCTCGAGATCGTATGAACGTTGTACTTCCTCGTCTTGATCGCGTTTGCTCTCGTTACAGTCACATTGGCGACGGAAAAGCTGTCTGAGCCCATCTGCAGCTCCACGGGTGTACCCAACAGGGTCGGCTTTAAGCCATTCCACTCAAACGGGGATACTTTAGCGGGGATAAAATGATACATGAGTATTTTGCGTAGCGTTTCCCGGTTATCGGAGGACTGTAGGCCCGCGAGCGCAGCAGGGGAGAGCGACAGGAGCGCATCGTTAGAAGGCGCGAAGACTGTTAACGGGGATGAATCGTGCATCTGAGGAACGTCTTCTAAAACGCCGGACTCTCGCAACAAATGCGCGAAACCCGTGAATCCGTCACTTGTCAGGCGCGCCGCTAAACCCTCATCCTCTACAGTATCTTCACTGACAGCAATGTCCTCGTTCTCGGCGCCATTCCTGGCAGAATTTGCGGAAGGTTTGTCTGGGAGATCTTCTGCAGGCGAATGCGTCGTCAATAAGCCATCTTCGGCCGCCGTCAGCAGTTCTGGGTGGGGCTGAAAGTTTCCGGGAAAACGTCCTGTCGCTGCCACGCCATTTGTCACGATACAAGTGACGAGAAAAGTTACCAGTAGAATCAGCCGGAGGAGCCTCATCTCGTAGTTTTCCAGGGAGGTCTAGGGATTTTCGCCTGATCTGTTCTCCTAATGCTACGGGGTTGTACAGGTGCAAGGAACCAAGAAGATGTGCGAGCTGAAATGCGCGAGAATCCTGTCATGGCTGCTGAACAAATATAGCGCCTGCTTGGTTCTAATCTACGCAGCGACGCGCTGTGCTTGTGTCGCAGTGCCGCGTTGTTTCTCGAGTTGCGTTGTGCTTTCCGTGACTGGAAAGAAGGCCTTGCCACATGGCCGACTGATCGTTTTCCTGAGCTGGCTGTTGTGACTGGGCGGAACGCTGTGCCTCGCTGTGTCAATTTCAGGGTGTTCGTTGCTGGTCACGGTAGTGCAAAGGGTCACTGCTTGGTTTGAGGCAGGCTCGGTAGAGACGAGGCTAACTGCCAGGTCCGTATCTGTCTTTCTGGTTTGCGTCTGGGCCAACATCATAGACATGCAAATTAGTGTGGTAACCCTATCCAATGGTATGCAAAACCGTCTTACCTCTGTTTGCAAGTTATTGACATGCTGCCCTGATAGCGCGTTCGTTTTTAATTCAAATTTGATCTTTACCGCGCTTGCCTTCGCGCTAAGACGTGATTTCTTCGGGCCAAGAAAAAAATAAAACCCGATCGGAAAGGGATGCGTCAGGGAGGCATCAACCCTAAAAACAATGTCCTTTCCCGTGTTTAGGGTTGATCCCTCCCAGAAATGCGTCCAGGTCGCTAGGGGTTTTATTGTTTTTCTGCCCTGCCCCTACATTTCCCGGTAGCAATATATTGGTCCAAATTAATGTTATCGAAATGGACCCCGTAGCCTTTCATTCCAGTGGATTTTTCGTCACATTTAGCGGAAAATAGTAGCCGGCAGGAATATTTTTTAGGCGCCGAACAAGACGCGGGAAGAACCACGAAAATAAGAAATCGAAAACGCAACTGATTCTATCACATATTTTCTTCCTTTTCTGTGCTGCGTCAGCTGTTACAGTGTTTTGAGTGGCGCTACCAGACAATTTTGCGCAGCAGAACTGGGGTATCGACGGTTTTGCATACCATCGAATAGGGTTACCAGACTGATTTGCATGTCTATGATGTTGGCCCTTTGCGTCAGCGCATCATTGAATCAGAACTCACACGCGGCGACGGCTGGCCAACAAACCTACCCTTTGAGCTGTTTGATTGGTCCGCTGAGACAGCTTCCACGCTGTGCCGAACGTAAGGGCGCCACACTCTTCATACTTGTTGGCGGTTTGACAAGGCTTTGTCACTGGTTTGACGTCAGGAAACTCGAGCGACTCTGTGCGCAAGAAGATACCATACAAGATAGACGTAGATGTGCTGAAAAAATACTGCGGTAGAAACCAAATCCTCTATATGTGGGTGTCCTTTGGCTTTTCAAAAGCTCGTATTTCTGAGGCTATATGCTATAATCGGGCATTACAACATAGCATAGAGCCACTATTCTGTCTTCCCCCCAGATCTTGAAGGATTTGATCTCCAAGGACTCGTGCTGAATTCAGCCGATTCAAGCTCATCAATTTGAGCAATCTGCTGATCAAGCGGAATAGCTGCTTCTCCTACAGCTATCGATATTTCTGCATCCACCATATGAGCAGCCGAATTCTTCTCAACCCCGAAGCACTCCTGTTTCATGCTCTTTAGTTCCGAATAAATCTGGCTCATGGTTGGGCGATTTGCAGTGGGAATTGAAGTGCAGGTAAGGGCGAATTTAGCCATGCGGAGAATGAGCTCGTCTGAAATTGGGATGTCCAGCCGGGGGTCCTTGAGGCCGTTTGCATTGTTGGCAAGCACGTGCTGATCGGCCTGAAAGAGGAGTTGGAGACGTTGGAGAGGCAACAACCAATGAGACAGTGGCAGCTCATGCATATCACGTGGTGATCGGAAGGCCGAGGGGGGTGTTGCGAAGCCCAAGCAAAGCACATGGAAACAGGCCTGGGGAAGAGCCCAGGGAAGTAAGCGGAGCGGATTATGGTTGAGAACGGACGGCGTGAAAGAGAAACAAGGCCAGTTAAGACAACTACCGCACAAAAGCTGTATCGCAATTTCCCTATCCAGCACTCACCCAGTCCTTGATGCTGACTTGGTGTTCTCCCTTGCCCATCATTGCCCGCTGCCCAGTAATGACCTCCAGGATCACAATGCCAAAGCTGCATGGTTTGCACGGGGGACATGCAAAAGCATGGGCATGAAATCACACACGGGAGCACGCATGGTCGAGCATAAATGAGACCCATTTCCACTACTGCTTGATGTAACCTACACCACCGTGATTCAGCAATTATTTATCACCTGTAAACATCTGTCGCGGTTGTGGCCCTGCGAGTGCGAGTGTACGCAGGGTCGACGTAGCCGGGCGTGCCGAGGATGCGGGTGGTGCCGACGGAGGTGCCCTCGCCCATGCGCACGAGGCCAAAGTCGGCGACCTTGGCGTGCATGTGGCGGTCCAGCAGGATGTTGGCGGGCTTGATGTCGCGATGCACGATGCCAAAGCTGTGCAGATACTCCAGCCCGTGCGCCGCCCCTATCAGCACCGCAAACCGCTGCGACAGCGTCAGGAACCTGGGTGCGTCTGGTTTCGGGTGGGCAGCAGGAGATGCGGGTGGAAAGAGTGTGAGATGGTGAAGTGGAGAATGAAGGGAGGTCGAGAAATGTGTGGATGATGGCATACAGCCACATGGCATACAGTCACATGCCATGAAGTCACATGCCATAAAGTCACATGCCATAAAGTCACATGACATAAAGTCCCATGGCATACAGTCACCAGGCATACAGTCACAGGGCATTCATTCACATGGCATACAGTCACATGGCATACAATCACATGGCATACAGTCACTTGGCATACAGTCACGTGGCATACAGACACGTGGCATACAGTCACATGGCATACAGTCACATGGCATACAGTCACATGGCATACAGGCACATGACATACAGTCACATGGCATTCAGTCACATGGCATACAGTCACATGGCATACAGTCACATGGCATTCAGTCACATGGCATACAGTCACATGGCATACAGTCACATGGCATACAGTCACATGGCATACAGTCACATAGTCTCCGGGCTCACCTGACCCCTCCCAGGTCTCGAGGTCACCTCTAGGCCTCACCTGGACCCACCCAGGCCTCTCTCCCTCTCATCGGGGGGCAGGAGAGTATTTTGCGTAAGGTTCACCTGCCCCTCACTCATTGTCCATTAAGTCTCACCTGGACTGACCCAAGTCTCGAGGTCCCCGTTGAGCATGTACTCGTAGATGAGGATCTGCTCCGTGCACCTCACCATGCACCTATCCCCCCTCTCATTGTCTCTCCGTCTCTCACCTGGCCCCACCCAAGTCTCTCCTGGCCAATTTCTGAATTGCAATGGAGTGAAAAGGCGTCTCACCTGGGCACACCCAAGACTCGAGGTCGCCGTTGAGCATGTACTCGTAGATGAGGATCTGCTCCGTGCGCTCGTTCACCTATTGCCACCATACGGCTCACCTGGTCCCCCAATAAGTGTTTCTCTGTCTCACCTGGCCCCACCCAGGTCTCGAGGTCGCCGTTGAGCATGTACTCGTAGATGAGAATCTGCTCCGTGCGCTCGTTCACCACATCCATGTCCACACAGAACCCCAGCAGCCGCACCAGGTTCGGATGGTGCTTCGATGCCATCTCGTTAATCTAGCAACAGCAAGAAAGTGAAGCGAAAGAGAGAGAGGGGATGGGAGTGCAGTGCAGACGCACATGAAGTTTATCCGCAGAGATGGTTCGCGACCCGACGGACAAGGTGAGGATTGGCGATGGAGGTAACATTTTAATTCCGTCATCTTTTTTGTGTTGGTGTACTTTCAACTAGTTTTCGGTCTATCTTGACCCAATCTGGCCCCTTGTTTGCAACATACATATTAAGGCTTAATCGCTGAAGCTCATGTTTCCCTCTAGAACGTTTTCTTTTCCTTTTTTTTTTTCCTGTATTGTCTCAATTAATCAGGTCGTTGCTCTGGAAATCGTAAGTCGGTTGAGAGACGAGTGCTTTAAGGCGGGCCGCCCCGGCACCCTCGCGCTCTCCGCGTTCCCGCGATCCACGCAGCCGCTTCTCGACAAATATATCAACAAAACGTGAGGCATCTTCTTGTACGCGCTGCATCGTGACTCGCTATGCTATTTTGAGATGCAATTGTTGCTTAACTTTTTTTCCCCAATATCTCGTATTTCTAACCGTACAGCATGACCTACTATCATTCTTGATCACTCTAAAATCGTTACCCCTTATGAGATAGTGAGTCTATCAGGTCTACTGCAAGTCACTTGTGATCACTTTCGCCTGCTTCACCGCCCACAGCACGATGGCGTCCATCCATTGAATCAACGGCTAAGCTGGTTTATTCATTACCATGCACACTCGGCTAGTCCGCGGACACTCACCTCTCACTTGATGTAGTTGGTGATCACTTTCGCCCTCTTCACCGCCCACAGGATCGGGGGGGCCATGGCATCACCTGCGCGGTACACATCCGAGTATCTGCCACTACCAATCCTGCGTGTCTCTGAACGTGTTCTCTCACTCACCTCTCGCTTAAAGTCGTTCGTTATAACCTTCGCTCTCTTCACCACCCACAGCACCGTGGGGTCCATGGGGTCAACAGGTCAGTGGGTTAATTCATATACATACATGCACACTGGGATCGTTCACGAGATCTTTCACTCACCTCTCTCTTGAAGTCGTTTGTTATCACTTTCGCCCGCTTCACCGCCCACAGCACCGTGGGGTCCATGGGGTCAACCGATCGGTGGGTTGTCATAAAGGCAACTCGTCTTGTGAACGAGCCATCACTCACTGGTAAGAACCTCACCTCTCTCTTGAAGTCGTTAGTAATGACTTTCGCCCGCTTCACCGCCCACAGCACTGTGGGGTCCATGGGGTCAACCGCCCGGTACACATCTGAGTACCCGCCGCTGCCAATCCTGCGCGTCTCGGAAAAGTCCTCCGTGACCTGCCTGATGAGCTCAAACGGGTACTGGTGGCACACCAGCGGCGTGCCTGACGACCCACCCACGATGATCGGCCGGATGTTGTTTCCTGACCCTGCTACAGATCCTGCTGCTGACCCTGCTCCTGATCCTGTTCCTGATCCTGTTCCTGCTGCTGCTGCTGCTCCTGCTCCTGTGGCCGCCATGGCTCCTGCGGCTGCGGCGGCTGCTGCTACCTCAGGGTCGTAGTAAGGGATGTTGGCTGTGATGGGCGGAGGGACGTCTTTAGCTGGGGTGGGGAGGAAGGGGAGAGGATTGACCAGGCGGAGGGGGAAAGCAGGAAAATAGGGTCAGGAATATTGAGATGATTTTTGGCTGCGAGGGTAAACTCAATAATGGATGCTATATTAGAGTGGCCTCGTCCGTAGCTGGCTGGTACAAGTGTACGCTGATGACTACAGTACCACATTGCACATGTCAGAGTGACACAAGATCGAGGTTTGAGACGTTTCCAAACTACACTACAGCACCATTTTGCGCGCGGCATATGACAAGAATACAAAACATTTAGAAGGTTTACCTTTGCGCTGTTTCTTGAGCGCGCACAGGAAGACAACGAGGATGGTCGCGACGGTGGCGCAGAGAAGGGCGATGCCACCCACAGCGATGCCAATGATGGCTCCCGTTGACAACGTGGCTGTAACGCATGTGACAAAATCGAATACTCGCAGAGTGAATGTGTAGACGGATGAACCAGGCATCATGAGAAAAACGATAAAAAAAGTCCTGGCTGCTGCCGTGGACTGGTTTGAGGGACACAGGTTCAACGTAGCAGGAACACTTGTTGGGTGTTGACGAGGATGATGCTGACGTGGACTCAGAGAAGTGACACGTGGAATGGCAATCTCGGCCGAAGCTCACTCACGGGAAGACGATGGCGGGGATGACGTGTTTGGCGCAGCTGGCGGGGGAGAAGACGAAGGCTGGTAGTAACTGGGGGGAGAAGTGGACGGTTCCACGGGAGGTGCAGGTCCGGGCTCGGAGCCCTGCGCGAAGGCGGAGAGGCGCAGATTGGCGGACAGCATCTGCTCCAGCAGCGCCGACCGCCGCGCTGCATCTCCGCCTGCCTCCCCCGCTCCTCCCACGCCCCACTGCTCCCACTGCGGAGCCACATCCGCCGCGTCCTCTTCAACCTCGCGCCGCTCGTAGTTGCTGTGAGAGATCTCGTAACGGCTTTCGTAAATTTCGCTTTCACTGTCAGATGGATCTGAGCTTCTGCTCTTCCGCTGGTCGTTCGAGCCGCCCGAATCGCCGTCCGTAGAAGCAAGGCGTTGTGAGATGAAACCTAAGGGAACCTCCTGCGGGTCAACTTCCAAGATTGCATCTCGGAACGAGTCCCGCCGAACGCCGTGCCGCGTGCGAATCGGCGCCCCCAACCTTCCCTCAGGCTCGGTTCCCGAGCCTCTATTCTTGCCTCGGTTGCTGATCGCATCCAGCGGCGGGAAAAGCAGGCTAGATATTACATGGACGTTGCAGGTCTTTATCTTAATCGCATTCGCCTTCGTTACACTAACATTGGCGACGAAAAAGCTATCTGAACCCATGTGCAGCTCCACGGGTGTACCCAAAAGGGTTGTCTCCCGTCCATTCCAATCAAAGGGAGATAGTCTAACGGGGATGAAGTGAAACTTGAGTATTCTGCGTAACGACTCGCGGTTATCGGAGGACTGTAGACCCGCGAGTGCCGCTGGGGAGAGCGAGAGGAGCGCATCGTTTGAAGGCGCGAAGACTGTCAACGGGGATAAAGTGTTTAACTGAGGAACGCCTTCTAAAACGCCGGACTCTCTTAACAAATGCGCGAAACCGGTTAGTCCGTAAGCAGTCAGTCGAGCCGCTAAGTTATCGTCGTCTGCAAGAGTGTCGTCAAAGTTGGCAAGGACGGCGCCATTCGCGGCAGCATATGCAGGAGAATTGTGTACTGACTCCTCCGCGAGAAACTGCGGAGCGAAGTCGTCCGTATTAAAGGGTTTTAAGTGGGGCTGGAGGAGTTCCGGAGCTCCTCCTGTTGCCGCCACGCCAGCCACGATGCAGGCGGCGAGCACAGCTCGAAGAGGTTGGAGGAACCTCATCGGCTTACAGGATCGCAGATGCGAAGGAACACGCTTCTAAGAACAATTTTCTCGAAGGGAGATTGCATCGCCTGGAAAGCAAGGGGGCCGGGGCCGATTGTGCGGGTCGATGTAAATCAAGTCCTGGTGCAGAGTGTGTCTATACTGGCAGCTGATTGTGCTTGCGCTTATGTGTGATGTCCCGCTTTTCTCATATCTCTTGGCATTTCGAAGTTGGCACACCTGAATGGCATTGCCTTGCCCCCCAAATGCTGGTTTGACATCTGCCCCAGCAGTTCCGTCGCGGAAGCTTGCACGCACGCTACGGACAATTCGAACTGCGATCTCATTTTCCCAGTGCGGGTTTGCGAATGTAATCTTTTCGGGCAGAACCACGCGGCTGCCCGTGTTTAGGCTTGGGGCCTCCCCGTTTGGCAAGCGGAGGTTCAGAAGTTTTTGCTCTGAACCAGGCTTGCCAGCGCCAAGGTGTTGGCTGGCGAAAACCTGGATTTCGTGCGGACACTTTTCCTCCGCAGTAACTGGTCGCCAGGGTTTCGGGTTTCGGGTGGCAAATGTGTACCGTCGCTTTTATGGTTGGGGCTCCCCTAATTGCATGCCATTGGGATGGGGTTTATTTTTTTTCTGACTGCGGGCAGATTGCGACCCATCAGCTTCTTCCAGGCGGACTGTTAGGGATTGCATTAGCGAACCGCGCTGGCTAAATTAGATTGCAACTGAAGTTGTCCCGTCGTTCGTAGCACCTCGCGTTCATCCTGACCCAAGGCTCGATTCCTGAGCTGAAGCAGGCTCTGGCTTGCCGAGCCTGAAGCCCAGGCTGTTCCAATATGCGTGACGGTTTCGAGAGGCTCTGTGGTGGATTCTGAGCGCCAGACCTCGGTATTATTGGTTTAGTGGCTCGTCGTTACTGTTTGTACCACGGCTTTGCCGAGCTTCAGGGCGCCATGGTTTCGGCTGGTTGGCCTAGAACCCAAATTAGGCTCGGAACATCCAAACGTGCAGAGTGCCGTGCGAGGCATGGATGTGACTGGCTTGCCCGTGTCGCTGAGGCATTGTGCGACTCCATGTGACGGCGCGGAATGGGTATGATGAGTGTGATGCCTTGTAGCTGGTTCACCGATTCGTGAACAGTAGGCTACACTAAGCATATTACCGAGTGACAAGCGTAGAACTTCATATAAGTTCATAACCCCTACAAAAAAAAAACGAACAAATGTTACAGTGATTTTCTCAAATTATTATTATAAAAATTAGTACCCTATTTTCACGGTTCTCCTACCCTAGTTAGAACAATTAGTACGGTGAGGTGCGTTTTTTCAACATTGAGGAGTCATATTTTTTAGTGAATATATGGTAATGGTGTACTTCACGCACTGAACCTGTTCGAGTCTGTTCGTGTTTGCAACATCCCTCCCTCGCCATTGCCGTGAACCTTACGCGTTCTTCATGCGGCGAGGATGACTGCCAAATGAGTTCGTGCGCGGAAATCTACGGATTCTGTGAGGGAGCAAGGTGTCTCACCCGTTGCGCTGAAGTTTCGAATCAACTTCTTGATTAGCTTGGCAGAATATTTCGTCCTACGGCACCGTATGGATATTTCAGGGCTAGTTACGATCAAATGAAGGCTTCTCAATTCCACGATTGACATAATACCGTCAACATAATACTTGTTTTAGAAGCCTTTATTTTCTTGCGACGTGGCTGTAGAGATTGGATCTACCATCGTAACCGTGGGTGCATTATCTGCTTCGAAGACTTTCCGTGTTCAGGCTGAATAGGCAGGTGTAATGGCTTCGGATGCTGCGTTTCTGCTTCCCGGTATTCATGACGACGCTGCGTTGATGTGCCTGGCGATGCTGCCACGTGGGTGCTACGGCGTCTTAAAGTGCGTCAATCGTCGCTGGAAGGCAGCTTTAGAAGACGAGCATCTCTACAGGTAGGATCAGGAGTGACATGGTAGCTGACGTCCACCACACAATTTTGTAGTTTTTTGTCGATTTCTTAAAAAAACTTCAGAAACATTGTGTTGAGCTGGTCTAACTCGATTTTTTGTCAGCCACGCAATGTACGAACTTGACTCGCCGAAACATTTGTTCACTAATTTGTTTTCTGAACTCTTTCCCGCATGTACAGTCTCAGGGAAGAATTGCAACGCCAGGAGACCTGGGTGTACATCAATGTGTACCACCACCCTCCCCCTTCCACCACCACCGCTTCCCCCTCCTCTTCCCACTCTTCCTTTCGAGGAGGCAAGCCACCCAGCCAAATTCGTGTGGACTCACTCTACGCCTTCTCGCCTAGTGAGCTTTTCTAGTGTTTTCAACGCACTTATTATTACTTAATTTGCTTCTGCTGTGTTCGGCTTCTGTCCATGTTCTTTAGATTTTAGCATATTTTATGACACAATGCTCTGAATCACTACATGCATGTACCAACTATATTCACGCATGTTCCCCCACTTTCCCCATTACTTACATAATTATAGTACAGCTCCCCATCCCTGACTTACCATGTTACATTCAATCGCTTCCTTTGCCATTCATTCCTTTCAGTTCTTGATCGATGGTTTCGGTTAAGCGAAAGTTCATCTCCCCGCTCCTCTCGCCGCATCAAGACAGTAGCAGTGAAGCACAAGCAGTATATCTTCGGAGATGGCCTTGTTATCCGTGACGCTATCACTGGCGTGTGCACACGTGGTCCCCAGTTGCCATCGGATGCTTTCCTCAACATGCAACTGGCAGCTTCTGATTCGCATGTTGTCCTTGTCAGCACAACACCACAGGTATGTGTTTTGCGTGCTTACCAGGTGTGTTTGAAACGTTTGTAACATTGCATGGCCAATCTTGGCAGTGCCTGAGATATATGTTGACATTGCTTTTTATATTGCTTCATCTGCCAGTTGTTTTATGTTGCAACTTCTCAGCCCTTCACTGATTCTTCCCCTCTCTCCATCACTTTCTTCCCCATCATCCTTTTCAACCCCCTCCTCCTCCCCCCTTGGTTCTTGCCCGGGTTGCACTGACAGGTCATATCTGGAATTTTTGATAGCTTTGGAGATGTTGTTGCGCATGTGCTGGCGGTAAGTATTTATGGGATGATGTTTCTGTCATGCTTGCACTTCTGGTGATGTTAATATCTCATCATGCTGTTAGCATCTGTATGAACATGTTCTGGTTATGTATTCGTGAATGTCCACATATGCATGTGCTTGAACTGATGCTTGATGCTAACCACGAAGTTCGAGCAATAAGCAGTCCTTTTCCTGCTTTCTCCCCTCTCTCCTCTCCCTTCCTCCCTGTTCTTGTTGGATCTTTCACTCTCAGGTGGATGAAGCAGGCATGCCGCATGGAGATTGGAAGCAACTTCCTCGACGCCGTTGGATGGGGTAAGGCCGTGTCATTTCATGATTGCCACTGATTGCCCTTTTTCCCGACTTGCAAATTTCAGACACTAGTGTCATCACATATTTAGATATTGGACGGTCTTGTTTGCTGACAAGTTCTTTTCTCTCCTGTTTCACTGCCTCAGCGTAATCTCTCTGCTTGCCCACGAGGGAGGTCTCTGGCACCTGATTGGTCGAGAGGCACAATTAGGAGGGGGGGAGAGGCACATGGTATCATTTGACCCGTATACACAGCAATGGATAGAGATGCGTGCTGCTCTTCTTGATGGTCATACTCGTGTGAGTAGCCCTGGGGAAGGGCGGGGGGGTTGCCACAAGCAGCTGTTGTGGCAAGCAGCTGCTGCGTGTGAAGCATTGAGGCGCGGCCGGCCGAGACTGAGGCGATCCTTGCTTGTTCTCCAAGGGAAGGACTTGAAGGTGGAGATGAGGCGTTTGTTGACGCCTGCGCGTTTGGCTATCGATGACAGCGGACGAGAGCCAGGTGGGGAAAAGGAAGGGAAGGAAAGTGCGAAGGTGGGACTTGTGGTCAATGAAGAGAATGTGGTGAGGTTGATGGCATCGGGTGGGACAGGGATGTTCAGAATCATTGGCGACCAGATGATGATAATTCCTGTGTCTGCGTGTGGCGGATTCTTGACGGGGGCTGCTGGTTGCGAAGGGCTGGATGCTGGTATCGGTGCTGCTGATGCATGTGGCACTTTTGAAAGTACCAGGAAGGGGAGCATGTTATGTTTGCTTGAAAGGGGGAAATCCATGGTGATCTGGGAGGAAGACTTGAATGCTGTTCACGAAGTTGAAGTGCCATGGGGTGAGCATATTCCCAGTGGTTCCTTTCTCATGAGCATGTGAATATTCTTGCTGTGCAATGTGTTGTCTTTTATGACGTCGTAGACTAGAGTGCGAGTGAGTCTCCGCCAAATATAATTCCCCCGAATTTACCACCTGTTGGAAACCATGCTCAACTTAAGTTGCCGTGGGTCAGCGCTTCAGAGTCATCATGCGAGTAGGGCGGAAAAAGAGTCTCAAGAAATATGCTATTAACACAATTTTTTGAGGTTATTACCACTGTACAAGCAAACCATTACAACGGGGATATGTCGCTCTGCTCCAGATCTGCATTGTTGTTCGTGCTTGTTGCACATTCTGTCTACTGCAATGTTCGGCTTGCCAGTCACATTCGTGAGCTGTTCTCAATGAGAGTGCAGGGCAAGGTCTCACGTTGGGCGACGTTCTTCTTGATAGATCAGCAGAGGCGTAGCACCGTGGCACTGATGATGGTCAGGTTAAGGCCTTTTGAATGACCTTCCTTGCAACGTGAATAAAATTATTGAACCTACTGTTCTGGCAGTCAGAGCACTTTCTGTGTCCGAGAGTCATACTGTCCGTATTCAGGCGGAACCTTCTGACATCAAATCGATTTAGAAGCAGGTGTGACTATGGATTTAAACGCTGCGTTTCTGATTCCGGGTATTCCTGACGACGCGACGTTGATGTGCTTGGCGTTGCTGCCACGTGGGTACTACGGCGCCTTGAAGTGCGTCAGTCGTCGCTGGAAGGCAGCTCTAGAAGACGATCACGTGTACAGGTAGAAATCGGTGCAGCTCGACTGCCGTCTGCGACGCAATGTTGTAAGCTTCTGGTTTCTAGAATTTAGTGATTACCTGCTGAGCAGGTTCAACTCGACTGCCTGCCTGGAGGTTCAATATCACGAATTTAACTCGCCTTTTTTTTTTTTTTTTTTTTTTTTTTGGGCGTGTTTCCTGTACTCTTGTCGCATGTGCAGCCTAAGGGAACAACTGGGTCGCACGGAGAGCTGGGTGTACATCAATGTGTACCACCACCCTCCCCCTTCTGCCACCACCGCTTCATCCTCCTCCTCTCAACCTTCTACCTTACGAGGAGGCAAGCCACCCAGCCAAATTCGTGTGGACTCACTCTACGCGTTCTCGCCTAGTGAGTCTGTCGTAATTCCGTCAGCACTCGTTTCGTCTCGAGTGACTTATGCCGCGCTCGTCTCTCCTGGGCAGCTCATTTTTCAATGCTCCAGTACTACATGTACCAGCACTTACTACTCACATCAACCCCACTCTCCACATGACTCTTCACAATTCCGTAAAACCCCCATCAGCTCCTCATTTCCGACTCACCTTGCCCCAATTTGTTTTTCCATTCTGTTCTTTGCCATTCATTCTCCCAGTTCTCAACAGATGGTTTCGGTTAAGTGAAACGATATCTTCCCGCGCCTCTCGCTTCGTCAAGACAGTAGTAGTGAAGCACAAGCAGTACATTTTCGGAGATGATCTTATTATCCGTGACGCTGTCACTGGCGCCTGCAAACGTGCACCACAGTTACCGTCTGGTGCTCACCTCAACATCCAGCTGGCAGCGTCTGATTCGCATGTTGTCTTCGTCAGCGCCTCACCACAGGTATGTGCCATGCGCCCATGTCGTGCATGACATTGCATGTGCCATGTACCCATACCATGCATGACATTGCCTGTGCCATGTACCATACCATGCACGACATTGCGTAATACTGCTTGGCATGGTGAAACTGTGCTGAAGGTTGCTTGATGTTGCATGACAGTGCAAACCATGTGTGACATAGTCTAACATTGCGTGACACCACTTGACACTGCTCATTTGACCAGCTGTTTTGTTACATATTAACAGCACTTTCATGCATACCATCCCCTCTCGTTTCTTCTCCCTTTATCCATGACTAACTCTCTTAGCTCTCCCTCTGGTTTCTACCCTTTCAGATCGTATTTGGAGAATCCAATAGTCCTGGAGATGTCTTTGTGCACGTACTGGCGGTGAGTGCTGATGGTATGGCGACATTGTTATGCTTATGCTGGTGATGATTGTCATTCATTGATGTGCTTGATGTCATTATGTCAGTTGCTTCATAGGACTTTGACCCGGATGTCATGGTGATGCAAACATGCATGTGCATGCAACCATGTTATTTGTTTCTTTTTCTTTTTCCAGGTGGATGAAGCAGGCATGCCACATGGAGAGTGGCAGAAACTTCCTCCACGCAGGTGGACGGGGTAAGGCCTAACCTAACCCTGAAGCTTACTGTTATGTTCATGATGGTGAAGTCGGTTATGTTTTCCATGAGTGCCATTATTTTACCGTCACTTTTCTGTTGTTGTAAATGTCAAATCTTCGCTGCATGTAGGTTGGAATGATAGGATATGTGTTGATGACTGAGCACAGGGACCGTTGCGATATTAGGCAATCAACAACGCACGGCTTAGTACCGTCGCATGCGTTTTTTTCTTGGAGAGTGTTATGTGCTGTTATTGTTTATCTCCTTCCCACGGCTGACAAGCTTTTTTTCTTGCTTGCTTTCACTGCCCCAGCATTGTCTCTCTGCTTGCCCATGAGGGAGGTCTCTGGCACCTGATTGGTCGACAGTCACAAGGCTTGCATGGATATGGCAGAATGGGAAGAAGGGGAAGAGGAAGAGGAATGCGAGGGGAGAGGATGCGGTACAGGTGGGATCGCCAGATGGCTTCGTTTGACCCGCACACACTGCAATGGATAGAGGTGGATGAGGCGGATGAGGAGGAAGAGGAGGAAGAGGAGGATTTTGATCCTTTGCTCGACGCTGGCAGGATGGATGGAGACAGGCATGCAGATGCTTCTGTTGATGGTGATGCAGTGGAAGTTGATTGCGGGGAAGGGCCTGGCGGATGTCACAAGCAGCTGTTGCTGCAGGCAGCTGCTGCGTGTGAAGCTTTGAGGCACAGGCAGGAGACTTTGAGGCGAGACTTGCTTGCGCTCCAAGGCGAGGACTTGCAGTTAGAGATGAGGCGTTTGTTGACACGTGGACCTGATCCATTGGCTAGCGATGACCAGGGGCGAGAGCAGGAGAGGACAAAGGGAGGGAAGGTGGGTTTCTTGGTTAATGAAGAGAACGTGGTGAGGGTGATGGCGTCAGGCGGAACAGGGATTTTCAGCATCATTGGAGACCAAATGATGATCATTCCTGTAGCTGCTGGTGATGGATACATGTCGGGGTTTGCTGGTGGGGAAGGATTGGCTGCTGGTATGTGTATTGGTGCTGCTGATGCATGCGATGGCTCTGAAAAAAAGAAGGGGAGCATGTTATGCTTGCTTCAAAAAGGAGGATCCATGGTGGTTTGGGAGGGGGGTTTGGATGCCATTTATGAGATTGAAATGCCATGGGGTGAACATATTCCTGGTGGGGCTTTTGTCATGAGCATGTGAATAATCCTTGTGTGAATTGTCTAAACTGTTTAGCACATGCTGTTGTATAACTAGGCTACACCTTTTAGTCCCTACCAAGTGTTATCCCCCATCTTACCAACTTTTTGGAACAATGCGTCCAACTACTGTACCAGGGCTGACGATATCAGACTATTTTAGTCTGATTGTCTGAAATTTCAGACTATTTTCCTTTCATTCCTGATTTTTCAGAGTTGGCTAATTTTGGAAAATGAGTGCTTCAGACTAGTGTTTCTTTCAATACTGAAAATTTCAGAGTAGTTGCTTGCCGGATAGTGAGTTCTCATACTACAGAGTATGAACTCCTCTACGCCATTCATGTTACTTCGAAGAAAATACACCCCTCGGGACTTGTGCATAAGTCCCGCTAGTAGTAAAACATGCTTAGTGTTGTGTGTTAGAATCTAGCAGCAGGAATGAATGAACTAGCAGCATGCAGGAGTACAAGTAGTAAACCCTAATTGGGCTGTACCCCATATGGGCTACCCCACTACAGCCTAGACAATATGCAGCACATATGTTTGACACACCCCCATAGGCAAAGTGGGGGAGAACAAGGGGTCAAACGACCAGTCAAGAGAAGCAAAGCAAGCTCAGGGTGGATCTCAACGTCACCACACATTCTGAGCACAAGCAAAGGGCCACAAGGCCAGTCCACATGCAGAGACATATACGCAACAATAACAGTACAGTGATGACTACCTAGCAAGAGCAGGCATGCATGTATATATATAGATCACAGTACAAGCAGAGACTACAGCAAGTGTGGAAACGTAGGCACAAGGCCTAACAGAGTACAAAAGCGCTGATGATCACCAGACGGAAGTGCCTTGGTGAATATATCAGCAGTGTTGGCCCGAGTGGCCACGTGACGAAGACGAAGCTGGCCTCGCTGCTGCAACTCTCGAGCCAGGAAGTAACGCAGAGCAATGTGCTTCGTTCTGTGCTCCAGTCTGTGCTCCTCACACAAGGCAATGGCGGCCTTGTTGTCGACGTACAGCACTGGAGGAGAACGAGGCTGCTCTCCCAAGTCAGTCAGCAGGTAGGTGAGCCAGCGTAACTCCTGTGCAGCCATGGCTGTGGCGTAGATCTCAGCCTCACAACTGGAGCTGAGAACTGAAGACGAGCGTGTAGAACGCCACGAAACTGAACCAGAGCCAAGGCTGAAGGTGTAACCCTGTGACGACCGCTGAATAGCCAGGTCGTCAACCCAAGAAGCGTCTGAGTGCCCAGTGAGGACAACTGGGCTCGTCCCTCCAAGCACTAGCCCCATGCCTGATGTGCTGCACAAGTAGCGCAGTACCCTCTTAGCAGCAGCCATGTGCTCAGGTCGGTGCCGACCAGGAGCCACGTAGCGAGCCAGAAGACCAAGAGGGTACGCGAGGTCAGGTCGAGTGCAAGTCATCAGGTACATGAGGCAGCCGACTAGCTCTAGGTAAGGACCACTCGGCTCTACGGACTCGTCCGAAGGTGGAGCTGAGAGCGTGTGACCTGTAGCCAGAGGAGTGGCCTGTGCTGAAGACCAGGTGAAGCCGAAGCGCTGAAGGACCTGCTGCACCATGTGTGACTGAGTCAAGGTGATGGTGCGACGTGCTCTGTCCCGGGTGATCTGCAAGCCAAGGTAGCTGTGCAGCTCACCCAAGTCTGTGCACGTGTGTCTCTTCTGCAGCTCCGACTTCACGTGGGCGAGAGCCTCAGTGAGCCTCAGTGTCAGCAGTGGCAAAAACCAAGTCGTCGACGTACACGAGGATGTAGAACGGCGGCAGTGAAGTGTCGGTGCGCAGAAACAGCGACGGGTCAGCAGTAGAAGGCGCGAACCCAAGAGCCGCAAGCGTAGTCCTCAGTGTGTCGTGCCACTCACGTGGCGCCTGGCGGAGACCGTAGACCGGCTGCCGGAGGCTCCACTGGGTGCCAGGAGGGAACGACCCAGTGAAGCCCGGGGGGCGGCGTAGCCAGATCTCCTCGTGTAGGCTGCCCTGCAAGAAAGCTGTGCTGAAGTCAAGAGAGTGAAGCTCGTAGTCACGGTGAGCAGCAACATGCAGCAGCACCCGAAGAGTGGTCATCTTCGGGGTGGGGGAAAAGGTCTGGAAGAAGTCAACTCCCTCTCGCTGACTGAAGCCTCGAGCCACGTAACGCGCCTTGAAGACAGGCGGAGAACCCGGCGGCCGCTTCACCCTGAAAATCCACATGCCACTGACGATGTTCGCCCCAGGAGGGGGAACCTCGTCAACGTAGGTGCCTGTGGACTTCCAGGAAGCCATCTCTGCGTCCATGGCTGCCTGCCACTGAGAGGAGTAGGGACCCTCTATCGCCTCTGCGTAAGAGCGCGGAGTCGGGATGTCTGGTGCATCCGGGTCTCCCTCAGGGGCAAGTAGCGAGGACACAAGATGAGGTAAAGCAGCAGCAAGACACTGGAAGTCCTCGTGCCTGTCCTCAAGGACGTCCGTGCTAAGAGCACACTCACCCCCGACGGATGGAGGACAGACAGACTCAGACTTAGCAACAAGACTGGCGGCGTAGTCTAGACGACAGGCAGCAGCAAAGTCAACAAGCTCAGCGACCAAGGCAGACGCAGCAGTAGACTCAAACGACGGGTCAGTGACAACAGTGGCTAGGAGACGCGTGACAGTAGGGTGCTCAGTACGAAACCGGTCAGACTCAGGGTCCGGAACGGCAGGCAAAGAGGACGCAGGGGGAGACGGCAGAGGAACAGGCTGCGGAGCAGAGGAAGGACGACGGACAACAAGGTGTGCGCTGGGGACAGCCGGCTGACGCGCACGAGCGACACGACGAACGGTACGACCAGAACGAACAGGCGAGACAAGACGCGACGCAGGCTCACGACGCGTAGCAGGACTGCCTGTCTGCTCAGTGTAAGGAGAGGGAGCAGGTAGCGGTGAGCCAGTCTGTAACGGAAGACCAGTAGACGACGGGAGAGTAACAACCTGACGAAGAGCAGAGTCAGGCGGCGGCAGAGACGACGGAGACGGCGGAGCGAAGAACAGTCGTGTCGGCGCAGCTGCACCAGTACCGGCAGCTCCAGCAGCTCCAGTGCCTCCAGCAGCTCCAGTACCTCCAGCAGCTCCCGTACCTCCAGCAGCTCCAGAAGCTCCAGTCCCAGAGCCGACACCCCCAGTCCCAGGGTCTCCAACCTCTGTGTCTCCAGCAGCAGCACCCCCAGACCCAGCACCTCCAGTCCCAGGGTCTCCAGTCTCAGTGTCTCCAGCAGCAGCACCCCCAGAACCAGCACCTCCAGTCCTAGGGTCTCCAGCCTCAGTGTCTCCAGCACGAGCACCTCCAGAACCAGCGACTCCAGCACCTCCAGTAGACAAAGGACCAGCACCACTCCTAGCTCCAGCAGCGCGACGCTGACGGCGACCGTACCAGTCCTGCAGCTGCTGTGGGGTGAGAGGCACACGTGGACGAAGGCGGCTACTCCAAGGAGACCGCGCAACAGCAGACTCAGAACCCTCAGCGCCCGCACCCCCAACGGCTCCAGAACCTCCGGTGTCAGTACCCTCAGCACCAGTACCTCCAGCGGCTCCAGAACCTCCAGCACGAGCACCCTCAGCAGCTCCAGAACCTCCAGCTCCAGCGCCACCAGTACTAGGCCCTCCAGCAGCTCCCGAACCTCCAGCGCCAGCACCCTCAGTAGCTCCAGAACCTCCAGCGTCAGTACCGCCAAGCTCAGCACCCCCAGACCCCTCACACTCAGGCTCAGCACCACCAGGCTCCACACCCTCAAGCTCCGCACCCTCAGGCTCAGCACCCCCAGGCTCAGCACCCCCAGGCTCCGCACCCCCAGGCTCAGCACCCCTAGAAGCAGCACCCCTAGAAGTAGCACCCCGAGAAGGACCACCCTCAGTAGGACCTGAGTCACCAGTGACCTCAACCGGCGCAGTCAAGGGAGGAGGGTCTACCTGAGAAACACCTGAAGGAGCAGGACCAGGAGTGGGGAGGGGGTCTACCTGGGGAGCACCTGGAGCAAGGAAGAGCGGCGGGGGGGGGGAGCGGGGCAGTGCGGTAGGGGAAGAGACGGTAAAAGGGAACCGACTCGTCGAACGTGACGTCCTGAGACGCAAAGACACGGCGCGAGGTGGGATGGTAAAACTGCCAACCAGGCGCGTCAGGGACAAAGCCAAGGAAGACACAGGGAACAGCGCGGGCGGAGAGCTTGTCCGCGGTGGTATCGCGGACAAAGGCACGAGCACCCCAGACCCGGAAACGCGACGCATCACCAACCTTCCCCGTCCACAGCAGTGTGGGCGAGGTCTCCGGCAAGGAGACACGGGGCAAGAGGTTGAGCTGATGCGCGGCGTACCGGACCGCAAACGGCCACAGGAAATGGGGGGCAGCCGCATGGATCATGGAGGTACGAGCGACCTCCATGACTAAGCCAATGCGACGCTCAGCAACCCCATTCTGATGTGGAGAGGCCGGAAGCGTGAACGACTGGGTGATGCCGTGCTCCGCACAGTAGGCTGCCAAGAGGTCAGAGGAGAACTCACCACCTCTGTCAGAGTGCAGACGCAGGACAGGAAAGTCCCGCCGGAACCGCTCGCGGAGCTGGAGACGAACAGCGCGGATCCAAGGGATCAAAACATCAGGGACGTCCCCCTTGCTCCGCAAGGGGAAGACCGTGGTGTAACGCGTGTAGTCGTCGACAACCAGCAGGAAGTACCGCTCGCGGCCCTGTCCCTGGACGCGGGCTGGGCCCCACACGTCCAGGTGGAGCGTCTGCAGTGGAGCCTCTGTGGGAGGAAACGAGGAGGAGTGAGGAGCGGCGCGCTGCCGCCCCTCGACGCAAGGAATGCAGGGCGGCGCAGGCGAGGGAGGGAGGGCAGGCAGAGACCTGGGAAGACCAGAGACCAGGGAGCGAGAGTGCATGCTACGCAGGCGAGGCAAGGAGGGGTGACCAAGACGGTGGTGCCACAGGAGAGTGTCGTGCGACAAAGCGCGACACTCGCAGGGGGCCGCCAGCTGACCAGACGTAGACGCAGACGCAGCTACCTGAGGGGACTCAATGGTCAGTGTGTACAGACTCGAGCCAGGTGCACGGGTGAACGTGGCCAAGTGCCGGCCCGTCCTAGCACACGTACAGTGAGTCACTCGCTGACTCGCAGGAGTGAACTGGTCAACCTCCCGATCCTGGAGGTCAGCTCCACTCACCAAGTTCGTAGAGAACGAGGGGAGGTAAAGACCTGACAGCGAGCCGGACGGGACGGCCGGACACGGCAGAACCGTGGAGTAGTGGGCAAGGACCGGACCCCCGGAGGGGTCCGCCAGGGAGACTGGAACTGGCCGACTAAGCGGCGTGAGTGTGGTGCAGTCGCGAAAGAAGGAGCGAGAAGCTCCTGAGTCAAGGGTGAAGGTGTGCGAGACCGTAGTTGGCGCAGTACCAGAGAGAGCAGACTCACCAGCACCTGAAGCCATGGCCTCACCAGTACCTAGAGCAGTAGACGTACTAGCACCTAGAGCAACAGCCTCACCAGCACCTAGAGCAGGAGACGCACTAGCACCTAGAGCAGCAGCCTCACCAGGGTCAGGCGGTACGCACAGATAACAGGCACGATCAGCACTAGTAGGCAATGCATACATGGCAGTGAGAATAGCATCATAGTCAAGCGCAAAGATATCTACCCTCTGTCCATGCAGCTCCAGCCAGGTGGGGAGCTCAGCCTCGTCGCCAAACACTGTGCGCCAGTCGTCGCTCAGACGGGCGAAGCAGCGGGACTGTGTGTGACCAAGCGTCCCACAAGGCTGACCAGTCCTAGCACCTGTGCGAATGACGTACGGGCAGCGAACTGTACGCGTAGACCTGCTACACTGAGCGTACCACTCCTGGAGCTGCCGGGGCGTAAGTGTCTCGCGTGGACGCCCCTGCAGCTGCAGCTGGCCACTGCCAGACGCTCCCAACTGACCAGCTCCAGGGCGACAGCTACGACGGCTACTGCGACAACCCCAGCTAGTATACCACTCACTAAGCTGCTGGGGCGTGAGAGGCTCGCGTGAACGTCGCTGGAGCTGCATCTGGCCACCTGCCAGTAGCAGTAGCAGCAGCAGTAGCGCGGGCAAGGCAGGCGCGGCAGGCAGGCAGGCAAGCAGGCAGGCAGGCAGGCAGGCAGGCCGGCAGGTAGGCAGGCAGCCAGGCAGCCAGGCAGGCAGGCAGGCAGGCAGGCAGACAGGCAGGCAGGCAGGCAGGCAGGCAAGCAGACAGACAGGCAGGCCGGCAGGCAGGCAGGCAGGCCGGCAGGCAGGCAGGCAGTCGCGCAGGCAGGCAGGCAGGCAGGGCGGCAGGCAGGCAGGCAGTCAGGCCGACAGGCAGGCAGGCAGACAGGCAGGCCGTCAGGCAGGCAGGCAGGCGCTCACCAAAGGCTGGGAGAGCAGGCGCTCACCGGGCGAGCAGGGCCGGCGCTCGACGGGCGGCGGCCGAGTAGGCGCACGACAGCGGCGGCGTCGGGGCCGCAAAACCGGCTGCAGAGCAGGGCCGAAGCAGCTGCAGGGCGGGGCCGCTTCAGCGGCAGTAGCAGGGTGGGGCCGCGTCAGCGGCAGGTCGGGGCCGTGGCAGCTGCAGGGCGGGGCCGCATCAGCGGCAGGTCGTGGCCGAGGCAGAGGGCCGCGCGCGGCTCGGCGCGGGCTGCGCTGACAGCGCGCTGAGCTGCTGCAGGCCGCGCGCGGCCGCGCTAGGCAGTAGCGGGCCGCGCGCGGCTCGGCGCGGGCTGTTGCGGGCCGCGCGCGGGCCGCGCGAGGCAGTAGCAGGCCGCGCGCGGCTCGGCGCGGGCTGCTGCGGGCCGCGCGCGGGCCTCGCGAGGCCGTAGCAGGCCGCGCGCGGCTCGACGCGGGCTGCGTGGGCTCGGCGCGGGCTGCGCGCGGCAGCTGCGGGCTGCGCGCGGCTGCAGCGGGCTGCGCGCGGCTCGGTGCGGGCTGCGCGCGGCTGCAGCGGGCTGTGCGCGGCTCGGCGCGGGCTGCGTGGGCTCTGTGCGGGCTGCGCGCGGCTGCAGCGGGCTGCGCGCGGCTCGGCGCGGGCTGCGCGGGCTCTGTGCGGGCTGCGCGCGGCTGCAGCGGGCTGCGCAGGCCTGACGGGCCTCTAGGGGCGGCGCGTGGGCCTTACGGGCCTCTAGGGGCAGCGCGCTGGCCTAGGGCAGCAGGAGGCAGCGCTAGGGCTGCTGGACGGCGCACATAGTGCAGCACGTCACAAGGCAAGGCAAGGCAGGCAGGTACGTGGGGTAGCGCGGTAACCGCAGCGGTAGGTGGGCCCGAAAAAAAAACGGTCCTACGGACCTTAGTGCTCTGAAACCATGTTAGAATCTAGTAGCAGGAATGAATGAACTAGCAGCATGCAGGAGTACAAGTAGTAAACCCTAATTGGGCTGTACCCCATATGGGCTACCCCACTACAGCCTAGACAATATGCAGCATATATGTTTGACATTGTGGTAGTCTCAAAATTCTACAGATTTCAGAGTTATGCTTCTATGGTTCCTGAGAAATCAGAGTATTCATTCTCTGGAAAATGGGCCTCAGACTAAAAAATTTTGGGGGCCCAATACAATCAGAGTGGTTTTATTTGAATAGTCAGCGCTGTACTGTACCCTTGGAAATTGAGGAATTATAGAGTAAATTTTGAAAGTTCCAGCTTTCAGAGTCCCTATGCAAGTATGGTGGAAACAATCCCAACAAAATCAGCAGATGCTCTATAAGTTGAAATTTTGAGACAGGTGTAAAGGATTTCATAGCCATTTTGTTTCTGGTCTTTTGTTTAGTTATACAGCTGTTCGAAACAGGTACCACGGGATACCGTGCTGCTCCGTTGCTGAAATCTTGACATTGAGCTTGTCAGACACGGGCTAGAGCAGAGCAGAGCAGCTAACCTCTCACGCGCAGAGAAGCATTCACCTCAACATTGACCCCAGTCTCGGTCCCACAGTGATATTTCACCAAATGTACCGCGCCCTCATGCGTAGCTTCTCATAAAAATGGTGAAGGCAATGGACCGAAATCGCCATTGGTATCTGCTTGTGAGGAGCAAATAGTTTTGAACGACCTTCATTGCAACGTGAATGCAAGGTTAAATCTCATATTGTGGCCGTCAGCGCATTTCCTGTGTTCGAGGGTCATACTGTCCGTATTCAGGTCGAACCTTTCTGACATCGAGCCGATTAGAAGCAGGTGTGACCATGGGTTCGGACGCCGCGTTTCTGATCCCGGGAATCCCTGACGACGCGACGTTGATGTGCTTGGCGATGCTGCCACGTGGGTACTACGGCGCCTTGAAGTGCGTCAGTCGTCGCTGGAAGGCAGCTCTAGAAGACGAGCACCTGTACAGGTAGAAACAGGCGTGGCATGAGTGCCGTCAACCACTCAATGTGGTACTTTGTTTCTCGAATCTTACATAAAGATCGTGTGCGAAGCAGGTTCGACTCGACTGCGTGTCAGCCACGTCTTGTTTTCATGTTTGTTGTCTGTGCCCTTTCCGCATGTGCAGTCTAAGGGAACAACTGGGACGCAAGGAGAGCTGGGTGTATGTCAATGTGTACCACCACCCTCCCCCTTCCGCCACCACCGCTTCCAACTCCTCGCACCCTTCCTTTCGAGGAGGCGTTCGTCTGGACTCACTCTATGCCTTCTCACCAAGTGAGCTTTTCGAATCACACGATTCGACTCAAGTGACTTCAGCTGCGCGCTCTTGTCCGTTCAGCATTTTTCATTCCACATGTACCATCTCTTACCACTCATGGTTACTGTCAAACTGTATGTGCTGCATATTGTCTAGGCTGTAGTGGGGTAGCCCACATGGGGTACAACCAAATTAGGGTTTACTACTTGTACTCCTGCATCCTGCTAGTTCATCCATTCCTGCTGCTAGATTCTAACATGTTTTCAGAGAACTAAGGTCCGTAGGACCGTTTTTTTTCGGGCCCACCTACCGCTGCGGTTACCGCGCTACCCCACGTACCTGCCTGCCTTGCCTTGCCTTGTGACGTGCTGCACTATGCGCGCCGTCCAGCAGCCCTAGCGCTGCCTCCTGCTGCCCTAGGCCAGCGCGCTGCCCCTAGAGGCCCGTAAGGCCCGCGCGCCGCCTCTACACGCCCGTCAGGCCCGCAAACAGCCCCTGCAGACCGTTAAGCACGCTGCTGCCGCGCGCTGCCCGCACCGAGCCCGCGCAGCCCGCACCGAGTCGCGCGCAGCCCGCTGCAGCCGCGCGCAGCCCGCTGCAGCCGCGCGCAGCCCGCACCGAGCCGCGCGCAGCTCGCAGCTGCCGCGCGCAGCCCGCGCCGAGCCCACGCAGCCCACTTCGAGCCGCGCGCGGCCTGCTACGGCCTCGCGAGGCCCGCGCGCGGCCCGCAGCAGCCCGCGCCGAGCCGCGCGCGGCCTGCTACTGCCTCGCACGGCCCGCGCGCGGCCCGCAACAGCCCGCGCCGAGCCGCGCGCGGCCCGCTACTGCCTAGCGCGGCCGCGCGCGGCCTGCAGCAGCTCAGCGCGCTGTCAGCGCAGCCCGCGCCGAGCCGCGCGCGGCCCTCTGCCTCGGCCCCGACCTGCCGCTGATGCGGCCCCGCCCTGCAGCTGCCACGGCCCCGACCTGCCGCTGATGCGGCCCCGCCCTGCAGCTGCCACGGCCCCGACCTGCCGCTGACGCGGCCCCACCCTGCTACTGCCGCTGAAGCGGCCCCGCCCTGCAGCTGCTTCGGCCCTGCTCTGCAGCCGGTGTTGCGGCCCCGACGTCGCCGCTGTCGAGCGCCGGCCCTGCTCGCCCGGTGAGCGCCTGCTCTCCCAGCCTTTGGTGAGCGACTGCCTGCCTGCCTGACGGCCTGCCTGTCTGCCTGCCTGCCTGCCTGCCTGGCTGCCTGCCTGCCTGCGCGCCTGCCTGCCTGCCTGCCGGCCTGCCTGTCTGTCTGCCTGCCTGCCTGCCTGCCTGCCTGTCTGCCTGCCTGCCTGCCTTCCTGCCTGCCTGCCTGCCTGCCTGCTTGCCTGCCTGCCTGCCACGCCTGCCCTGCCCGCGCTGCTGCTGCTGCTGCTACTGCTACTGGCAGGTGGCCAGATGCAGCTCCAGCGACGTTCACGCGAGCCTCTCACGCCCCAGCAGCTTAGTGAGTGGTATACTAGCTGGGGTTGTCGCGGTAGCCGTCGTAGCTGTCGCCCTGGAGCTGGTCAGTTGGGAGCGTCTGGCAGTGGCCAGCTGCAGCTGCAGGGGCGTCCACGCGAGACACTTACGCCTCGGCAGCTCCAGGAGTGGTACGCTCAGTGTAGCAGGTCTACACGTACAGTTCGCTGCCCGTACGTCATTCGCACAGGTGCTAGGACTGGTCAGCCTTGTGGGACGCTTGGTCACACACAGTCCCGCTGCTTCGCCCGTCTGAGCGACGACTGGCGCACAGTGTTTGGCGACGAGGCTGAGCTCCCCACCTGGCTGGAGCTGCATGGACAGAGGGTAGATATCTTTGCGCTTGACTATGATGCTATTCTCACTGCCATGTATGCATTGTCTACTAGTGCTGACCGTGCCTGTTACCTGTGCGTACCGCCTGACCCTGGTGAGGCTGCTGCCCTAGGTGCTAGTGCGTCTCCTGCTCTAGGTGCTGGTGAGGCTGCTGCTCTCGGTGCTAGTACGTCTACTGCTCTAGGTACTGGTGAGGCCGTGGCTTCAGGTGCTGGTGAGTCTGCTCTCTCTGGTACTGCGCCCACTGCGGTCTCGCACACCTTCACCCTTGACTCAGGAGCTTCCCGCTCCTTCTTTCGCGACTGCACCGCACTCACGCCGCTCAGTCGGCCAGTCCCGGTCTCCCTGGCGGACCCCTCTGGGGGTCCAGTCCTTGCCCACTACTCCACGGTTCTGCCGTGTCCGGCCGTCCCGTCTGGCTTCCTGTCAGGTCTTTACCTCCCCTCGTTCTCTACGAACTTGGTGAGTGGAGCTGACCTCCAGGATGGGGGGGTTCACCAGTTCACTCCTGCGAGTCAGCGAGTGACTCACTGTACGTGTGCTAGGACGGGCCGGCACTTGGCCACGTTCACCCGTGCACCTGGCTCGAGTTTGTACACACTGACCACTGAGTCCCCTCAGGTAGCTGCGTCTGCGTCTACGTCTGGTCAGCTGGCGGCCCCCTGCGAGTGTCGCGCTTTGTCGCACGACACTCTCCTGTGGCACCACCGCCTTGGTCACCCCTCCTTGCCTCGCCTGCGTAGCATGCACTCTCGCTCCCTGGTCTCTGGTCTCCCCAGGTCTCTGCCTGCCCTCCCTCCCTCGCCTGCACCGCCCTGCATTCCTTGCGTCGAGGGGCGGCAGCGCGCCGCTCCTCACTCCTCCTCGTTTCCTCCCACAGAGGCTCCACTGCAGACGCTCCACCTGGACGTGTGGGGCCCAGCCCGCGTCCAGGGACAGGGCCACGAGCGGTACTTCCTGCTGGTTGTCGACGACTACACGCGTTACACCACGGTCTTCCCCTTGCGGAGCAAGGCGGATGTCCCTGCTGTTTTGATCCCCTGGATCCGCGCAGTTCGTCTCCAGCTCCGCGAGCGGTTCCGGTCGGACTTTCCTGTCCTGCGTCTGCACTCTGACAGAGGTGGTGAGTTCTCCTCCGACCTCTTGGCAGCCTACTGTGCGGAGCACGGCATCACCCAGTCGTTCACGCTTCCGGCCTCTCCGCAGCAGAATGGGGTTGCTGAGCGCCGCATTGGCTTAGTCATGGAGGTCGCTCGTACCTCCATGATCCATGCGGCTGCCCCCCCATTTTCTGTGGCCGTTTGCGGTCCGGTACGCCGCGCATCAGCTCAACCTCTGGCCCCGTGTCTCCTTGCCGGAGACCTCGCCCACACTGCTGTGGACGGGGAAGGTTGGCGATGCGTCGCGTTTCCGGGTCTGGGGTGCTCGTGCCTTTGTCCGCGATACCACCGCGGACAAGCTCTCCGCCCGCGCTGTTCCCTGTGTCTTCCTTGGCTTTGTCCCTGACGCGCCTGGTTGGCAGTTTTACCACCCCACCTCGCGCCGTGTCTTTGCGTCTCAGGACGTCACGTTCGACGAGTCGGTTCCCTTTTACCGTCTCTTCCCCTACCGCACTGCCTCGCTCCCCCCCCCGCCGCTCTTCCTCGCTCCAGGTGCTCCCCAGGTAGACCCCCTCCCCGCTCCCGGTCCTACTCCTTCAGGTGTTTCTCAGGTAGACCCTCCTCCCTTGACTGCGCCGGTTGAGGTCACTGGTGACTCAGGTCCTACTGAAAGTGGTCCTTCTCGGGGTGCTACTTCTAGGGGTGCTGAGCCTGGGGGTGCGGAGCCTAGGGGTGCTGAGCCTGGGGGTACTGAGCCTGAGGGTGCGGAGCTTGAGGGTGTGGAGCCTGGTGGTGCTGAGCCTGAGTGTGAGGGGTCTGGGGGTGCTGAGCTTGGCGGTACTGACGCTGGAGGTTCTGGAGCTACTGAGGGTGGTGGCGCTGGAGGTTCTGGAGCTGCTGAGGGTGCTCGCGCTGGAGGTTCTGGAGCCGCTGGAGGTACTGGTGCTGAGGGTACTGACACCGGAGGTTCTGGAGCCGTTGGGGGTGCGGGCGCTGAGGGTTCTGAGTCTGCTGTTGCGCGGTCTCCTTGGAGTAGCCGCCTTCGTCCACGTGTGCCTCTCACCCCACAGCAGCTGCAGGACTGGTACGGTCGCCGTCAGCGTCGCGCTGCTGGAGCTAGGAGTCGTGCTGGTCCTTTGTCTACTGGAGGTGCTGGAGTTGCTGGTTCTGGAGGTGCTCGTGCTGGAGACACTGAGGCTGGAGACCCTGGGACTGGAGGTGCTGGCTCTGGGGGTGCTGCTGCTGGAGACACAGAGGTTGGAGACCCTGGGACTCGAGGTGTCGGCTCTGGGCCTGGAGCTTCTGGAGCTGCTGGAGGTACTGGAGCTGCTGGAGGTACTGGAGCTGCTGGAGGCACTGGAGCTGCTGGAGCTGCTGGTACTGGTGCAGCTGCGCCGACACGACTGTTCTTCGCTCTGCCGTCTCCGTCGTCTCTGCCGCCGTCTGCCTCTGTTCTTCGTCAGGTTCTTACTCTTCCGTCGTCTACTGGTCTTCCGTTACAGTCTGGCTCACCGCTGCCTGCTCCTTCTCCTTACACTGAGCAGACTGGTAGTCCTGCTGAGCGTCGTGAGCCTGCGTCGCGTCCTGTTTCGCCTGTTCGTCCTGGTCGTACCGGTCGTCGTGTTCCTCGTTCGCGTCAGCCGGCTGTCCCCAGCGCACACCTCGTAGTCCGTCGTCCTTCCTCTGCTCCGCCGCCTGTTCCTCTGCCGTCTCCTCCTGCGCCCTCTTTGCCTGACGTTCCGGACCCTGCGTCTGACCGGTTTCGTGCTGAGCACCCTACTGTCACGCGTCTACTAGCCACTGTTGTCACTGACCCGTCGTTTGAGTCTACTGCTGCGTCTGCTCTTGTAGCTGAGCTTGTTGACTTTGCTGCTGCCTGTCGTCTAGACTTCGCTGCCAGTCTTGTTACTGAGTCTGAGTCTGTCTGTCCTCCGTCCGTCGGGGGTGAGTGTGCTCTTAGCACGGACGTCCTTGAGGACAGGCACGAGGACCTTGAGTGTCTTGCAGCCGCTGCGCCTCATCTCGTTGCCATGCTGCTTGCCCCTGAGGGAGACCCGGATGCACCAGACATCCCGACCCCGCGCTCTTACGCTGAGGCGATCGCGGGTGAGTACTCCTCTCAGTGGCAGACAGCCATGGACGCAGAGATGGCATCCTGGAAGTCCACTGGCACTTACGTCGACGAGGTTCCTCCTCCTGGGGCGAACATCGTCAGTGGCATGTGGATTTTCAGGGTGAAGCGGCCGCCAGGTTCTCCGCCTGTCTTCAAGGCTCGTTACGTTGCTCGAGGCTTCAGTCAGCGAGAGGGAGTTGACTTCTTCCAGACCTTCTCCCCCACCCCAAAGATGACCACTCTTCGGGTGCTGCTGCACGTTGCTGCTCACCGTGACTACGAGCTTCACTCTCTCGACTTCAGCACAGCTTTCTTGCAGGGCAGCCTGCACGAGGAGATCTTGCTGCGCCGCCCCCCGGGCTTCACTGGGTCGTTCCCTCCTGGTACCCAGTGGAGCCTCCGGCGGCCGGTCTACGGTCTCCGCCAGGCGCCACGTGAGTGGCACGACACACTGAGGACTACGCTTGCGGCTCTTGGGTTCGCGCCTTCTACTGCTGACCCGTCGCTGTTTCTGCGCACCGACACTTCACTGCCGCCGTTCTACATCCTCGTGTACGTCGACGACTTGGTTTTTGCCACTGCTGACACTGAGGCTCTCGCCCACGTGAAGTCGGAGCTGCAGAAGAGACACACGTGCACAGACTTGGGTGAGCTGCACAGCTACCTTGGCTTGCAGATCACCCGGGACAGAGCACGTCGCACCATCACCTTGACTCAGTCACACATGGTGCAGCAGGTCCTTCAGCGCTTCGGCTTCACCTGGTCTTCAGCACAGGCCACTCCTCTGGCTACAGGTCACACGCTCTCAGCTCCACCTTCGGACGAGTCCGTAGAGCCGAGTGGTCCTTACCTAGAGCTAGTCGGCTGCCTCATGTACCTGATGACTTGCACTCGACCTGACCTCGCGTACCCTCTTGGTCTTCTGGCTCGCTACGTGGCTCCTGGTCGGCACCGACCTGAGCACATGGCTGCTGCTAAGAGGGTACTGCGCTACTTGTGCAGCACATCAGGCATGGGGCTAGTGCTTGGAGGGACGAGCCCAGTTGTCCTCACTGGGCACTCAGACGCTTCTTGGGTTGACGACCTGGCTACTCAGCGGTCGTCACAGGGTTACACCTTCAGCCTTGGCTCTGGTTCAGTTTCGTGGCGTTCTACACGCTCGTCTTCAGTTCTCAGCTCCAGTTGTGAGGCTGAGATCTACGCCACAGCCATGGCTGCACAGGAGTTACGCTGGCTCACCTACCTGCTGACTGACTTGGGAGAGCAGCCTCGTTCTCCTCCAGTGCTGTACGTCGACAACAAGGCCGCCATTGCCTTGTGTGAGGAGCACAGACTGGAGCACAGAACGAAGCACATTGCTCTGCGTTACTTCCTGGCTCGAGAGTTGCAGCAGCGAGGCCAGCTTCGTCTTCGTCACGTGGCCACTCGGGCCAACACTGCTGATATATTCACCAAGGCACTTCCGTCTGGTGATCATCAGCGCTTTTGTACTCTGTTGGGCCTTGTGCCTACGTTTCCACACTTGCTGTAGTCTCTGCTTGTACTGTGATCTATATATATATATATATATATATATATATATATATACCTGCATGCTGGCTCTTGCTAGGTAGTCATCACTGTACTGTTGTTGTTGCATATATACCTTTGCATGTGAACTGGCCTTGTGGCCCTTTGCTTGTGCTCAGAATGCGTGGTGACGTTGTGATCCACCCTGAGCTTGTTTTGCTTCTCTTGACTGGTCGTGTGACCCCTTGTTCTCCCCCACTTTGCCTATGGGGGTGTGTCAAACTGTATGTGCTGCATATTGTCTAGGCTGTAGTGGGGTAGCCCACATGGGGTACAACCAAATTAGGGTTTACTACTTGTACTCCTGCATCCTGCTAGTTCATCCATTCCTGCTGCTGGATTCTAACAGTTACCCCACTGTCCACAATTTCGTACCATACCATCACCTCCCCATTCCTTCTTTCCGCTCCCTACCATTTGATTCTCCCAGGTTTAAACAGATGGTTCAGGTTAAGCGAAACTGCATCTTCCCGCTCCGCTCGCCTCATCAAGGCAGTAGCAGTGAAGCACAAGCAGTACTTTTTTAGAGGCGACCTTGTTATCCCCGACGCTGTCACTAGCGCCTGCACACGTGGTCCGCAGTTGCCGCCGGATGCTCAACTCGTCATGCATCTGGCAGCGTCTGATTCGCATGTTGTCCTTGTCAGCGCCTCGCCACAGGCATGTACCCTGTGCCCATACCATGCATGCCTGAAACTTTTTGACAGTGCATGGCCAAGACGGACATATTGTTTTGACATTGCATGGCATCGAATTGTTAAATTGCTCCGTTTGCAGTTGTTTCATTGCAACCCTTCAGCTGTTCATTGATTCCGTCCTCTCCGTTTCTGCTCCGTTTCTCCATGACTAGCTCTCGCTTTCCCCCTTTGGTTCTAACCCTGGTTGCACTGACAGGTATTACTCAGAAATGTGGATAGCCTTGGGGACATTATTGTGCATGTGCTGGGGGTGAGTTCTGGCTAAATGATGTATTGTTTTGCATGCGTTGGTAATGATTGTTATTAGTCTATTGTTGAACTTAATATGGGCTACATGTTTGGTAGGGTGTTGACACGGATGTTGCGGTCATGCAATTGTGAATGTGCATGTTGCCATGTCCTTGTACTGATGTCCCAGGTGATTGTCATGAGGCATTCCTCTTTCTTGCTCTCTCCCCCCCCCTCCCGCCTCCTTTCTCGATTGTCTACGCTCAGGTGGATGAAGCAGGCATGCCACGTGGGAAGTGGAGAAAACTTCCTCCTTGGCGGATGGGGTAAGTACCATCGCATATGTTTCTTGTCAAGGGGTCTTTTTTGCTGTTATTGCTGATTACCCTCCCATGGCTGACAAGCTGTTTCCTCTCTTGTTTTCACTTCCCCAGCCCGATCTCTTTCCTGGCTCACGAGGGGGGTCTCTGGCACCTGCTTGGTCCAAAGGAACAGGGCTGACAGGGTGGAGGTGGGAGAGGAAGAGGAGGGGAGAGGATGCAATACAGGTGGGATCGCCATATGGCATCGTTCGACCCGCACACACTGAAATGGATAGAGGTGGACGAGGAGGAGGAGGCGGATGAGGAGGAAGAGGAAGAGGAGGATTTTGATTCTTTGCTTGAAGTCGGCATGATGCATGGAGGCAGGCATGCAGATGCTGCTCTTGATGGTGGTGATACCAGTGGAAGTGACTCTAATGGTGGTGTGGAAGTTGATTGTGGGGAAGGGCCTGGGGGATGTCACAAGCAGCTGTTGCTGCAGGCAGCTGCTATGTATGATGCACTGAGCTACAGGCGACCGTATGTTGTACTGAGCTACAGGCGAATTTCTATGAGGCTAGACTTGTGTGTGCTTCAAGGAGAGGAATTGCAGTCAGAGATGAGGCGTTTGTTCACACGTGGACCTGAACCATTTTCTGTTGATGTCGGGGGATGAGAGCGGGGGAGGAAAAAGGGAGGGGAGAAAAATGCAAAGGTAGGTGTTATGGTTAATGAAGAGAACGTGGTGAGGGTGATGGCGTCAGGTGGAACAGGGATATTCAGCAGCATTGAAGACGGAGTGATGATCATTCCTGTAGCTGCTGGTGATGGATACATGATTGGATTTGCTGGTAGAGAAGGAATGGCTGCTGGTGTTGGTATTGGGGCTCCTGATGCATGCCATACTTCTGAAAGTAGAAAGGGGAGCATGTTATGCGTGCTTCGGAAGGGGAAATCTATGCTGGTTTGGGAGGGAGCTTTGAATGCCGTTTGTGAGGTTGAAGTTCCATGGGGTGAACATACTGCTAGTGCTGCTTTTGTAATGAGGCTGTGAATATTTTGTTGCGACATGCTTAGAGATAGCCTCGAATTTCTGAGGGATGTAGCGGAACATAGACTATTATTGTAACGCGGATGGCCTGGAGCATATCGAGTCGAAGTGGAGTGTATCATCTAGCACATGGATTACATGGCTGGACGCTCGCCAGCACATGGCGCTGCGACAGTCACAGCTTCAAGTATCAAACGTGACGAAGATGAAACTATTCCGCTTTGCGGAGCCACCTGCCCAATCATGAAAGGCAGTTTCCACCACCCACTTCTGTGTTGTTGACCTCGCCGTTCAGTGAAAGTTGATCCGCCACTGCCACATCTTCTTCTGGTGACCTGCCAACTGAACATCACCGTCAGCGTTCCGGAAGCCAACTGTGGCTGTTTAGGTGAAGACCTGTTCGACGCGAGCTTGTTGCTATCAAAAATGGAGTTGTTATCGTGACTTCGGTTCTTAGGCATTCGGTTGGTAGGGAGGGAGGGGAGGAGCTCCTTGCGGAACGAAGGAACTGCTCTTTGATTGGTATGAAACACGAGTAGCGGGTGCTGGCTCAGGCGCTCTTCGATCCCCGATGTTATGAAAGTCGCGCGTAGCACAGCGGCGCAAATCGTTTAGTAATTTACCAGGGTTGAATGCTTTTCGTAACACAGGGGCCCCTAAGGCGACGGGGTGACTGTGCTATCAAACCTGACCAAGTGTTGCTGCTCGCGGCCCTCCCTTACCTCTCCGCTCATATTCTTGGAGTTTCAACACTCGGCCTTTTAGCGTGCTCAAAACAAGGATCGCTGAAATTGATTAGACATCCCCGTGCAACTATGAAGCGGGATGATGACGATGAGCTTGAGGTGTCATTTCCGCCAGAATGTCCCTCCAATGATAATTCGGCCTCACCAGCTCGGTGGACTTCAGAATGCGAAGTTGAGGAACCAGAAATTCTTAGGGGATATCAACACTTAGGTATGCACTCGTGGAGGGGGCAGCTGGGCGTTGTTAATCGGTTAATTTTATCGTGTTTCTTTCAGCTTCACTATCTGTCGTCTCGTCTACAGATTAAGTTCTCCTGTGCCTTTTTCAATCTGTTTTCTTTTCCACGATGCGTTGATTGCAGAGGTCGATTCTCCGAGGAACCGTCCCACCTTGTCACTCTCCACTCTCGTCGCTCCTACCAGTAGTCGACATGTGCAGTTGACTCAGGTCATTTCCAGTCTTGAGCTCCCAGCGTTCATACAAGGCGCTCTTGGCCTTGTGAAGGTCTCAGAGCATTTTACAGGATGGATATTTTCAATTACACGGAATTGTCGGCAGGCTGCCAACGTCCTCATGGCGCTATGGGGTACAGACTTGTTCTTTTCAAGGACACGTATCGCTATCTGAGGTGAGGTCTTTCAAGGATCCTGAGAGATGTTTTTGGCTTGGGTTCAGAGAACCTTTCCTCTGTTCCTAATCAGGGAGATTGCGATCAAATACGGTATGTAGAGGTGCATACAAGAAATGCGAGTTAGAGTAGTGCGCGAAACGTCTGCGGTGTGGTGGTGGTGTTGGTCATGTTGTGTTGCGCTACCCTGTGATGTACATAAATCTATGAAGGCCTCTGTTCTTCTCTAAGAAGCTTGCTGTAGTAATACAGTACCAGGGTGCTACTAGCCAATTCGTCTCAAAGGGCCTGCCCTATTTTGTTGCGCAACAGGCTCAGAATTAGTGTATTTAACCTGTTCAGACGGTTTTGTGTATGTACCGTAGTTGCCTCAATAAGCTGTTATAGGAAAGAAAAACGAATACACCGCATTTGCCTTGCAGACCTGAGCTCAACACCATTTTCGCCGAAGCCCATGGCAGATGCCGATTCCAGTTGCACGAAATCCGTGTGGTAACGCCATTGCAAAATGTAGCGGCATAGGCGACGATTCGCGAACGCACACCCTCATTTTCGGTGCTGTCAGTCAAGTTCAGGGGAACTGCTGACAGCCGAGTATGCCTGGGATTGTCAGGAGCCTGATTTTTCAGGCTAAGGGGATGCCGCTCTGATTCTCAGCAACTCTAGTAAAGACCACTAAGACCCTTTCCTTCGGCTTATGGTTGTATGGCTCCATCGCCACGACTACGTACTGACTGAGATTGCATAGGGATTAACGGTCAGGCGCATAATAGTTGGGAATCTGTGCGCTCGCCGTCTGGAGTTGCTTTTCTAGGGAGCAGCTTACTGCTTTTTTCTAGTTTACTCGCAAAGAACGATATACTTGTTCTTTCTTTCTTCGCCAGCTTTTGAAAACTCGACCATCTCACGCAATGGATACTACATACGGAGACGAGAGTTCAAGTTGAAATCATCGCAACCTTCATCCCGTCCCAGTTTTTCTAGAGATTCTCGCAGCAATAGCCTATCTGATCTTCTACAGACCCCAATCTCCAATAAATCTGTTGCCATGTACAGTAACTTTAAGGAGCAAGGGATCGAGTATGCGAAGCAGGCTGTACAGGAGGATACAGCTGGCAACTATGCGAAGGCCTTGCCTCTTTACATGAACGCGCTCGAGTATTTTAAGACCCACTTGAAGTACGAGAAGAACCCGAAGATTAAGGACGCGATTCAGGCCAAGTTCGTGGAATACCTAGATCGAGCCGAGCAGATTAAGGAGGTACTGGAAGGAGCACCGCAGAACGGAGCGCCGGGGGACGCGGCGTCTGCTATTAAGCCGAAGGCGAAGAAAGGCGGAGCTGGTGGTGGTGGGGATGACGACGCGGACAACATGAAGCTTCGATCGGGGTTGAATTCGGCCATTGTGCGAGAGAAGCCGAACATCAAGTGGTCCGACGTGGCAGGGTTGGAAGGCGCGAAGCAGGCGCTCCAGGAAGCGGTCATCCTGCCTGTCAAATTCCCGCAGTTTTTCACAGGCGAGTACCTCGCGGTCTTTATGGGCAGTTGATTGACCTATTCTTGCTGTTACGCACGTAGCAAAGCCAACAATTCCTTGGCGTCTTGCAATTTATAAATGTTGCCATAGAAACCTACTTTTACTCTCTACACCATCACGTGTTGCTGACATCCATTCCGAAAGTCGACATTGACATTCTTCAAATGCCTCACATCCGTGGAATGCATGTTTGTGCCTCTATCTATGGCAGGCAAGAGGCGGCCATGGAGAGCGTTCCTCCTGTACGGCCCGCCAGGCACGGGCAAGTCGTATCTCGCCAAGGCTGTCGCCACGGAGGCCGATTCCACCTTCTTTAGGTTAGTCTGGGGAATTGTTTGAATGCTGTTACCATTTCAGGTATTTCCTCCCTGGCATGGCTCTCCAGGCACTGGTTAATCATGTTTCGCCAAGGCGGGTGCCATGGAATCCGATTCCACCTTCTTCAGGTTAGTCTGGAGGTCTGACCGGAATGCTGTTTCGTGGTAATAAAAAAAAACGGGTATTTCCTCCTGGTACGGCTCTCCAGGCCTAACCACCCCTCCCTCCTATACCCCCGTTCCTCCCCATTCTGCCCCCTCCCCTTCTCTGCAGCATCTCGCCTTCCGTCCTGGCTTTCTGTGGATGGGCGAGAGCGAGAAGCTGGTGGCAAACCTCGTAACACTTATCGAATCCCCTTCCCTCCCATATCCTTCCCCTCACGCCCCGTTCTCCCCTCCCCTTCCCCCCGAACCCTCCCCCCCCCCCCCCCCCTCACTTTTCTGCAGCATCTTGTCGTCCCACCTGGTGTCTAATTGGATGGGTGAGAGAGAGAAGCTGGTAACAGTGCACCTTGTAACACTTCTTCCCCTCCATTCCCCCCTCTTCCCTGCAGCATCTCGTCGTCCGACCTGGTATCCAAGTGGATGGGCGAGAGTGAGAAGCTGGTGGCGAATCTCTTTCAGATGGCGCGCGAGAGTGCGCCCTCCATCATCTTCATAGACGAGATCGACTCGCTGTGCGGCCAGAGAGGCGAGGGCAACGAGAGCGAGGCGTCACGGCGCATCAAGACAGAGTTCCTCGTCCAGATGCAGGTGAGGGGGTCATTCATGAGGTCGCTCATCACCAGGTGGCTGGCAGTGAGGTAGGGGGAGAGTGCGACTTTTGAGGCGCCTCAAAAATCGTTCTTGAAGTGGCTGGTAGTGGGGTAGGGTGAGAGTGCTTCCTCGATCATTTTCATAGGCGGCAAGATCGGCTCGCTGTGTGGCTAGCGGGGCGAGGGCAACGAGAGCAGGCTTCCTGACGCATCAAAACAGAGTTCCTCGTCGATATGCAGGTAACAAGAATGATGCTGGGATGGTTAATTAAAAATGATTAACTAAGGAAGAACTAATATGCATCATACCAGATTTTACATTTCCAGGTGAAGGTAACAAGGAGGATGGTGATAGGGTTAGTGTCTGAGTGGTTAGCAGTCTGGGAAGGGTGAGGCCGTTAGCAAGTAACAACAACTCTCCATCCCTCCCTCTGATCCGCCCCCTTCTTCTCTCTCTCCCTCCCTCCCTCCCTCCCTCCCTCCCTCCCTCCCTCCCTCCTTCCCTCCCTCCCTCCCTCCCTCCCTCCCTCCCTCCCTCTCCCTCCCTCTCTCCGTCCCTCCGTCCCTCCCTCCCTCTCTCCCTCCCTCTCTTCCTCCTCCCTCCCTCCCTCCCTCCCTCCCTCCCTCCCTCCCTCCCTCCCTCCCTCCCTCCCTCCCTCCCTCCCTCCCTCCCTCCCTCCCTCCCTCCCTCCCTCCCTCCCTCCTTCCCTCCCTCCCTCCCTCCCTCCCTCCCTCCCTCCCTCCCTCCCTCCCTCCCTCCCTCCCTCCCTCCCTCCCTCCCTCCCTCCCTCCCTCCCTCCCTCCCTCCCTCCCTCCCGCCCTCCCGCCCTCCATCCCTCCTTCCCGCTCTCCATCCCTCCCTCCCTCTCCAGGGCGTGGGCACGGAGGACAACAAGGTGCTGGTGCTCGCTGCCACCAACACGCCCTACTCGCTCGACCAGGTAACCATGCATGCTGTCTTCGTGCTCTTTTTTTCATATCTTCTTTCTCCCCTTTTTGTCCCCTTCCCCTCCTTCCAAGCACCCCACAACACACCATTCCACCTCCCCCGCATGCCCCCTCCTCGGGCCCCTGCTCCCCTTTATTGCCAATTTTCGGCGCTTTCTCCCCCCCACTGCTGTCGTGCACTCCCCTTCCTCCGTTTACACCTTTCCTCCCTTCGCCTCCCTCATTCACGCCCTTCCTCCCAGGCGGTGCGTCGGCGCTTTGACAAGCGAATCTACATCCCACTACCGGATGTGAAGGCCAGGCAGCACATGTTTAAGGTGAGACTGGCACAGCATAGTGTTTGGGATAGGCAAGTGCATGGTGTTTGGTGTGCCTTGAGGCGCATCCATTAGTTTCGACTGCAAAATCCCCAGCCAACCCCAGTACGATCCGCATGCTCTACAGTATGCCATGGCAGAGAGAAATAATATCAAGTCCACTGCACGGGCAATCCCTCCCGCGCCTTTCAACCTATTGCTCTTCAGGTCCATCCAGGAGACACGCCCTACGGCCTGTCGCAGGAGAAACGGTTCAATGTTTCTTGGAAGGGATGTCATTCCTCCCCTTTTTTCCCTACCCATCTGCAGGTGCATCTTGGGGACACGCCCTACAGCCTGTCAGAGAAGGACTTTGAGGAGCTGGCTCAGAAGACAGATGGATTCTCGGGGTCGGATATTTCAGTCTGTGTAAGTGTTGTACTGTGTCTGGCAGCATTGTGTCGCATATGATGATGCCTGTTGGTGCAGCTTCACATGCCCCCCTCAGCCTGACGTTGCCAGCGTCCTCATTCCGTTTCTGAGCATTTTGCCCGCTGTTCTGTTTCTCCTCCTTCTGTGTGACCTCCTGCACCTGGCTGAATTGTTCATTCTCCCCATGTGTGCGTCCTCTTGTTTCTCCCTATGCCCTACCATGTGTGTCTGACCAGGTGAAGGATGTCTTGTTTGAGCCCGTTCGAAAGACACAAGATGCCATGCACTTTAAGAAGGTGAGACACAGATTCACTGGTGTTGTGTGGTACATGCCGTGTGGGCTGCGGGAGCCAGGTGCCATTCAGATGAGACAGCCATGCACCCTGTCTCTCACCACAACACACAACACCAACCACCAGGAGCACACGTGTGATTGGATCACAAGCCACGCGTGAACAGGATCAGCAGACGCACGCACCTTGAGAGGGTCAAGTGAGAGGTCGAGGGCGAAGGCCCTGCTGAGCAGCACACTGGCAGCCCACCACACCGACCGCTCTGATATTAACTGAAATGAGACCCCCCCCCCTCCCCCCTCCGCTCCTCCCTTCCTTCTCACCAGATGTCCAAGGATGGGGATGTGTGCTACATGTCTTGTGGGCTGCGGGAGACAAGCGCCATTGAAATGAGACCCCATGCACCCTGTCTCTCACTTTCCCCATCCTTCTACTTCTCACCAGGTGAGGACGGGGATGTGTGCTACATGCCGTGTGGCCTGCGGGAGCCAGGCGCCATTCAAATGAGACCCCATGCACCCTGTTTCTCACTAGCCCCACTCTCCCCCTCCCCTCTCCCCAGGTGTCCAAGGACGGGGACGTGTGCTACATGCCATGTGGGCCGCAGGAGCCAGGCGCCATCCAGACTACCATGGAGGAGCTTGCAGCACAGGGGCTGGGGGAGAAGGTGAGGGGGGGGAGGGGAAGCGAAGGGAAGTGGTAGGGTACACTTGAAGGTTGGAGGTGGGGAGGTGGTGGGAGGAACTGGGGGTGAATAGGGTGTGTGTGAAAGCCAGACACCATAAATTGCAACTTCACAGCGGCATGCACACTTTTCATGCCCTCACACTTTGGCTTACCTTTGGTGCGCTACTTTTCTTTTGCTTATTTTGTTTTGGGTTGCCTTCATTGTTATTTTTGTTGCAGATTGTTCCTCCACCCATCATGAAGTCGGACTTTGACAAGGTGTTGTCGCGACAGAAGCCAACAGTGAGCAAAGACGATTTAAAGATTCAAGAGAAGTTTACGGAAGAGTTTGGGGAAGAAGGGTAATTGTGGAGTGTTGTGGACATGCTCTGCCACATGGATGATTAGGTAGTCTCACTTCGACTTGTGTTTTACATGTTTGCTAGCACTCATTGTAGCAAATGGAAGTAGGTTTTAGGCGCTCCAATCTGTTTATAATGTATAAACCAGTTTGCTGTACACGTCAGAAATTTAGTTGGTTGATATTCGAACTATCCTAGTCAGCATTTGTCTTCCAGCGAATCAAACGTTGCCATGCTGGTAAATTTGCGCCCAGATCAGCTCGATGTCCGCCCGTTTTCGCGTTTTCCAATGTGCTCGGCCCAGGCTGGCGGAAAGATCTGACGCCACTCACGGCCGTTGCGAATGCGCAGGGAGGGACCCGACACCGCACCGCACCGCAACGCATTCAAAATTTCAGGACCAAGCCCCCTATTCCCCGCCTGACGTTTGGCCGCCACCGCGGCGAACCTCGATATTGTCATTTCGCTTTCAGCCTTCAGCCCAGCTTCCCTCCCGTTCACCCTCTTGTTCAAGCAACCAAGCAAAAGGAAGCTCTGGGTTTATTTGGAGAGTTGTCTTCGTCTTCGGCGTTTGTCTTCTCTGTTGCGTAGGGCTTGTTCACTCACGCCGGATCGCGAGTCGCCCCGGCGGTACGGTTTTCTGTGCAGAAACGAGGGCTGAAGCGCCTGAGGGAAAGGCTTCGGCAAGCTTGTGTCTTTCGCAGGTGACTTTTCTTTCGTTCGTTCATTCTTTTCCTTCAAGTCGTGGCCTTCCTCTCGTTCGCACCAATACTTTGCAGCATTTAGGGACATGGCGACCCTTGGAGTCACTTCCTTGAACTTCACCTGCCCGTGCGTTAAAAATCTGTTTAAGATCCACTTGATCGAAGCTCTTGGGTCTCTCCCTTGGCTCCTTTATCTCTCCCACGCCTCTCCGATCTCCCGCTACCACCTTATCCTGCCTGAGTCCGCTTTTCCAGTTAATTTTCCTCCTCAGTACTCCTTTTCTGGCCCCACATTCATATATACAGCCATAAATTTCTTTCGTACCGTTTTTCGTCTTCCGTGCGCCGATCTTTCGCCTCCATTTCAGCGCAATCGTGGGGATTTGATTTCGCCGGAGGGCGCTGCGTCCCGCGGCCATGGAGGGACTGCTTTCCGCGTGCCTGCTGCAGCCGCGCGCGCTTGCGCTCGGCGTTTCCCCTTGCCTTCCGCGCTCCTCCTCCCGCCATCCGCGCACGCGTTTGCGCTCCGCCATTGTCTCCCCGGCCAGCGGCGGAGCTGGCGCTGCACGGCTCGGTAGCAGATGGCTCGGATCTCGAAACTTTTCCGCTGCCCGGAATGTGGCTCCGGGAAGTACCGTTTCTTGCCCGGCGCCAGTGGTGCTGCCACGTGGCGTAGCGCAGCCAGTTGTGGCGACGGCTGGTCAGACCCCAAAGGCGGTTTCGGTGAGTGATGAGCATTCTTATTCAACACAGCTATAAGGAGGGAGGCAAGAAAACGGGGAAGAGAGACAGAATGGGCGTGAGAGGGCTGACGAGAGGGGGGGGGGTCACGCAGGGCATGCAGTTGTTGCCATGAGCAACGTACTGCATTGTGTAGTTACGTGCACAGTCTTAGGGTGCACCGCTACCCCATGTCAGGCTTCTGGGGACACGGAATGGACACGGGGAATGGGGCACGGGGCATGGGGCACGGGGCATGGGGCACGGGGGACGGGGCACGGGGGACGGGGTACGGGGTTCGGGGAAGGAAGGATATTGCATTTACTCATCAGCCACACTGCTGACGTCACAAGATCGGGCTGTCAAAGACCGACACGCAGTGAGCTGACACGCACGGGGTAGGACCTGTGCCCTTAACGTTGCCTCTTCATTCACCCCGTTCTCCACAGGGCGATGCGCTGGTGGCTGAGAGCAGCGAGTCGGTCCCGCCTGCCTCCGCCCATGCGCATATGGTCACCCACTTCTACCGCCACCCACTCCTCTCTGACGCCGCCACGGAATCGCTGCTTCACAAGGTAACCCTCCAGTATTTTAGAGACGCCTCAAATTTCTCCGCGCCTGCTCGTACGTTCACCCACTTCTACCGCCACCCGCTCCTCTCTCTCCGAGGCTGCCACAGAATCGCTGCTTCACAAGGTATGAGCCAGCCACTCCTCTCTGTCGCTGCAACAAATCACTGCCGAGCTCTCTTGTGCCCTTCCCTCCGTGCACTCCCCCTGCCGCTGCTCCTTGTTGCTTATTTTCCTTCACATGATTTTGACTCCGGTACCCCGTTGGCTCAGCAACCCCCTTCTTCCCACTACCCCTTCCCTGTTGCATGCTTCCCACGGTCCTCCTTCCCTCGCTCCTCCTGCCCCTCTCTCCTCCTCCATCCCCTGCTTCTTCTCCCGCCCACTCTCCCCTCTTCCTTCTCAGGTCCAGGAGAAGGTGTGCGCTGACGTCATCAGCATCCGCACGGAGCAGTGCTTCAACGTGGAGCTGACGTCACCTCTGGACGCAGCACACGAGGCGGCTCTGGTGTGGGTGTTATCTGAGACGTACGAGCCTGAGAAGCTCACCCGGGAGTCGGTTTTCAGTGCTGGCGCTGCAGCGGAGGGGGAAGGGGAGAGGGAGGAGGAAGGGGAGGTGGTGGTGGTGGAGGTGGGGCCTCGTTTGTCGTTTACCACTGCCTGGTCGACAAACGCTGTCTCCATCTGCCGCTCTTGCACCCTGGAGCAGGTAGGGCTGCAAATTAAAGTGTGGGGTCTGAAGCAGGTAAGAGGGCGGAAGAGCGAGTGGTGGGGTCTAAAGTAAGGGGGCAACAGAGAGAGGTGTGGGGTCTGAAGCAGGTGAGAGGGGGCAGATCGTGGTGGGGCCTGGAGCAGGTAAGGGGGCAGCAGGGTCCTTGAGAGCTCTCGCCACTTCCTCTCTGTCCACTTGCTCCCCGTGCTGCTTAGTAACCCAGTTGTCCCCCGTCCCGCCCACTTCCCCACTCCCCTCAACCCCCCATCCCCCCCACCCCATTTCTCTCCGTTCCCTCCCCCCAGGTGACGCGCATCGAGAGGTCGCGCCGCTACGCCCTGCAGCTGGCGCCAGGCGTTGAGGCGGCTGCTGTGTTTGGGGAGGAGCAGAGGGCAGCGTTTGCCGCGCTGGTGCACGATCGCATGACTGAGTGTGTGTATGAGTCACGGCTTGAGACGTTTGTCACAGACGCTGCTCCCGCGCCTGTTGTGCGCATCCCCGTCATGAAGGTGAGTCACGCGTTTACTCCCATTGTAGTGTGATTGCTAGCGGCTCTGGTGCATGATCGCATGACGGAGTGTGTGTACGAGTCAAGGCTTGAAACTTTTGTCACGGATGCTGCTCCCACACCTGTTGTGCGCATCCCCGTCATGAAGGTGAGCTGTTGTTGCGCACTTTATTGTCATGTCATCACCCCCGTTCTCACCATTTATTTTCCAACAGGTTTACCATGCTCACACACCCTGCCCATAAAATTCTCACTCGTGCCTTCTTTTTTCTTCTCAGCATCCATCTGCTCATTACAAAGCACATTGTGAGTGGAAGGAGCGCCAGGCATTGGATCAGGTCAACGTAGAAATGGGCCACCCCTCAAGCTTCTTGCAATCACTCCCCATCCTCCCTCTCCCCTCCCCGATTTTCCTCCCCCCTCGTCCCCTTCCCCTCCGCTGTGCTCTCTCAAATACACCCTGTATGAGCAGGAGGGGCGCAAGGCGCTGGAGCAGGTCAACAAGGAGATGGGTCTGGCGTTTGATGAGTGGGACCTGGACGTGAGTGCTGATGGGCAGGGAAGGGAGGGGAGGGATAGCTGTGCAGAGAGGGTGGGATAGAAGGGTGTCAAGAAGGAGATGGATCTGGCGTTCGACGAGTGAGACCTGGACGTGAGTAGTGATGGGGTGGGGGAGGGCAGAGAGTTAGCTGTAGAGTGAGGAGGGGGGATAGAAGGGTGTCAACAAGGAGTGGGACCTGGATGTGAGTTGGGAGGGGAGTGGGGGAGAGGGAGGGGAGTGGAAGGGGGGTGATAGCTGTACAGAGGGAGGGGAAAATAGAAGGGTGAATACAAGGGTGCCAACAACCGGGAGATGGGACCGGCGTTCGATGAGTGGGACCTGGACGTGAGTAGTGGTGGGGGTGGGGGAGAACGGGGAGGGGAGGGGAGGGGTGGGAAGAGGGAGGGGGGATATAAGGAGTGTGGCCTACTAGTTGCATATGCAAGGCAGTGTCGGTGTTGACTGAGAAGAAATCAAATTATTGTACATGGGAGATCTTTGAGAAGTTTTTTGAGTCGACTCAGAAATCGTCTCATCACATTCGGTGTTGACTGAGAAGAAATGGGAGCTGTTCGAGAAGTTTCATCTGCCTCCTCCCCTCGCACCTCCTCCACCCCACCCTCTCCCCCCCACCCACCAGTACTACACGCGTCTGTTCCGCGAGGACGCCGGGCGCGACCCCACCAACGTGGAACTGTTCGACATCGGGTTGAGGACTCATGTGTGTTCCTCTCTTTCTCCCCCTCTCCTCCCACCCACCCCCTTCCCCCCCCACACCCCTCCACCAGTACTACACGCGTCTGTTCCGCGAGGACATCGGACGGGACCCCACGAACGTGGAGCTGTTTGACATCGCACAGTCCAACTCCGAGCACAGCCGCCACTGGTTCTTCAAGGTACGGCAGGCAGTTGTAGAGGCATTATCCTCGTTATAGGCAGAGCTGAGTACCCTTATAGGCAGTCTCCCCACTGTGGGACCCCACCAACGTGGAGCTGCTGGATATCGCACAGTCCAACTCCGAACACAGCCGCCACTGGTACTTAAAGGTGCAGTACATTTTATCCTCGTTATAGGCAGAGTCAACTATCCTCGTTATAGGCAGAGTCAACTATCCTCGTTATAGGCAGTCTTTTTACCCACTGTAGGACCCCACCAACGTGGAGCTGTTTGACATCGCACAGTCCATTGCACCTCCCCGTTTCCCCACTCTTTCTCTGCCCAGGGCGATTTGACAGTGGACGGGCAGAAGGTGCAGCACACTTTGATGGATCTGGTGAAGGACACGCTCAAGGCCAACCCCAACAACTCCGTCATTGGCTTCAAAGACAACTCCAGGTGAGCGGTGACTGAGAATCAGCACTCACGGGCGTTGTAGCCGAGTCACTGACTGATTCCTATGCTAGAACGAGTGGTCTTGGTCTGCTCAATGCAGCCATCACAGCTTTTGTTTGTTCCCTCATTCCCCTCCTCCCCCTCCTTCCCCCTTTTCCTCCCCCCACCCCTCTTTCCCCCCTTCTCTCCCCCATTCCACCGACTCGCTTTTCCAGTGCAATTCGAGGCCGGGTCGTGTCCGCCATCCTGCCCGAGAATCCCGGGCAGCCATCAAAGCTGGAGCCTCAGGAGCGGGACTATGACATTCTCTTTACCGCCGAGACGCACAACTTTCCCTGCGCCGTGAGTCAACGTCCCTGTATCCTGTTACCGTATAAGGTGTTAGCGTTGTAAGCACAACTTCACAAGCTGGAGCCTCAGGAGCGGGACTATGACTGCCTCGGTCAACCAACTTCCCTCATTCCCGCTTCGTTGTCCAAACGCCCTTTGTGTTTTTCACTGCAGGTGGCGCCATTTCCCGGGGCAGAGACGGGCGCAGGCGGGCGGATTCGCGACACACACGCGACAGGTGTCGGCTCGCTAGTGGTTGCTGCTACTGCTGGTTACTGCGTGGGCAACTTGCAGGTAAGTGCAGACTGGGTAGAAAAAGGAAGGGGAGGGGGAGCGCTTGTGAACGGGGAGGGCGAAGAAGGGAAAGAAGTTGGGGGGACGGGTGAGGGTTAAACAGCAATGGGGTGCTACTGTGGTTGCTGACTCTGCGGATTATTGTGGAGCCGACTTGCTGATTTTTCCTTGTTTGTTTTCTTGCCAACCCCTGCTGGTTTCCCCCCTTCGTTATAATCGCATCACGCTCAGATGGAGGGGCATGCAGCACCCTGGGAAGACACCTCGTTTGAGTATCCTCCGAACCTCGCTCCACCGCTCCAGGTCAGCCCTGCACCAGATTGCACCTCCCTCTCTTTGCATGGCACACAAGATTGCACCTTTTCGTCACGTTGAACAGTTTCTTGATTTGTTCAATCAGGAAGTAAGTCTTATGTCTTATGTCCTTGCTTGTCTTATGTCCTTGCTTGTCTTATGTCCTTGCTTGTCTTATGTCCTTGCTTGTCTTATGTCCTTGCTTGTCTTATGTCCTTGCTTGTCTTATGTCCTTGCTTGTCTTATGTCCTTGCTTGTCTTATGTCCTTGCTTGTCTTATGTCCTTGCTTGTCTTATGTCCTTGCTTGTCTTATGTCCTTGCTTGTCTTATGTCCTTGCTTGTCTTATGTCCTTGCTTGTCTTATGTCCTTGCTTGTCTTATGTCCTTGCTTGTCTTATGTCCTTGCTTGTCTTATGTCCTTGCTTGTCTTATGTCCTTGCTTGTCTTATGTCCTTGCTTGTCTTATGTCCTTGCTTGTCTTATGTCCTTGCTTGTCTTATGTCCTTGCTTGTCTTATGTCCTTGCTTGTCTTATGTCCTTGCTTGTCTTATGTCCTTGCTTGTCTTATGTCCTTGCTTGTCTTATGTCCTTGCTTGTCTTATGTCCTTGCTTGTCTTATGTCCTTGCTTGTCTTATGTCCTTGCTTGTCTTATGTCCTTGCTTGTCTTATGTCCTTGCTTGTCTTATGTCCTTGCTTGTCTTATGTCCTTGCTTGTCTTATGTCCTTGCTTGTCTTATGTCCTTGCTTGTCTTATGTCCTTGCTTGTCTTATGTCCTTGCTTGTCTTATGTCCTTGCTTGTCTTATGTCCTTGCTTGTCTTATGTCCTTGCTTGTCTTATGTCCTTGCTTGTCTTATGTCCTTGCTTGTCTTATGTCCTTGCTTGTCTTATGTCCTTGCTTGTCTTATGTCCTTGCTTGTCTTATGTCCTTGCTTGTCTTATGTCCTTGCTTGTCTTATGTCCTTGCTTGTCTTATGTCCTTGCTTGTCTTATGTCCTTGCTTGTCTTATGTCCTTGCTTGTCTTATGTCCTTGCTTGTCTTATGTCCTTGCTTGTCTTATGTCCTTGCTTGTCTTATGTCCTTGCTTGTCTTATGTCCTTGCTTGTCTTATGTCCTTGCTTGTCTTATGTCCTTGCTTGTCTTATGTCCTTGCTTGTCTTATGTCCTTGCTTGTCTTATGTCCTTGCTTGTCTTATGTCCTTGCTTGTCTTATGTCCTTGCTTGTCTTATGTCCTTGCTTGTCTTATGTCCTTGCTTGTCTTATGTCCTTGCTTGTCTTATGTCCTTGCTTGTCTTATGTCCTTGCTTGTCTTATGTCCTTGCTTGTCTTATGTCCTTGCTTGTCTTATGTCCTTGCTTGTCTTATGTCCTTGCTTGTCTTATGTCCTTGCTTGTCTTATGTCCTTGCTTGTCTTATGTCCTTGCTTGTCTTATGTCCTTGCTTGTCTTATGTCCTTGCTTGTCTTATGTCCTTGCTTGTCTTATGTCCTTGCTTGTCTTATGTCCTTGCTTGTCTTATGTCCTTGCTTGTCTTATGTCCTTGCTTGTCTTATGTCCTTGCTTGTCTTATGTCCTTGCTTGTCTTATGTCCTTGCTTGTCTTATGTCCTTGCTTGTCTTATGTCCTTGCTTGTCTTATGTCCTTGCTTGTCTTATGTCCTTGCTTGTCTTATGTCCTTGCTTGTCTTATGTCCTTGCTTGTCTTATGTCCTTGCTTGTCTTATGTCCTTGCTTGTCTTATGTCCTTGCTTGTCTTATGTCCTTGCTTGTCTTATGTCCTTGCTTGTCTTATGTCCTTGCTTGTCTTATGTCCTTGCTTGTCTTATGTCCTTGCTTGTCTTATGTCCTTGCTTGTCTTATGTCCTTGCTTGTCTTATGTCCTTGCTTGTCTTATGTCCTTGCTTGTCTTATGTCCTTGCTTGTCTTATGTCCTTGCTTGTCTTATGTCCTTGCTTGTCTTATGTCCTTGCTTGTCTTATGTCCTTGCTTGTCTTATGTCCTTGCTTGTCTTATGTCCTTGCTTGTCTTATGTCCTTGCTTGTCTTATGTCCTTGCTTGTCTTATGTCCTTGCTTGTCTTATGTCCTTGCTTGTCTTATGTCCTTGCTTGTCTTATGTCCTTGCTTGTCTTATGTCCTTGCTTGTCTTATGTCCTTGCTTGTCTTATGTCCTTGCTTGTCTTATGTCCTTGCTTGTCTTATGTCCTTGCTTGTCTTATGTCCTTGCTTGTCTTATGTCCTTGCTTGTCTTATGTCCTTGCTTGTCTTATGTCCTTGCTTGTCTTATGTCCTTGCTTGTCTTATGTCCTTGCTTGTCTTATGTCCTTGCTTGTCTTATGTCCTTGCTTGTCTTATGTCCTTGCTTGTCTTATGTCCTTGCTTGTCTTATGTCCTTGCTTGTCTTATGTCCTTGCTTGTCTTATGTCCTTGCTTGTCTTATGTCCTTGCTTGTCTTATGTCCCGTTCCCCCACTCTCCAAGCCTCCTTTCCAGATCCTGCTTTGAGGCGCCTCAAAACGATCCTGCTTGATGCCAGCGACGGTGCGTCGGACTATGGCAACAAGTTCAAAGAGCCTCTTATCCAGGGCTACGCACGCACGTTCGGCTTGCGGCTGGCAAGTCTGGAATGCACCCACTCATCCCCCTTCTCTTCCTCCCCCTCCCGCTCCCCTTCCGCGCCCCTCAACGATCTACGCAGATTCTGCTAGACGCCAGCGACGGTGCATCAGACTATGGCAACAAGTTTGGAGAGCCTCTCATCCAAAACTACACACGCACGTTCGGGATGAATCCACCCATCCCCCCTTTGCTCTTCCCACCCTTCCCCCTCCCCGTATGCGCCCCTCATCACTTTGCTCCAGATTCTTCTTGATGCCAGCGACGGTGCATCAGACTATGGCAACAAGTTTGGAGAGCCTCTCATCCAGGGCTACACACGCACGTTCGGGATGCGGCTGGCGAGTGGGGAGAGAAGGGAGTGGCTGAAGCCCATCATGTTCAGCGGGGGCATCGGACAGATTGACCACCGGCATTTAGTGAAGGAGGAACCAGACGTGGGCATGCTGGTGGTCAAGGTGAGTCAACGCCAGTCAAGGCGGGTCAAAGCCAGTCAACGCCATTCAACGTGTGTGGGAATGGGGAGGGAGTGGGTGAAGCCGATCATGTTCAGCGGGGGCATTGGGCAGATTGACCACCGGCATTTAGTGAAGGAGGAACCAGACGTGGGCATGCTCGTGGTCAAGGTGAGTCAACGGGAGTCAACGCCAGTCAACGTGTGTGGGAAACGGGAGGGAGTGGCTGAAGCCCATCATGTTCAGCGGGGTTATTGGACAGATTGACCACCGGCATTTGGTGCAAGAGGAGCCAGAAGTGGGCATGCTGGTGGTCAAGGTGAGTCAACGCGGGTCAACGCCAGTCAACGCTAATCATTGCTAGTCAACGCTAGTCAACGTGTGTGGGGTATCGGGCAGATTGACCACCGGCACCTGGTGAAGGAGGAACCGGACGTGGGCATGCTGGTGGTCAAGGTGAGTCAACGCCAGTCAACGCCAGTCAACGCCAGTCAACGTGTGTGGGGACGGGGAGGGAGTGGCTGAAGCCGATCATGTTCAGCGGGGGCATCGGGCAGATTGACCACCGGCACCTGGTGAAGGAGGAACCGGACGTGGGCATGCTGGTGGTAAAGGTGAGTCAGTCAACGACGAGAGTCAACACCAGTCAATGCTAGTCAACCCCAGACAACGTGTGTGGGGACGGGGAAGGAGTGGCTGAGGCCATCATGTTCAGCGGAGGCATCGGGCAGATCGACCACTGGCACCTGGTGAAGGAAGAGCCAGACGTGGGCATGCTGGTGGTCAAGTTGAGTCAACTCCAGTCAACGCCAGTGAAGCGGAGTGAAAAGGGAGTCGAGGCAAGTTGTGGCGAGTCCAGGCCTTTCGAGACAGGAGACCGCGCGCACATTGGCATGGGCAAGGGTGCACCCACTTGCATGGCATCACAATTGTGCCGCTCAGTCTCTTCCCCTCCCTTCACTCTTTTCTCCCGTGCAGATAGGAGGCCCCGCTTATCGCATTGGCATGGGCGGAGGTGCGGCCAGCAGCATGGTGTGTGCATGGTTATCAGGTGCTGTCTTGTGCTGTGCAGAACCCCCCTCCTTCCCCTCACTCTTCCTCCCGTGCAGATTGGAGGCCCGGCGTATCGCATTGGCATGGGCGGGGGTGCGGCCAGCAGCATGGTCTCGGGCACGCGCGACGCAGAGATGGATTTCAATGCGGTGCAGAGGGGTGACGCGGAGATGGCTCAGAAGCTGAACCGCGTGGTGCGCACGTGTGTGGAGCTGGGGGATCAGAACCCCATCCTCAGCATCCATGACCAGGTGAGAGCATTTTAGGTTGTGTATCAAAAGTGTCGGCATCTCACGTGGTAGAGGTAGCACCATCTGTGCGTGTGCCCCACATGGGTGGTGTGCACGTGTGTGGAGCTGGGCGACCAAAACCCCATTCTCAGCATCCACGACCAGGTGAGTGCTTTTGATGCTATATATAGTCAAGGCATTCCTGAAATACACGTGTGTGGAGCTGGGCGATAAGAGTCCCATCTTGAGCATCCACGACCAGGTGAGTGCCACGACCAGGTGCATGCTGTATAGCTCATGTTACTAAGGCCCTTTCGAAGTACACGTGTGTGGAGCGGGGCGATCAGAACCCCATCCTGAGCATCCACGACCAGGTGAGTGCTGCCTAGGTTGCATAAATGCTCTCTTAGGGATTGACATGCCATCACCCTACCCTACCGTATCCCCATTCCTTCCGCTCCATCCCCTCACAGGGCGCGGGAGGCAACTGCAACGTGGTGAAGGAGAGAGCCATCTTGCCCCTAAAAGCTGTCCCGTGACCACTCTCCTCTGCTCTTTTTCCTCCTTCCCAGGGCGCCGGAGGCAACTGCAACGTGGTGAAGGAGATCATCTACCCGCAGGGCGCGGAGATTTCCTTGTCATTCACAACCCATTGTTCCTTGCTCTCTGTGCCTACACTCCTTTCTCCCCCCACTCTCAGGGCGCCGGAGGCAACTGCAACGTGGTGAAGGAGATCATCTACCCGCAGGGCGCGGAGATTGACGTGCGATCGATCGTGGTGGGCGATGAAACCATGTCCGTTCTTGAGATCTGGGGCGCCGAGTACCAGGAGCAGGTGAGACGTGGGGGCAATGGGTGCGGGGGGAAGCCATGTGCGACATGGGGAAGGGGGGGGGGGAGGGGGGGGGGGGAGGGTGTGGTAGATATGTGCGTTCGATTGTGGTGGGCGATGAGACCATGTCTGTTCTCGAGATCTGGGGCGCCGAGTACCAGGAGCAAGTGAGAACTGGGAGAGGGCGGGGAAGGAAGCTGAGGGGGCAATGCATGTTTGGTACTTGTTGGGGGTTGGGGAGGGCTTTCTCCTTCCTTCCTGTGGATTCACCGGGATTTTTCTCCTTGCTTTCCTCTCCACACCACGTTCAGATGAAGAAAGGATTTTTTTGAGACGTCTCATAACACTCCTTTCCTCCCTCCCGTGGATTCATCGGGATGTTTCTACTTTCTCCCCTCTCCACGCCTCGTTCTGTCGTTGAGGCACTGCTTTGGTCCCTCCGCCTTTGACCTTCCTCAGAAGCCCCCTCCCCTCTTCCCCTCTCCTCGTCGCCCCCTCTCCCTCCCTGTGCGCGTCTCAGGACGCCCTACTGGGCCGCCCAGAGAGTGAGGAGCTGCTGCGGACCATCTGCGTGTAAGGCTCCTCCTCGAAAGCCAACACATCGTCCTGCTTCCCCTTCCCTCCCCCCTTCCCCCTTCCTGTGCGTGCATCAGGACGCCCTCTTGGCCCGCCCAGAGAGTGAGGCACTGCTGCGGACCATCTGCGTTCCAGGTCTCCTCAGAAGTCCTCATACCTTTCCACTCCTTTCCCTACCCTCCCGACCCTATGCCTTCCTGTGCGTTCATCAGGACGCCCTACTGGCTCGCCCAGAGAGCGAGGCACTTCTGAGGTCGATTTGCGACCGAGAGAGGCTCTCCATGGCTGTTATTGGGACCATCAGGTAAACGCTCAGTTTGTACTCCTAAGCAGCATGCTGTCCGCTTCGGTTTATCTGCGACGAGAGGCTTTCCGTGGCTGTGATTGGACCACCGGATGAGCACTCTATTTGTTGTGCTTGTAAGCTTCACGCTGTGTGCCTCATATGTAAACAGGATGTGCCATCACTCGTCGCCCATCACCTCGCAATAGTGCTGCAGCAGCACGGTCATGCAGTTTGTTGCATGTGTGGCATCCTCCCTCTGCCTCCCCGCTCAGCATCCCGGCTTCCCCCATTCTTCTCCCCATCCCGCACGTCTCCCTCCCCGCCCAGTGGTTCCGGCAGGGTGGTTCTGTTTGACTCTAAAGAGCAGCAGGAGGCAGCAGCAGCAGGCCACGCCCCGCCTCTCCCAGCAGTGGATCTCGATTTGGACAAGGTGCTGGGGGACATGCCCAGCAAGCGCTCCATCCCCACTCCCTCTCACCCCTCTCCACCCCTCCATCCCGTGTGTCTCCCGCCTCTCGCAGCAGTGGATCTCGACAAGGTGCTGGGCGACATGCCCTGCAAGCGCATTCATTTGACCCTCCCCCCTCATTCCTCTCCTCCCTTATCCGTCCTGTGCATCTCCCGCCGCTTGCAGTGGTTCCGGCAAGGTGGTTCTGTTTGATTCGAAAGAGCAGCAGGAGGCAGCAGCGGCGGGCCACGCCCCTCCCCTCCCAGCAGTGGACCTCGATTTGGACAAGGTGCTGGGGGACATGCCCAGCAAGCGATTTGATTTCGTGCGCAGCTCAGACGAGAGGGAGCCTCTGGAGCTGCCCCCTGCTCTCACCGTGGCAGAGGCCCTCAAGCGCGTGCTCAGGCTGCCTTCTGTTGCGTCCAAGCGGTTCCTCACCACCAAGGTACGGCCCTTGCAAGGGAAGGGGTGCATGCAGTGGGCATGGGTGGTGTGGAAAGGTGGACAAGGTGTTGGGGGACATGCCCAGCAAGCGATTTGACTTCGTCCGCAGCTCAGACGAGAGGGAGCCTCTGGAGCTGCCCCCTGCTCTCACCGTGGCAGAGGCCCTCAAGCGCGTGCTCATGCTTCCATCCGTTGCATCTAAGCGCTTCCTCACCACCAAGGTACGGACACAGGTTCAGGGTTTAAGGTTTAGGGTTCATGAGGAAAGGGGGAGCCTCTGGAGCTGCACTTTGCGCTTACCGCCCCAGAGGCACTCAAACCGCGTGCTCAGAGTGCCGTCTGATGCTTCCAAGCGTTTCCTCACCACCAAGGTAGATGGGATGATGAGAGCGGGCTTGTGAGTCTACTCAAGTGTCACCTCTTGCCTCTCCCGTCCCTCTTGCCTTCCGACCCTGTTTCCACTTCCTACCCTTTTCAGAACTCTCTTTCTCTCCACTTCCATCCCTCCTCCCCTCGCTCCCTCTTTCCACGTCTGTCCACCTTGGCTTATAGTGAATGGAGCATGGAGGAGGGTGCTCAGCTGCTGTGCAATGGAAGGTCACAATGACCTGCATGCATGTTCTACATCATACACTCATTCCCACCACTCAAACGCCACCTTTCTTCCCTTGCTTGTCTCCCTTGCCTCCCTATCTCGCATCCCCATCAACCCCCCTCACCCTCATTCAGGTGGACCGCTGCGTTACCGGGCTTGTGGCACAGCAGCAGACCGTGGGCCCGCTGCAGATCACCCTTGCTGACGTGGCAGTCATCGCTCAGGTACAGTCTCCTTGCTGACGTGGCAGACACCCTGATTCCGCCCCTCGTCTGCCCGTTCTCACTCCCCCCCCCCCCCCAATTCTTCCTTGCCTCCTCCTTCACTTCCCCCAGTTGCACCCTTGCCCCCATGCTCCGATGGCATTATTCGTTTCTCCCTCCGTCTGCTTGTCATGCTCTTGTTATGGTGCATGGGGCATGGGACGTGTGGTGCATGGCCGTCATGGTGCATGAGGCGTTGGGGGTGCGGCGTGGGGCATGGGGCATGGGGGATGGGGCTTGGGGGTATGGGGGATGGGGGTATGGGGGATGGGGGCATGGGGCATGGGGGTATGGCGGATGGGGGATGGCACACGTGCATGAATGGATGTCACATGTGCAGACCCATACAGGCATCACGGGAGCAGCATGCGCTATCGGGGAGCAGCCAATCAAGGTATGCCACATCGACTCAAACCCTATAGTGTATGTCCTTTGTAAACTCGACCTCTTTCTCTCTGTAGAAATTTAATTATGCCTGCTGCTTTCCCTTTCGCCAGCAGCCACTGCGGCCACTGAGTTGTCAATCACACTGACAGTATGTGACTGGCAACTCATACTGTCTGATTGTTGAAATGTCTGAGGCTCCTAGGCCCTCACCGTCCCCCTTCGTGCCTGCCTCCCCATGTGCATGACCCACTTAACACCCTCCTCTCTCCCTTTTTCCCTCTCCTCCCCTCCGCTGCTCCCCACAGGGCCTCATCAACCCAGCAGCCATGGCGCGCATGGCCATTGGCGAGGCCCTCACCAACCTTGTGTGGGCCAAGGTGGGTCTTTAATCTGTGCTGAACTGGGCATGTGAGGGCTTCAGCATGTGGCCTATCAGCTGGTTGGTCTGATGTATGGTGTGGCGGTATGACATCTGCTCTGCTCTGATGTGCTCGCATCGTATGTGGGGGCCCCACAGTTGGGCAGCCATCGCGTGCATGGCGCTGGCCGAGGCCCTCCCTCACCAACCTTGTGTGAGCCGAGGGTGGGTTACGAGGGGGTTTGTAACACGGATTCCTGAGGTGGCTGGTGCGGCTGTACGGCCTTTAGCCCTGTGTGCTCTGGTGGCAGTGGGTGCACAGCAGCCATCGCGTGCATGGCGCTGGCCGAGGCCCTCTCTCACCAACCTCGTGTGAGCCGAGGTGGGTTACAAGGAATCGGTATTGCATCGCGTACACAGATGGGTTGTCGACTTTGTTATGCTGGCTGGCTGGCTTCCCTGCATCTTGCTTCCCCTTCCTTAGCGTGCAGGTGACTGCACCAGAGGACGTGAAAGGGGGTGACGACAGCTATTGTGAAGGCCTTTCCTGTGTGCTATTCTCCATTTCCCACTTTTACTCGATGCCCTGCTCTACCGTGCAGGTGATGGCCCTAGAGGATGTGAAAGCAAGCGGCAACTGGATGTTTGCGGCAAAGATGGGCGGGGAGAGGGCAGCCATGTAGTTGCTCTTCCCTGCTTGTTGATGCATCCTGCATTCCCTCCCATCCCATGGTCCCCCAGGTCACAGCATTAGAGGACGTGAAGGCAAGCGGCAACTGGATGTATGCAGCCAAGATGGGCGGAGAGGGGGCAGCCATGTACGATGCTGCAGTGGCGCTCAAGGAGGCAATGCTGGAATTGGGGATTGCGGTGGACGGTGGGAAGGATAGCTTGTCCATGGCTGCTACGGTGAGTGGGTGTGCTTGTTGTGGAAGCACTAGCACCAGCACCAGCACCAGCAGCCATGTACGATGCTGCAGTGGCGCTCAAAGAGGCGATGGTGGCTCTGGGGATTGCTGTTGATGGGGGGAAGGACAGTTTGTCCATGGCAGCTACGGTGAGTCCCTCATTCGTGACTCGTGAGGGGTGCAGCACCAGCAGCCATGTACGAAGAGGCGATGGTGGCTCTGGGGATTGCTGTTGATGGGGGGAAGGACAGTTTGTCCATGGCAGCTACGGTGAGTCCCTCATTCGTGACTCGTGAGGGGTGCAGCACCAGCAGCCATGTACGAAGAGGCGATGGTGGCTCTGGGGATTGCTGTTGATGGGGGGAAGGACAGTTTGTCCATGGCAGCTACGGTGAGTCCCTCATTCGTGACTCGTGAGGGGTGCAGCACCAGCAGCCATGTACGAAGAGGCGATGGTGGCTCTGGGGATTGCTGTTGATGGGGGGAAGGACAGTTTGTCCATGGCAGCTACGGTGAGTCCCTCATTCGTGACTCGTGAGGGGTGCAGCACCAGCAGCCATGTACGAAGAGGCGATGGTGGCTCTGGGGATTGCTGTTGATGGGGGGAAGGACAGTTTGTCCATGGCAGCTACGGTGAGTCCCTCATTCGTGACTCGTGAGGGGTGCAGCACCAGCAGCCATGTACGAAGAGGCGATGGTGGCTCTGGGGATTGCTGTTGATGGGGGGAAGGACAGTTTGTCCATGGCAGCTACGGTGAGTCCCTCATTCGTGACTCGTGAGGGGTGCAGCACCAGCAGCCATGTACGAAGAGGCGATGGTGGCTCTGGGGATTGCTGTTGATGGGGGGAAGGACAGTTTGTCCATGGCAGCTACGGTGAGTCCCTCATTCGTGACTCGTGAGGGGTGCAGCACCAGCAGCCATGTACGAAGAGGCGATGGTGGCTCTGGGGATTGCTGTTGATGGGGGGAAGGACAGTTTGTCCATGGCTGCTACGGTGAGTCCCTCATTCGTGACTCGTGAGGGGTGCAGCACCAGCAGCCATGTACGAAGAGGCGATGTTGGCTCTGGGGATTGCTGTTGATGGGGGGAAGGACAGTTTGTCCATGGCAGCTACGGTGAGTCCCTCATTCGTGACTCGTGAGGGGTGCAGCACCAGCAGCCATGTACGAAGAGGCGATGGTGGCTCTGGGGATTGCTGTTGATGGGGGGAAGGACAGTTTGTCCATGGCAGCTACGGTGAGTCCCTCATTTGTGACTCGTGAGGGGTGCAGCACCAGCAGCCATGTACGAAGAGGCGATGGTGGCTCTGGGGATTGCTGTTGATGGGGGGAAGGACAGTTTGTCCATGGCAGCTACGGTGAGTCCCTCATTCGTGACTCGTGAGGGGTGCAGCACCAGCAGCCATGTACGAAGAGGCGATGGTGGCTCTGGGGATTGCTGTTGATGGGGGGAAGGACAGTTTGTCCATGGCTGCTACGGTGAGTCCCTCATTCGTGACTCGTGAGGGGTGCAGCACCAGCAGCCATGTACGAAGAGGCGATGGTGGCTCTGGGGATTGCTGTTGATGGGGGGAAGGACAGTTTGTCCATGGCAGCTACGGTGAGTGGGTCCGACTGTAACGAGGATGATTCATTGGTGTGGTTGCAGCACCAACACCACCAGCAGAAGCACCAACACCAGCAGCCATGTACGACGCTGCAGTGGCGCTCAAAGAGGCGATGCTGGCGCCTGGGGATTGCCGTGGACGGTGGCAAGCTCAGCCTGAGTATGGCTGCCACGGTGATTGGGTGTGCCTATGACGAGTTGTGATAGTAACGAGCCCCGGTGAGTGTAACGAGCCGGTGAGTAACGAGCATACTGCTGGATTGGAGTGGGTTTGCAGGTGCAAGCATGCTGGATGCACTGGAATGGGCAACCATCCTTGCCTTCCTCTTCTCCCTGCCGTCCCTGTATCATGCTGAATACACCTGGCTGAGTTAAGTACATGCTGTGGTGTGTCTCTCCTCCCTGCCGGCCTGACCCTTCCTCTTCCCCCACTCCTCTACCCACCTTCCTCGCACCCACCCCCCCATGCCCTGTGTCCGTGTGCAGGCGGGGGGAGAGACCGTGATGGGGGGAGAGTCCGCACCAGGTCCGCCTGGCAACCTGGTGCGGAGCACTGAGCTCTTTCTCTCTTCCCCACTCCCCACCTCTGCCCGTCCCTGTCCTTCTTCCCCCCCGCTGTGTCCGTGTGCAGGCGGGGGGAGAGACAGTGATGGCGCCTGGCAACCTGGTGCTGAGCGCGTAACCTTTCCTCTCTTCACCGCTCCTCTCCTCTCCGTGCCCCTGTCCTTGCTTTCCTTGTGTGTGTGCAGGCGGGGGGGGAGACAGTGATGGCGCCTGGCAACCTGGTGCTGAGTGCGTACGTCACCTGCCCGGATATCACCCTCACTGTCACACCCGACCTCAAGGTGAGGGAGGGGAAGGAGAGGGTAGTAGAGACGGTAGCAGGGAGGGTAGCAGGGAGGGTAGCAGAGAGGGGGAGACGCAGTAGCTCCTGGCAACCTGGTGTTGAGTGCGTATGTCACCTGCCCAGATATCACCCTCACTGTCACTCCTGACCTCAAGGTGAGGGAGGAAGGCAATCAATCATGCACAGAACTTGCTCGCTGGATATTACGGCATTACCTGCCCAAAATAAAACTCTCATTGTTACAACCCTAAACCGCTCAACCAGAAGAAAATATTGTTGTTCTGCTGTATGATGCCTCTACCACCCCCACTTGTTCTCTTCCCACGCCCCCTTTGCAGCACCCAGGCGAGGGTGTGTTGATCCACGTGGACCTCAGTGCTGGCGACAGGCGTGGGGGCGGGGTGTGCGGTGAATTGGGCCAATGCCTGGTTTCTTTACTGCTTCCTTTACTTCAACACCTTTTCCCCTCACAGCTCCCAGGCGAGGGTGTGTTGATCCACGTGGACCTCAGTGCGGGCAACAGGCGGGTGGGCGGGTCGGCGCTCGCCCACGCGTACGACCAGATCGGCGATGAGTCACCAGATGCTGACGTGGCGCTGCTGAAGCGGGGCTTCAATGCCGTGCAGGTATGCGTGTTCAGTGTTTATGAGTAGCGTCCCCTCAAGGTTTGAAATCTAGGGTTACTGCATGGTTGAAAAATTGGGGTTTAAGTTTTGGGATGGCCTTCGCGGGCAGCACAGCCGTCACTGTTGATTTGCCTCAGTCCCTCATTCCCCTCTCCCACCCCTTCCACAGGACCTGATTGGCCGGCGACTGATCGCATCAGGCCACGATGTGAGCGGCGGCGGCATCATCACAGCCATCCTCGAGATGGCCCCTCCCCCCCCCTCCTCCTACCCCCACTTTTCCCCCCTCCCACCCTTGCAACCATCCCATCCCAGGACCTCACAGCCAGGGGAATCATCACAGCCATTCTCAAGATGGCCGTTGCTGGCAACACGGGCGTCACTGTCGACCTGCCCTGTGTCCTCCCATTCCCTCATTCCCCTTTCCCTCCTTGTGTAACCACACCAGGATCTGATCGGCCGGCGTCTCATAGCATCAGGCCACGACATCAGCGATGGTGGCATCATCACAGCCATTCTCGAGATGGCCTTTGCTGGCAACACGGGGGTCACTGTCGACCTGCCCTCGCCTGCTGCTGCTGCTGGGAAGAAGACAGACGGGGAAGATGAGGAGGAGGAGGAGGGGGTGGATGTGTTTGGAGCACTCTTTTCAGAGGAGCTGGGGCTTGTCATCGAGGTGGCGCCGGCCAATCAGGACGAAGTACTGCGCACGTTCTCCGCCGCCCAGGTCCCGGCCACCGTCATTGGCCAAGTCACGTCCGCCCCTCCTCCCTCCTCCTCCTCTGAAGCATCCTCCTCCTCTTCCTCCTCCTCCTCCTCCTCCTCCTCCTCTCCCTCCTCTCCTGCCTCTGCGCCACTGCTGTCGGTGGCGGTGGCGGGGGTGGCGGTGCTAGAGGGCGAGTCGATGCCACCCTGGCGGGACGTGTGGGAGGAGTCGTCCTTTCTGCTGGAGCAGATGCAGCGCACCGAGACGTGCGCCCAGGCTGAGAGGGACGGGCTCAAGCACCGCAAGGAGCCGTCCTGGAAGCTTCCCTTTACCCCGAGCCGGACTGCGCAGGAGGTGAGTGGGTTAGGTGAGTTGGGGCTGAATGGGGGATCAGAGCAATCCCTGAATGCGGATCAGAGCAATCCCTGAATGCGGATCAGAGCAATCCCTGAATGCGGATCAGAGCAATCCCTGAATGCGGATCAGAGCAATCCCTGAATGCGGATCAGAGCAATCCCTGAATGCGGATCAGAGCAATCCCTAAATGTGGATTAGAGCAATCTCTAACTCACACTCATCCAACTTTCCTTGTCTATCCCTCCCCCACCTATTTCTCTTTCCTTCTCTTTCCTCTTTGTACAGCTCCTGACCGCAACCACGAAGCCCAAAGTGGCTGTACTGAGGGAGGAGGGCAGCAACGGCGACAGGGAGATGGCGGCAGTGGTGTGTTACCAGGTGCATGCATCTAAGCTTTCTGCCCACTCTCCCACCCTCTTCCGCCCCTCCCCTGCTGCAGCTCCTGACTGCCACCGCGAAGCCCAGAGTGGCCGTGTTGAGGGAGGAGGGCAGCAACGGCGACAGGGAGATGGCGGCAGCGGTGTGGGCAGCAGGCATGGAGCCATGGGATGTGACTGTATCGGATCTGCTACAAGGGAGGGCGCGGCTGGACGACTTCAGGGGAATCATCTTTGTGGGCGGCTTCAGGTAGGCGCCTTCTGGAATGCTGTGAGTGTGCTGTGAGTGTGTGTGTGTGTGTGTGTGTGTATGTGTGTGTGCTATGAGTCTGTGTGTGTGTATGCGCGCTCTAGCAGGAGGCAATTTACCTCACTCACACCCCTGTGCTGTTGCGCTCCTACCACCTCATGTGGTCCTACTACCTCCTTCATGCTTTTCTCTCCCCACTGCCTCTCCTCCTTCTTCCTCCCTTCCTCCCTCTCTCCCTTCCTCCCTTCCTCCCTTCCTCCCTTCCTCCCTTCCTCCCTTCCTCCCTTCCTCCCTTCCTCCCTTCCTCCCTTCCTCCCTTCCTCCCTTCCTCCCTTCCTCCCTTCCTCCCTTCCTCCCTTCCTCCCTTCCTCCCTTCCTCCCTTCCTCCCTTCCTCCCTTCCTCCCTTCCTCCCTTCCTCCCTTCCTCTTTTCATCGCTCATCGTTGGGGGCAGCTTCAGCTACGCGGGCGTGCTGGATTCGGCCAAGGGGTGGGCAGCAGCCATACGGTTCAGACCAATGTGCTGTGCTCATTCAACGTTTTGACACTCTTCATCTCCCTCCCCCCTCTCCCCCTTTTCACCTTTCCCTTTCCTCCCCAGCTACGCGGACGTGCTGGACTCGGCCAAGAGTGGGCGGCGGCCATCCGGTTCAAGCCCATGTGTTGTGCTCATTCAACCTCATTGGCTCCTGACTCTCTCCATCTCCCCCCTCCCCTTACCTGCCCGCTTCCCCCTTTCCCTTCCCTCCCCAGCTACGCGGACGTACTGGATTCGGCCGAGGGGTGGGCGGCAGGCTCACTCAACCTCTTTCATTCCCACAACCTCTCCACCACTCCCTTCTCTCCCCCTCCCCTCCCTTCCCCCCTCTTTACCTCACCTCTTCAGCTACGCGGACGTACTGGACTCGGCCAAGGGGTGGGCAGCAGGCTCACTCAACCTTGTTCTTTCCTGCAACCTCTCCTCCATTCCCTTCCCCCCTCGTTCCCTTTCCTCCTTCAGCTATGCTGACGTGCTGGACTCGGCCAAGGGGTGGGCGGCGGCCATCCGGTTCAAGGCTTAAAGCCCAGTTTGACGCGTTCTACCAGCGCACAGACACGTGGAGCCTGGGCGTGTGCAACGGCTGCCAGCTCATGGCGCTGCTGGGATGGGTGAGTGCTGCTACCGTTTTGCATGGTGAGGGGTGTTGTGTGGAGGGGCTTTGGTAGGGATTGGTGTGGCCTTGGGCGGCTACAGGAGGGACACGTGAAGCCTGGGCATGTGCAACGGGCGCCAGCTTATGGCGCTGCTGGGATGGGTGAGTGCTGCTAGTGGGGGGTTAGGGGAGGAGTGATGGGCAAAAAGAGTGAAATGGCTGCATCGCAGAGTTAACAATGCTGCTGTCTCATCTTCCCTCCCTTCCTCCCCTCGCCCTCCCTCTTTGCATCTCCCCTCCCCCTTTTAGGTCCCTGGTCCGGATGTGGGCGGGGTGATGGGCGAGGGAGGAGACGCAGCACAGCCGCGCTTTGTGCACAACGAGTCGGGGCGATTTGAATGCCGCTTCTCCACCGTTCAGATTGAGGAATCTCCTGCTGTCATGCTCAGGTGAGAAGGGGAAGGAGCAGGCTTGCATGGCCAGCCAGCCGGCACATGTGTGTTATAGGGCCTGTGTGGGACTGTGAGTCAAGGTCCTCTCTCTGTAACTACCCTGCTTTGTGCACATTGAGTCGGGACGCTTTGAGTGACGCTTTTCCACTGTCTTATCCTTAGGTGAGTGCTGGTTGCTGCTAAACCTTTTATGCACCTCATTCAACTCATTTTCATCCCCTTCCTTCTCCTATCCCATATCCTCCTTTCCTGTTAATACTTCCCCTGCCCATTTCGTTTTCTCCTGCCATCTTCTCCAACAGGGGCATGGAGGGCACGAGGGTGGGAATCTGGGTGGCACACGGGGAGGGCCGGGCGCTCTTCCCTTCCTCCACCCTCTTCCACTCCGTCCTCTCATCCAACCTTGCCCCCATCCGCTACTGCGATGACGACGGTGCTCCCACCGAGGCCTACCCGTTCAACCCCAACGGATCCCCTGCGGGGATAGCTGCGCTGTGCTCGCCTGACGGGAGGCATCTGGCGATGATGCCGCACCCTGAGAGGTGTTATCTGATGTGGCAGCTGCCGTGGGCGCCGAAAGAGTGGCGGGAGGGTATGGATGCGAGCGGACCGAGCCCTTGGCTGAAGCTGTTTCAGAATGCACGGGAGTGGTGTGCGGAGCACCCGCAGTAGGATATGGTTTACCTTTTGTGTTAGAAGGGAATGGGTGTGAATGGGAATATAGCTAGATAAGGAGAGTCGGAGCATTCTACAATCCCCCTTATTGAGAAAGCTTGCTTTCTTTCTTATCAATTGGCATCGTTCTCATTACAAATGGGTACCGTATTATAACATTGGCATCATCGTTTGACACAAGCTAGTGCGGACTAATAACGCTAGCTAGGATATACCCTATCCAAGTGGCATTAGCAAGGCGGTTTACTCTGGGGTGGGTGGTGGGAATGTTGAGTGAGCCGTTTGAAAATTGAGAAACGTGGGTGGAGGGAAATGAGCTCCAACCCACGGTTTTTGTAGTTGGAGAAGGGCGTTTAGCGCGCTTCGACGATGCCAATTGTGCAGTACAAGCAGCTTCGCTTTCACAATACACAATTTTAAAAAACACATCATGTGTGTTTAAAAATTATAATGTCTCAAGTGGGTGCAACTTTGTCACAAGAAGCATTTGGTTTGACTAAATTAATACGCTCAATCATCACTAGCAATCCTTTTCACACTTTTCCCCAAGCCAGAAGGTCACACCTTCATGCAAGACAGAAGACTGGAGAGAGGACACTTCATGTGCCAGTCAGATGGTGGGTCTCATTTTCAACGTCCCAATTCGCTGATAGTAGGTACCCCAATGCAGAACTGGATACAGTGTTCTTCCATTTGCCTCGACAAACCAGTTGAAGCACCCACCATTGCAGCCAGACAAGCATGTCATGGCCACACATCAGGTTAGGACAATCCGTGGCAGAGCAACAATTTCAGCAGTGCAACAATTTCAAGAAACTGAACGTGTGGATGATGTGCTACTGAACTGCAATTGCACATTTTCAACCTCTAGTGCGTTCATTTCCCTTCAAAAACAGCAAGTTTGCAAGTTGTGAGGGAAAGCACAGACCTGGGGGACGGAGGGCAGGGAGGGGAGTGCAGTGCAGTGCTGTGGAGAGCAGCAAGCAGAGACGAGGCGGGTGCAGTGCAGTCACGAGCAGGGAGCCGTGACGAGCAGAAAGCAGGCACAAGGCGCGTGCAGTCACGAGTAGTGACAGCAGCAAGCAGTGACGAGCAGAAAGCAGAGACGAGCAGAGGGCAGAGACGAGACGAGCAGTGACGAGCAGAACGGCAGACACAGCAGGGTGCGGAACGCAGATAGCAGGCCGCCAAAGCAGCCGAAACTCAGAAGGCCGATTCCATTGCTTATAACGCAGTCCACAAGCTAGAAGGTGCAGAGCAGATAGACGATGCTGACAGAAGCAGATAGAAGATGCAGAAGAGACAACGAAGCAGCAGAGCAGGCAGCCATGGCTCTTCCATGGATCTCCCCCTAAAGGAACTCCAGAGCCTTCTGAAATCTATGTTAGAAAGCAGCTCCCGAAGCATGTGTCATGCTCCAGAACCCGCACGCTCAAGATTCCGGTTTCCATCACGAAAGCGCATCCGCTGGTGCTCCCATTGCCTAGCTGCGGCTGCGGCTCCGGCGGCGGCGAGGAGAGGGGCTCCGCCTGAGGGACACGCAGAGGGACGTCATCACTTGGCGTCAGGCGAGCTAAGAGAGAGAGAGAGACAGACATTCACAATAAAACCCAGGTGGCAGGTAGATATGGAGAGTACAAAGGAGAGTGGGAGGGTGAGGGGCGGGACGTTTGTACAGAGGAATGAAACAGTGGACATGAGACGGAAGGGGAATACAAATTGAGGGGGAAGGGGGAGAGGGGAATGGGGCAAGGGTCCGAGAGGAAGAACGAATGGATCAGACGGGGAAAGGGCGGGGGTCAAGGTGACCGGGATAGAGGGTAAAACAGGGCCAATAAAGGGTTCCGACACACGCGAGCACTCACTCGTCACGGCGCGGAGATCCAGGAGCAGGGCTGCGGACGCGCGGGGGGGATCGGCTTCCGCGACGCCTGTCCGGGGAAGGGCTCCGACGGCGGCCGGGGGAGGGGCTGCGGCGACGACCCGGGGACGGGCTCCGGCGGCGGGGAGAAGGGCTCCTACGCCGGGGGGAATCGTCCCTGCCGCGGGGAAGGAGAAAAAATCAACAAACAAAACAAAACAAACAAACAAACAAACATTAATTGACACTCAGGCAAGAACGAATTGCATTCCAACAAACGAGGGAAAATGGCCGGAAAGAAAGAAGGTAGCCATGATGGTCCACGGAGCAAGCCCTACTTGTAAATCACGAGCGAAGGGCACAGCACGCCAAAACCGGACAGGAAAGAATAGATGAGCAGGAAACGGAAAACCGATCAGACGAAAAGATCGAGCGTGTAAAAAGGAGTGTATAAATACGCTTGCCGACTTGTTTGTGGACCTCACCGCTCGCGACCGTAATCCGGGCTTCGGCGATACCGAGGAGGGCTGCGACCGCGCCCTCCGCCTCCGCCTCCTCCGAGACGCATGCGACACTCGCGCGCGAAATGACCGGGTTCGCCGCACTCGTAGCATCGCATGTCGTCGCCTCCCCTTCGCACAGGCACTGGACCACCTCCACCTCCGCCGGAGGCACGTGAAAGCTCAACACGCCAGCCTTGCTTGCCTGATGCCACATAAACACAAAATTGTGATAAGTATCATACGATCTACTGTCAAGTCTGATCGTAGAGAAGGATAAGAGTAGAGCTTCTCCTAGACCATCAATCTTTTCTTACCGTTAAGAGCTCGAATGGCATCTTGAGCATCCCTATGATCGTCGAACTCGATAAAGGCGAAGCCAGGTGGCTTTCTTGCGACCCAGACACTGCACGTAAACGATAGGAGTGTCAGAAATTGGTCAATGATTTCTCAAGAGAATGACGCAGTGAATTGACGGCAGTAAGACTCAAATGGTACGTAGGCGCGGCATGATTTCGTACCTTCTTAGAACGCCATAGCTTCGAAACTCGTCTTCAAGCTCTCGTTCAGTGGCCCGAGGATCCAGATTACCAACGTAAACCCGCGCCATGATTCTCGATCACCCAAACACCACCTGCTAAAAATGCCATCACTCCATCATTAGACATCTTTAAGCTAAACGCTCGCGAACGGCGACAAAACAAGAAGGCTAGATAAGTGAACAAAACTTACCAGACTTGTTTGACGATGATGCTTGTCAAGGTTCAAACGACTATGATCAGGAACAGATTAATCGATCGGGACCTCCAATACAACCTTCTAGGGAGCCAAACAGGGAGTCCTGAAAATGAACCACCAAACCCTCGTCTGTCGGACTTTGAGCTGAGCGTCACGTTATTGCGCGTTCCGATTTGCAAATACAAAGAGCGCAGAAGATTTTGGAACATAACCTCTGCAGGAAAAGTTCAGCTGTAAAACAAGGTGCAATGAAAGACACCTATGCAAAAGCAGGGAACGATATTTCTGAGAGAGGAAGGTTATTGAATCGGCTAACTAGGGTAAAAGAAAGGTAATATGTATTAGCACAGCGAGTATTACATTTCAACGTGAACCTAACCCTTGTACTAGGCTCACGTCCGTATGTAGTATAGCCTTACGGCTGGACGCAGGAAAACATCTGCACACGGAAAAACATGCAACTAATCAAGCGGATTATAAAGAACCTCTGTTCAGTGCCTTTCCTATCCTTCAAAATCACTAACTATTTGCCGCTTGAACGACAAAAAAAAAGTGGTGATTCTTTATTCCACATCCAGCCCATCCACATCCTCCTCCTCCGCCACAACCCTCTTCTCAACATAAGCACACTCTGGGGCCCCTGATTTTGGTCTGCACTCCACAAGCTGCCCGTTATTGTCACGCGCAGGGACGCTGTAGCAGGGGTGGGTGCACTGGCACTGAAAACCGAGCGGCGAAGGCACGAAGGGGATGCAAATTGCGTGTTTCGGGCAGGGGGAGATGGATGGGCAGCGCTTGCGAAGCAACTGGGGACCTGAGAGGAGGATAAGGGAGCGAAGGGGGAAAAAGGGGGGTGAGAAAGGCAAGAAGATGGGCGAGATAAGAAGGTCGGTTCAAGCACCACGACGAACAACAGCAAGGTGACGGGATTAACGGGAAACATGCTGCATGTTGCATATTGATAGTTGAATGCAGTGGGCAAATGGATGTGGATGGGGTTGGGCGACCGCAAACTGGGTAGATGGGCATAGCCTAGAGAAAAGAATTCCAGAAGACAACAGTAAAAAAAAAAAAAAGAGCAACGCGTTTGGACAGGGCAAGCATCCAGCTGGTAGCAACCATAGCAACCATAAAGCAAGCAAGACTCACCACATCGACCCACTTCCCCATCGTGGCAAGCACACATCCACGGCATCAAATCGCTATACTTGAGTGCTGGACTGAGGATCATCGGGCGGCACACTCCCCTCCCCTCACAGTACTCCCCCTGTTCGCTCATCCCCCCACACAGTGCCTCCCCACACTGCTGCTCTGGCCGCTGCTGCTCCACAAGAGACGCCAGGTCCGGCGCAGCCGAGCCTGGTTGGCTGGTTCGGGAGGCGAGGCAGGAGGCGAGGCCTTGTTGGGTGAAGCAATTGAGGGAGAAGGAGGCGGGGGAGGAGAGGAAGGGGGTGCGGGGGAGGGGACCTGAGAGGTAGTTGGAGGAGAGGGAGAGGGTGGAGAGGAGAGGAGGGAGGCGCGACGGGATGCGGCCCGTGAGGCGGTTGCTTGATAGCATCCTGAGAAGAAGAGATCACGGGGGAAAAGGATGGGGAGCAGGAGGACAAACAGGGAAACGGATGAGGAAACGGATCGAAATAGGGTGGCTCTCTGAGAGGAAAAAAAAAGGGCGGGTGAGGGAATAACAGGAGGTGGATGAAACACGGGCGCTTTAAGAACGTTCAAGATCAGCATTATTATTGACAGGAAGACTCACAGTGCTGTGAGGCGTGGAAAGGCAGCGGTGATGGACGGCTGGATGCTGCCGAAGAGGAAATTGGAAGAGAGGTCCCTGCAGAGATGACAGGACACAGGGGGGGAGATGCGGGCGGAATAGGGAGATGTTTCTTGGACGAACGAGGAGAAGAAAATGAGGACGAAGAGGGAATTGGAATAGTGGCTTCTGCAGACGGGACACAGGCGGGTGCACACGAAACATGGAGATGCTTTCTGGAAAAAAACAAACAACAATAAAGAAGAGGAAAGTGAGCAAGAGGAGGAAAAGTGAGCAAGAAGAGGAAAGTGAGCAAGAAGAGGAAAGTGAGCAAGAAGAGGAAAGTGAGCAAGAAGAGGAAAAGTGAGCAAGAAGAGGAAAGTGAGCAAGAGGAGATTCAACGACAGGTGTCTGCAGACATTTCGAGAAGAGGGGGGAGAAGGTACGGACGTGCGTTTGAGAGGCACAGGGCGCGGTTGACAGGAGTGCAGTAGTGATGAACTGAAAGATTGAATAACTCAAAGTGGGAGCAGGAATTTGCGACGTACAAGTGCTGTAAGTTGGTTAGTCCTTCCAGAGGCTTGATAAAGACATCGAGTCGCTCTATAATGAGGTTTTTCTGGAGGTCACTGCAGGAACGGAACCACACAGGACACAGAGGGGAAGCACGTACGACTTTGCGAGCTGCACAAAAAAAGCATTCAGAAGCAAGAAATCGTCACAATCAGCAAAGCACCCAAGAAGGCACACAGTTTTAGAACATGAGCTCGAATGCTCTAACTATGCAACTTGAAACCAGCAAGGCATGGGGTTGAAAAACTTGAAAACCAATCATCGACCGTCACGTCGGCAGTGAACATACTGCAGACATCTTCCGAGTGACGTCAGCACGGAATGCTCCGAGCTTACATCTTGGTGAGTGACGTCAGCTTGGAGACGTCAAGAGGCAGATGTCCCGTGAGGCCCTGCTGGGGGAACTCCATGCGGACGGGGTTCCCCCGCGCGTCACACGCCACCCCCGCCCACCCCGCGCGCCCCACTCCCCCCGCAGCCTTCCCCCTCAGGGGAATGAACGGCTCCGCCGCCCCACCAGCCGCCGCCGCTGCCGAAGCCGCCATTTCCCCCGGTTCTCCCCCTGTTTTCCCCCCGGTTTCCGCCTCCCCCAGTTCTGCGGCGAGCGCGCAGTCCCCCGCGCCCGCCCAGTTGTACTGTACGAGCTCGAGCGTGTTCTGCAGCTGCAGCAGCACGGGCACTGGGGGAAGGGGGGGAAAGGGGAGGAAAGAGGGGAAGAAGGGGGGGGGGAAGGACGGGGGTGGAAGCGGAGGGGGAGGGGAGGAAAAGGAGGGGAAGGGGAGGAGGGATGCACAGGCGTAAGTGTAAGGAGAAGGGTAGCAGTGGGAAGGACGAGAACCCACGAGAGTAGACAGCATCCGAAAGTGCCGCAGCGACGCGGAATGCAGCAGCAAATGCGGCAGTGCCTCACCGGCCGACGCGTTCATCGGCACTGTAAGCACCGGGACCACCGCCGCCGCCGCCGCCGCCGCCGCCGCCGCCGCCGCCGCCGCCGCTGCCGCTGCCGGGGGGATGAGAGAGGCCGATGATAGTGCTAGGAGGAGCAGCGAGAGGCGGAGGACGCGAATGGCGGCTTCCGGCCGCAGCGCGTCGGTACGAGTAGTGCGGCGAGCCTTTCTAGGACGAGCTTTTTCGCACGGAATAGCATTTCCGTCGGCAACGGCGGCGTGACGAGCTGCGAATTCCGCCATGGCCGCGCGACCGTAAACTGTAACGAGGTCAGAAGAAACGCTGCTGCTGCTGCTGCTGCTGCTGCTGCTGCTGCTGCTGCTGCTGATGATGATGATGATGATGATGATGATGATGATGATGATGATGATGATGATGATGATGATGATGATGATGATGATGATGATGATGATGATGATGATGATGATGATGATGATGATGATGATGATGATGATGATGATGATGATGATGATGATGATGATGATGATGATGATGATGATGATGATGATGATGATGATGATGATGATGATGATGATGATGATGATGATGATGATGATGATGATGATGATGATGATGATGATGATGATGATGATGATGATGATGATGATGATGATGATGATGATGATGATGATGATGATGATGATGATGATGATGATGATGATGATGATGATGATGATGATGATGATGATGATGATGATGATGATGATGATGATGATGATGATGATGATGATGATGATGATGATGATGATGATGATGATGATGATGATGATGATGATGATGATGATGATGATGATGATGATGATGATGATGATGATGATGATGATGATGATGATGATGATGATGATGATGATGATGATGCTCCTCCGCGGCTGCTAGCAGCGGCGGGAAAAGTGTGTTCACGAGGGCAGAAAGAAGCGAGCTGCTTCTCAAAAGGACAGAATCTGGACGTCGCCGCCGTCACTTCCGCCAGCGCCACTACAGGTCGACTCGATATCAGCAAAGAAATCAGGCGTCAGGGATTCTCCGGGGAAAATGTGGCTAGCTCCACAGGCTGTGTGGGGGAAAAATGGGCCCTCCAGGCCGGTTGAGATGGGTCAGAATGGGTAGAGAGCTCACAGGAAAGGGCCAAGAAAGAGGAAAGAAGTGAGAGGTCTGGCACGGGTAAGACAGGGTCAGGCCAATGTCCAATCCCTAATCACTGGCAGTGGGGAAATCAGTGGGGACTGGGGGAAATACTACTCTCCAACCTGCCAGGTTACTGTACGCCTCGATCCAAGATCTCAGAAACGAGGAGAAGCTGAGGATATTAGACCGAACGAGCGCCGAAACTAGGAGAAGCTGGGGGTTCAGACCGAACGAGCTGCTGGCTCAGGGGCGTCTATTAGTAGGGTCGTATGTTCATCGGGGCGGTGCGGACCTGGCGCGGTTGCAACGCTTTCCCTTGACCCGAGAAGCGATTCGCATAGTCAGGGTGTGCTACGCGACGCGGGAGCGATGATAATGTAGCGATACGGACGGAACGTCTTGCAAGAGGACAAAACGCGCAACTGGCGCCGGGGTACGACTCCGGAGCCGCCGGTTTGCTCGCTTGACGAGCACAGTGCCGCGACGGAGGGCTACAAACACTGCTCGCTGCGCTGCAGTGGGGGAAGTGACGCTGCCCTCGTCGTCGCCCTCTGATGCCGCTTCAAGAGCTTGACAAAGAGAAGTTGGAGCGAAACAAATGGTCATGGGTCTACGTCTCCCGCGAAACAGAGATACAAGCAGGCTGCTCTGCTCCGTGCTGTGCTGCGTTGGTCAGCAGCAGACTGATAGTCCTCCTGCTCCGCAAGTGAGCATTGAGCACCGCTCCGCTTTGGTGCACTGGCTGCGGCAGTCGACGCCAAGTGGAGAAGCCGTCCGCTCGATGCGCGGACTTCCATTGCGGATAAGTTGTCAGATAGGGTAAGTTATTTCTGTGCGGGGAAAAGATAACCGTCCGTGTACAGTTGGCTTGAGAAGCAAGAAGGGGGGCATGTGAAATGAAAATTGTCGTCGGCGTCAAAACTCCAAATCTCGTTTTGGGAGCATCAACTTGAAATGGGTACAGTTCTGTACAGTTCGAGTGCAAAGGAACGCCCAGCATGTAATTGTTCTTGTTCTTGTTCAGATTCACGTCTATCCTGGGGGGAAAAACAAGAAGAGGCCAAAGAAAGCAGCTCGTTCGCACGGGCGAGCAGCAGCAGATTTGCGGGATATGCGGAGAGCCTGAAGCGTGCGGCGAGGCGAGCAACAATCAAAAGGGGCACGGACCTATGATTCGTGAAGAATGAGGAAGACCGAAATGAACCAGGAACGTGAGCGGTGGCGGTGAAAAAGGCGGCGGGGTGGTAGAGGAAGGAAAGAATGGGATGGGAAATAAAATGGGTTCGGTGGGAGGGAGGGGGGAGGAAGGGGGAACAGCGGTGGGAGGGAAACGAGGGTGAAAAGCGGTGGGAAAAGAAAGGAAGGGTTAGGGGGGGGAGGGGGAGGGGTGGGCAAAGTGAAGTGGAGGGGAGAAAAGGAAAGGGTGGGGGGGAAGGCGGAAGTTCGACTACAGGCGCGGAAGGTTGCTGCTGAATTCAGCCTGGGTTGCTGACCAAAGCAGGGTGCGCTGGTGCTTCCGCTGCTTGCACTACAAACGAGCCTACTACAGTACAGAACGGTACACGGAGAATCCGCCAATTTCGGATTGTGCCAGAGGAAACAAACGTTCCCAGTAATGAGGGCCGCGATATTCGTTTTTGTCAAATATGCAGAATCGTGGATTGAATAGCACCACACCACACCACTTTATATTTCTCTCGGCCATGTGGAAACATGATTTCGTTTTTAGTGTGTTCTGTACTATAATACATATAATCGAATGTATCTTCAAACTTCGCATCATCAGTAACGAAGACAATGAACGGCTCTCTGGTCTCGCGCGAGGGAATTTGTTTCCGCGCGAACGTGCCGAATACGACTGTCGACAAGTCACCAAACGAACCACTGAGAGGCAGACCCTGTCGATGCAAGACACCAAACGGCCGACGAAGCGGCCTCGCGTTCTGGAACAGGGGAGGGAACCAAAATTCGACTGTGCGATTCGAACGTTTGGGTGCTTTGAGTTGGGAGTATGGGGTGTTGTTTGGCCGCAGGTGATCACACCACCACCACCACAGCCACCAGAACCCTACATAATCAGTCTTATAGTTGGAATTCTTACTTCAAATCTTCCCGTTCATATTGATTCATCGACCATCTTAGAACTTCCTGACTGGATCTAACTCGCAACGATGGCTTCAAAGGCTCTCATTGTGGCTCTCCTTGCCTCGTGTAAGACAGCATGAAAGCCTCTCGCGTTTTGCTACCACAATGTATGCTTTCTTCATTGACGATAGACTGACACCATCTTTTGCTGAATGCAGTGGTCGGAATATCGTATGCTGTGACAACAACAACGGACTATTGCGCAGGGTCGCCCACTCAGGTACATCGTCGATGCGTCTTTTTGTGCAGCAGTTGTTGGCCAAATGATGGACATCATATAACAAGTACCTCGTTCTTTTGCAGTACTGCGACTTCCTCATCCAAGGGTCTACGTCAGTTCCGACTGTGAGCCTTCAAGTCTTCTCTGGGAACAGGATTCTCTCGGGAAAGCCTATTGTTTACAAGTGAGTTATTGCGAAGTCGCTACAGGGTCGTTCCCAATCATTTTTTGTTCGAATTTCACGCAATCGAATATTGTTCATACGCAGGACTGGCGAAGGGATTAAGACCGCATACTCGTACCAGTGCACTTTCCCCAACGAGAAGGGCAAGGTAACGCCGTTGACATGCTGAAAACCCCGATATTCACTCTTCGAAAACATGCTGAAGTCACAATGCTTGTCATTTTGCAGAAAGCTCGTACCGCATGCGGAAGCATGTTCCACTTCATGAGCCAGACGAACAGCTGGAACGAGACGACTCTTGTTGGCAGCCACATGATCACCAAGCAGAACTTGGACGTGAGTATCCTATCTTCGGCGTTCTTTGACTACTAGCCGATTCTTCATGCTAACGAGTGTTCGATTGTTCCACAGAAATTCAAGAACAAGTGCGTGAAGATGCTTATTGATAACGTCATGCTCGCAAAGGGCGGCTGGGTCAACAACGGAGATGGGAAGGCGATGTACCCTCAGGTTTGTTATTCTCTTCCAATCTAAGGTCAGCTTATGTTTTGAGTCTTCAACCCTCGTTCTAACTGACTCTTCTTGTCCTTTGCAGAGGAGACGTTGCGTGATGTTCCGTACTGCCTAACGCAACCTGGCGAACCAGCATTCTTGAGGCGCTTCATGACTTGGAGTAGATAGGTTGTTGCATTTCATCGGTTGCTAGAGTTAGTTTGCCCACGTGTTTTCTAATCGTAGCCTTCATCGACATACTGACTTGCGTCATAACCGTGTCAGTCGTTCAGCTGTGTATGTGACGATTTTAAGCCCATAATTGTTTGCAACAACAAAACACTAACCAAACCATGGTAGTTGCACGTGAATATCACTTCACACGAGCGCGTTACTTGATGATACGCATAGACTTTAAAAATATAAAATATCCAGGCAAAGTCGGATGCCCTACGGTACGTCTCCCTAAGAGGATAGCCGCATGACCAACCGTTCAAGAGCAGCCTTCATCCCCTTTTCCACCTTTTAAATTCTGACCTGACTGTGTATCCTAATCTATCATACAGGCCAAATTCTACTGAGTCAGGAAATAGATTATACATACGGAACCGTACTGCAAACTTAGTGCCTCCCGGAACCGTACTAGGACCAGATGCAGGAACTATTAGTACATCTATCAAAAAACACGTCGAGTCCCAAGGATGGAGGAACAGTGCTGTTCTGCCTAAATCTGCCACATATGAATCCTGCCGATTCCCCTGCAACATTCGGCATGATTTTGAACCACTTTCGACTCGATATGCGCAGAACCTGCCTAGCTCGTAGATAGTTCAGCTTGCTTGATTGTCCACTTTTTGTAGAACCCGCTCAGTGTACCCATAACAAACCCTGGTATGCTGCATTTCAGATCCTTCCAGACATAACGAATCCCCTTTGTGTAATCCTGAATATAAACATTTCTGAGAAAGAATGTCTGCAACCTGACAATATTGATTTTTCACAATTATACTGACAAACAAGTTGTGTCATGCATAACACTTTGCGCTATTCTTCATTCCGTCACTGGCTATACACTGTGGGAGAGTCCAGTTTCGGGGATTTTCAGTTTCGTGCCAAACATGTGTCAGCTCGAGTTGCGGTGTTCCACCAACTGCAGAGATCATTTCCCTTGATCGATTCGTGAATCCAGATGTCGCGGCGCGGCCTGCCCCCGCCGCACGATTTGGCCCATCTGATGCGATTGACATTCCCATCCCAGCCAGGACGCACGGGACAGATCGACAGCACAGGTAATACCTAGGGCGACAACAAAACTGAGTGACAGGATGATAGAGAGTTAAAATTTGACGCGAGAGGGATTAGACGACGACAAGGTGACACATATCAGAGAGACATTCTTTCATAGGAAGATATAATAGAGAGTTTGCAAGATTAAGCGCATTCGTATTACCCTCCTAGCGAACTGCGAGTGTTCTTTTTTCGGCAAGGGACCAAAATCTGACCATGGCGTCTCGCGGGTTGTGTGCAGCACTCCTGTTAGGTACGTCTATGCTGCTTACTGCGTACTGCTTGCTGCTAGGCACAAATACTCCTCTAGTACGTCATAGCGATAGTGCCAGCTTTTCCTTCTTCGTATTCTGAAGCCTCGCGAATTATGTTCCCTGCTTTTTCTTCTCGCCTCTCTCCAGCATTCGGACTTGTACTGTGCCTCCAAGCGGTCCCGTCTCAGAGCGCCCGATGCTACTCCAGGCCTCTAGCGGTGCGTTCCTCCAGTGCCTGCTTATTGCAATTTTAATATTGAGAAACATCATGTAACGTCAACGACATCGACAGCGCCTTGGGACTTTTAGATCGACCCAAAAGTCACCTGGTTATTCTCATCTTAATATGGTAAAAACGTCATGTAACGCCAACGACCTGGTTGAAAATGAAGAATATTGTCAGCGACTTCGCCAGCGCCTTGTTCTGTTGCTCAAGTGCATCATCAGCTTGAATGACCCCCATTCCCCTTCCCTTCTTTCCCCCCGCGATCCAGCCTTGTGACTTCATGGTGCAAGGAAGCGCAGGTGTGGTGCCGCAGTATCGCGTGGTGTCGTTTTTGGGAAACAGGCTGCTCAGCCGCACCCCCATCATCCACAAGTATGTGAGAGAAGGTTATGTGCTTACAGCACGAGTGAAGCAATGGTGGACGTAAGGTGACTGTGGGAAAGAAAGGCACGAGCGAGACGAAAGGGGAGGAAGTTTCATAGTTGTGTTTTCAGAGGTACGATTGAAGGTCATGTGCTCTGTGCTCCTTTACGTATAAGAGGCTGATAGGTCATTTCAAAGCGCTGATAACCTCACCGTGATGTTGACTGCTGCAGGTCCGGCGATCTTGTCCTCACTGCCTCTTCCGATGACTGCACGTTCGTGGTGAGTCAGCCATTGCTTGAAAAGCCGTGTGCAAGGCTTCCTTTATTACCATCGTGGAAATGCAAGGCGCAAGTGGTAGAGATAATGTTTGTAGAGAGAAAGCTACACTATGAAGTCATGGTCTGGTTACCAGATGGCTACGTGATTAGTGTTAACGCGGTTATGATTGTCGTGTTTCATGATGTTTCCGCTTGTAGAACTCGGGCGCGGGTTGCGAGAACCGGTTCTTCTTCATGCCGCCAGGCAACGACTACAACAGGACCAACTACATCGGGCAACACCCCATCGACCGCACTAGCCTTGCGGTAGGTCCTTCGCATTGTACCCTGCTGCACATGATTATTAGCTGAACTTCCTTGGTGTGGTCGTTGCACTTTAATGTGAATTCATGGGTGCAACCATGCTTTCTTCTCATGTTCAATTGCAGGTATACAAGCAGCAGTGCGTTCTCCTCTACATGAATAACGCTCTCTTGGCGAGGGCTGGGTGGCTCAATAACGGGGACAACAAGCGCAAGTTCCCCCAGGTAAAGGCAGCTAAAGGAGGGTCCACCAGATGTAAATCAAGGCTTTGGGGTTCTTGCTTGGATCACAACAACCGAATATGAGTTCGCGTTAGCTACCAATCAGTGTTTCTGTTCTGGTCATGGCAACAGATACAGCTAGTCGTCACTCACATTTCTGCTTCAATCTTATGTTACTGCTCTGCTGTCTTACTCACTGTCCGCATCTCTCATCCCATGCGTAACTTCATTTGAAGTTTTCCCTTCTGCCACGTCTGTGTCTATGCGTTCATCAACGCGTTTGACTGTTCTAGAAGTAAATCATGTGTTTGTTTCCCTTTTTGTCTTCACTGCAGGCTCGGCGCTGTGTGGTTTTCACCACGATCTAGCATTCACAACCAGCTCCCACCTCTCTCCTATGCCCTACTACGGAGTCGGCATACGTATATGTATACGGATGTTTGTTTCAGTCATGCCAATAGATTTCCTTTGCGACATCCCCTATACAGGCTTTGCACCATGTAAGAGCGAACTGCTTGGTGTCTGGTGAATGGGATTGGGACATAATATCTTACATTGTTCCGTATAAAATCGCCCATTGCAGTAGGCTTTCACTCCCTATCAGTCCAGCATGTAAATTGCAGTGAAGGTTGCATGACCTTTACGAAGGACACATGTGAGAATCCATACTCCCATGATGCACCGTTCATTGGAGATACTGTAAGCGGCTGATTAGTGAACCTCCTCTACAAGTATCGGTTGGACCCCAGAGTCCACTAGGGGGGGGGGGGGGGGGGGGGGGGGGGGGGGGGGGGGGGGGTCCTCAGAGTTTTTAAACCACTGTTAGGTCACAACCAGGTACCAAATCTTTGGCAAAGCAGCCTTACCAAGTGCCTCAATATTAGTGTTCCATCATAGAACAACCAAGGCTCACTTTCAAGAGAGTAGCGAAAATATCATCACGAACAACAATTGCATAGTACTGTACATAGTTACTTGTTTGACCCAATTTCAATACGATTACTGTACAAATGGTTGAACCCGCAAAATTGTTCGGTTCACTAGAATCTTAGAGATGTGAGATGAACATGCAATTGGAGTGGTGGGTGAGTGTAAAGAAAGATGAGGCACTTTTCGTGACATACGGTAAGGCCGGGTCCGGCGCGGATTTTACAGCTTATGGTAATTCTCTGTGGTTCATCCAGTTGTGAGGCGGTGCTAAACGGTGGAGACTTAAAACCGTTGTCCAAAACTTCATATCGTTATTCACCACGATGGATGAACTGTGATGTGAACCAACTGTAAACGTATGAGCTGGACCCGCCCTAAAAGGTACACTAGGAGCCTGTTGACTTAAGACCAAAGGTGGTGAGTGTACAAAACAAAGCATGGCAAATCGTGCTCGTACCGCATAGCACATTATCGAACATGTGCGGCACCCGCCGAGCCTGTACGGAACTTCACCGCACCAGTACAACCCGTTGGGGGGGGGGTCTCGGGCAAGCGGAAGGGAGTGCTGGTTTGCAGCATGGAGGGACGTGGCTGATATAGACGAATCGCGCTACATGAGCCTGGCTGCGCCCCAGCAATTTTGTCAGCGAAACAGTCACAGAGCGACTGTTCAACGTGACGTATCGGCGACGCCGACGCGTCAAACGGCTACTTTCCCAAAGGTGACGGCCCGCGAGAGGTTCGCGGCTGCTTCGAAAAAATCCACCTTCGAACGTTTGGCGGATGGGTTGGTCCCGGGCAGCCCGAGCGATGCGTGTGCGACACATTATTTTGGTAACCGTCATTGGTCGCAGCGCATGTTGACGACTCACGCTGGAATCAGCTTTTCCGTTTCATTCCGTGCTGGAGTCTTGACTTTTTCCGTTCCAACAGTCGTTCGCCAAATTCGGGGAACGCAAATTCGCGCCACTCGTGGGACCCTCGCGATGTCGCACTCGGCACGCTTGTCGTTGCTACAGTAACAGCTGCGTATTCCGTTCGTTCATCACCCTGGTTCCGTCTAGCGATTTAGGGCTAACGAGTCGCTGGAATGTTCATTTTCTTCGCAAATTCGTTCAGTTCATCGGTTTCAGTTTGACACGGATCCAGCTGTCCCTGCCTTACCAATTTTGCTCATTCGTTTCCGTGGCTACCCGCGCAACTTTCGGCAAAGGTGAGCGATCACTGGGCGACTCTCCGAAGCTGAATGAAAGGATCCCAGCTGTTTGCGACTTCTTAGAGCTTTGTCAGACCTGCTTGCAGCCTTGTTGTTGGTCGCATATACCGTCGTCAGCCCTCTGCGAAGCATTTAGATAACGAAATTCTGTCGGTGTGCGCTTCCATTCCAAACATTTTCACCTCCACATTCCCTCTGCCATCCATTCTCATCACCACACCTCAAATTCCCGAGTCGGGCGTTCTTCCACCTCTCCAGCTGTTTCAGTTGTCCTGCTACACCACACGTCCCGTCACCTCGTCCTTTGCCGCAAGTTGAGCCGCGTTTGACGGTCGTCCTGTCAAATTAGTCTCCGAAGCTCCGTAATATTGCCTTTCTCCACGCAGGCTGCACGTTGCTAGAAGCTGAAATTCGCGATTCAACTTCTGCCGTTATCGTTCTGGCAGCTCTCACGACTTCGAGCATAGAGACGACTGGGAGTGACGAGCTGCGTCTCGCGGCTCTTCTGGTTCAACAATAGCAAAGCCGCGTTACAACAGATGACGAAGATGCTGTGGCGGATAAGTTGGTCTCTGTCAATCACACTTCTCCTCGGTAAGTTCTGTATATGTTTATGGAGTCATGCGTTTATGTTGTTCTGCTATATTCTCGTCATCGCCCGCTCCTCGTCACATCTCAGCCATCGTCGTTTGCTTCGCGTCTGTGCATGTACCTTTCAAGGTTACTTTCATCTCTCTGTTTTTTTTAACCCCGCGTTTCGTGACACATGCGATTTTGCATCGCCCGTCCACTCCCTGCGAATGGTCCATGCAGTGTCGCTAGTCGCAGCCTTGTCGCACAGCGACCCGCCCACGAATCTCATTCTCAATGGCGACATGGAAGAGCCTGGTGTTCGCGGCGACGCCAGCATCGCAGGCCCGCTTACGCGCCGCCACAGGAAACGCTTACCCTCCGCATGGCACCTAGTTTCCGGGTCGATTAAGTACGTACGGCTCGAGCACTGGCCCGCAGCCTCCGGCGATCATAGCATCGCTCTCAACGGCCACGGGCCTGCGACTCTCGCGCAGCGTGTGGTAACCCGACCGGGCGAATTCTACTTCGTGCACTTCGACCTCGCTGGGGATCCTGGTTTGGAAGACGAGGGAGCAGTGCGATCGCTGCGGGTCAGCGTGATGGACGAGGAAAGTGGGGCTCCGGTTACCGCTCGAACATACGAGTTCGACACGTTTTCGCACGGGGGTGCGGAGGAGGCGAAACGCAGTCGCGAAGGGATGGGGTGGCGGTCGCACACGCTCGCGTTTGAAGCACCTGGCGCCGCGGTCACTCTGCTGTTTGCGTCGACGACTCCCGGAATTCACGGTCCCGTAATCGACAACGTGCGGGTGCACAAGCAAAGTGAGTCCTCGTTTCACCGTACTCACCTTCCGTCACGTTTTCTCTTTCCTACCTCCTGTGCCCTCACTCCCCGCCTCCACTCCCTTGATCAGACATCTTGCATCTAACTGTCGGCTAGCCTATGGTTCTGTGCCTTCTCGTCATTAATTGCAACAAACTGTTCCTTTGCCCATTTTCTCACCTTCCAACCCTGGCAGATGCCACGTCGGCGTTCCTCCACTCTCCAAACACGATCTACCATTCACCGACAATCGACACGGTGGGACCCGCCGCGACCCCCGAGGCGTGCGGACGACGCTGCCTCGAAATCCCCGACTGCCGCGGCTTCTCTATTGACATTCCCGTTCCCGGTTTAAGCGATACTTCGGTACAGTGCCATTTGAAGATGCTTATGAAGAAGCCATCCGTGGTCGGGCAGAACCGAGCGGACTCGTACGTTCTGAAGCGCGCCGAGTGTTCGTTCGGGCACAGTAACGCGATGCAATGTCCGGACATGCTGCCTATATCGGGGATGCTGCCCATGGCGTGTGTCGCGCACAAGTCCGCGAAACGCCAGACAGAGCACCCCTTCGCTGGAACGTGCAAGGCGCTAAGGCGGACGAATCTGTGTCCTTACGCGGGTGGTTACTTCGCTAAAGGGTTCGGTAATATCGGGAGCGCGGACGACTACAGGCGGTGCTCGTGCGTGGAGGGTTCGGGAGGAATCGCGCGGTTGCAATGCGGACACGTGGTGTAGGCCGGGAGACCCTGGAAGAGGAGGGGAGGAGGAAAGGGGGTGGGTAGGCGGAGGGGGAGGAGGGACTGGGGAAGCGGGAGCAGAGCGTGAAAAGGATTGGGGGATTGGCGACTGCAGAGCGAGCGCAAGGCGAAGGACTCAAACGTGATGTGGTAGCGGCCGAATGCAGAGATCGCAGGGAGGGAATAAGAGGGATTAGGAAAGATGAAGATGCGTTCAGCTTCCGTGAAGGTACCCGGAGACAATGGGCGCTGGTCAATGCAGCAGCACCTTGACGGGCCTGCTTCCTCACCCTCCTTCCTCGCTTCTCTCGTTGACCAATCCGCAGTCAGAAGCGGCAGGGGAAGAAGACAAAACACGCGGGAGGGGAAGTGGGGAAGCCAAAGGTAAGCTGGAGTCCCCCTTCCAGAAGCCACACCCAATACTAATGAAATAAAATATACTAATTGTTCGTGCGCAATGGCGAGGAACAAACAGAGCGGTTTAGGGCTCAGCCTAGCAGATCAAGGACGTGTCATTGTCTTTTCCAGGAGGGTGGGATAGGAGTAGGTGATTTAGTGTGCTGTGTGCACACTATAGGGATCAAACGTTGTGGTGCTTTGGAATAATGCATCTCATCTCATTTCTTAGATTACCCATATATCTACCATTCTTGCAAAACACGCAGAACTGCATTGCTTATCAGACAAGTCAGACTTGGACTTGTCAGGGAGCCCCTCCAGGCATGTCAGACTAGGACTTTCTAGACAGTCAAGATTCGCAACGGCTTCCAAGTTCCGTCCCCTACAGAAGAACTACAGACAGCAAAGAGCCTAAACTATTTTGCACTATACTTGGATAAGCATGCCATACTAAGCCAGCTCATCATAGCTTTCCCGCTGCGTCGCCTGCACCTGTCACTGGTGTCTAGACTTCCCTTGCTACTACAGCTCATATCACTACCACTGCAGCACGTATCCTTGCTTCTCCCATACGTGGTAGTTGGGCTGCTGCTGATACTGCTGCTGCTGCAGCTAACATTGCTGCTGCCTTTCTTGCTGCTCTGGCTTGGATTCTTCGACCTTCTCTTGCTGCAAGGCTTGAGATTGTCTCTACACTGCTTATGTTGGGTTGCCGGATGCGACAGGGCGTCCTTGAGCATGCTCTTTAGCATGTCATCTGCTACCCACATGTCGTACGCTGATTGGTGGATGAGTCTTCGCATACCAGCCAGTTGCTCTTCGCTCACAGCTTCGCGAGCTTCTGTGAAATTGGGAAAGGAAGAATGAAAGAATAGACACACGACTTACGCTGCACGCCTTTCATATCAGAGTAATCAATCACGCGGCACGAGTTATAAAAGAGATGTCTTCGTTCTACAGGCGGATAGTCGTACCTTTTGGGGAAATCACCGCAAATCTGTGCAGCGTATGACATCCGTCAGGCTGTCGCCAGTCTTTGTCGTAGTTGCTGGCTGCACGAGATTCCAGTTCCCATCGCGAATTTCTTGCGAGCCTCCCCGGGTCATCAATGACGTCGCGTGCGAATGCTGCAGCGGCGTGCTTCTCCCGCCATTCAATGACTCGTCGCATGGCGGCGTCGCCAGCCGTCGCAGGGGTAACTCCCATTTCGAGCAGCGTCATAATTTCACTTTCGTCTGGAAAAAGATGAAGTACGCTTCGTGCTCGAGTCGGAGTAAGTACTAAGGACAACGATAAGTTCCTGGTGCTCGAACAGCAAAGGAGTCTCTGATTATTGGAATGGAAAATCGAAAGGGCGGGGAGAAATCATCCGTAGTGGAAAGGGGCCAGAAATGCTCTCACGAGAGTTTGCAAACGTAGCTGTGTCATGTACTGTAAATGAAAGATCCAGACTCGATAGACATGTTGCATAGGGAGCAGAAGAAGCAGAGGAAGTAGATGACGCGACATGGAGAGGAAGCATGGATGAAAAGCTTCATGCGCTTCGCCCCTCGCTTGGGCACTTCGCGTAATCAAAGCAGAACCGTGAAAAAACCTTGCCAGACGGGCATGCATCCGGTCAGGGAGCCTCAACCCTAAACGCGGGGAGGCATGGTGTTTAGGGTTGAGGCTCCCTCGGATGGCATGCCATCCGATGGGGTTTTAGTTTTTTTCTGCCCGGGGCAGCATGTCGTCAAGTCGTCAGAGGGTCGTCAGGCTTGACGACCCGTTTCCGCTGAGATTTTCCGAAGGAGACGACTAGGCGGTGGGGTAGGGTGGAACAGCTGGGAAGAAATGGAAGGGGGGAATGGGTGGGGAAAGGTGGTTTACCCAAACATCTTGGAGCTCAGTGGGTGGCAATATTTTCCAAAATTACTATTATAATGGGCGGCACAGTGGCAATTTTCTCTGGTGGCGGGTGGGCCAGATGGCAGACTGTTTTCCCCTCCTCACGAATTTGGCGTTTGGGATTCTCTTTCGCGTCCCCCATGGCCGTCCAAATTCCTTGAGTTTTGGCTGGCTGGTGATTTGATGCTGGTGTGGTGGGCAGGGCGGTGTCATTCCGTGTCCGTGTGTCTATCCCAAGTCCCAATTCAAGTGAACTGCTAGCTGTCTGCTAAGAGCAGTTGAGATCCCCAAAAGAACCCTCAGTTGTGCCTCTTGGGTAGTTTCCTCAAGTAGACACAATCGTGAAGACTATGTTTGATGCTCGGTACTAATAAGAATATACTTGTGCCGCCTGGAGAAGGTGAAAGGCATGCATGTTTAGTAAAAAGGCAGCGAAGGAGCCTCCCCTCCTCATATGAGCGGCATCCGTGTGGTGCAAATCTGATCTCACCTCATTGCATCAGACAGATTTGATGATGGGAGCTGGGGTGATGTGTCGGGACTCGGGGTCGAGGGGATTGTAGGGGACACGTGAGGAGGATGAGGACAATCAACGCAGGCACGACTACATGCGCATATTGTAAATGTAAAATATTTAAAAGGTTCTATTATTTACATGTAACGAGTCTGCTAGCAAAGAAGAGTGGTTGTCGGGTTTTCCAAGGTGCCCAGTCCAACTCCTTTGTTTGCTTTCGATTGAGGTGCCATCTGGTGCGCAATGGTCTAAAACGGCGGAAATGTGGAAACGACATTGAATCACCGCAGCGCCCTTAGTTTACAACGTACTAATCGTTACTGACAGAATCGCAACGTAGTTTCTAATTAGCAACGTGCACTCCTCTTGAGTATTCTGTAGATATGTCTGGGATAGAATACTTAGAATACTAGGTATGGTTACATACTATCACAGACGCATTCAGGGTGTATGTCAACCCACAAATTCGCTTCCGTAGCAAACCCTGCGCGCTTTTCGCAAGTAGAATTGCGCGATAGAAACGGCAAATAGATTATTTCCATCGAAGGAAAAAAAATCGCCGAGTTCAACTTAACACATCGGTCTCAGACCAGGTTCAGCCGACTCCCGCGCGAAGCTGACATGGACCAAACCCAAACCACATCAGCTTCGGGGAGGTCCGGCGCAGGTTCGTCAAAGTTTGGTGCAGGTTCGGTGGCGTTCGCTGGAGCTGTCGGTCTGGTGGCCGGAGCTGTGCTGCCATTGATCGGCCGGCAATTAAGAGGCTCTCTTGGTGGGTGTGTCGCGAGCCTTCCCTGTCGATTCACTTGCTCCTTTGGCGTGTGTGCGAGTTTTTCCTCCCTCGCTTTCTCTCCCTTGGTTTCCCCACTCACCCTCCCCGATTCCGCCTGGCTTCACTCCTGCTCTTCCTCTCCCTTCCGTCCCCCTTTTCGCTCCCCCATCCCCTCCCCGTTCGGCCCCACTTTCTCCTCCTCCCTGTCTTCAAGTGACCCTCTGACTGACGTGATCTCCCTCTCTCTTGCTGCTCCTCAGGTCGATTCCTGTCTCCCCCTCCTGCACAACAACGGGCAGCAGCAGAAGCGGCAGCAGCAGCGAACGCACAAGCAGCACCAGACGCAGCAGCAGCACCAACCACTGCAGCAGCAGGAGCCAAAAACACAGATGTGGACCTTGCTGACGTGGCAATGACGTGGATCCGTCCACCGCACCCCGATTGGCAGGCACCTGAGCAGCTGCTGCCGCCCTTCCCTGTTCCCTCAGCCGCTGCTGACAGTGAGGGTGGGAAGGATGGGGAAGAGGAGGGTAGGAGAGAGGAGGGAAAGGCGGGAGAGGAGGGAGGAGGGGAGGAGGGAAAGGCGGGAGAGGAGGGAGGAGGGGAGGTGGGGGTGGTGAGTGTGCGAGTAGCGGATTGCAGCAGCAGTGTGCTGTATCCTCTCGTTATAAGCACAGTGGTTCCTCGACCTATTGCCTTTATCTCTACACTTTCCAAGATAGGGGTTTAGACCAATAATAGAGACGCCCTAATATTTTCCAAGATAGGGGATAGAAGCAATTATGACATTGCATTCTGATGCCGCTGAAAAGACCATTTGATGCTGATAGCGCATTCTGATGTTAACTTCAACCCCACCCCCCCCCCCCCCCCCCCCCCTTCCCCCACTCCCCCTTGCCTGCTTCCAATCTCCTCTCCTTCATCCCTTCACCCCCTCTCTCCTGTGCTACTCTCCCCATCTTCTCCAGACTGGTGTTGGGAATCTCTCTCCCTATTCCTATTTCAACGCTGTGTTTTACAAACCCCCCATGCTTCTTACTACCTCCTCTCTTTCATCCATTCACGCCCCCTTCCCGTACTGCTCTCTCCCTGCTCTCCCTACTCCCATTTCAACACCTCGCTTCACAAACCCCCCATGCTTGCTTTCTATCCCTCTCCTTCATCCCTTCAACCCATGCTACTCGCCCATACTGCTGTCCCCCTGCTCTCCATCCAGACTGGTGTTGGGAACCTTTCTCCCTACTCTTATTTCCCCTCTCTCCCTTCTCTTATTTCCCCTCTCTCCCATGCTTCCCTCCGCTTGCTCTCCATCTCAGACTGGTGTGGGCAATCTCTCTCCTTACTCTTATTTCAACGCTGTGGCACACAATCCCCCCATGCTTGCGATTGGTCATTGCTGGTCCAGTGGGAAGCCCAAAGACTCGCTCAGAAATATACTTGATACAAGGTACTACGATAGCTGTATAAACGAGTCATGCGTTTCTTTTTAGACCGTTTGTTCATGATGCTTGAAACGTGTTGAGATAATTCATGTAAGAAAATTGGAAAAAATTTCCTAAGAAAGCTCTATCAATCAAAATGTCATATAACACTGCACATGTTCATGGGTGTACGTACTGTTTCAGAGAGCTGGTGGTGGCGCTGATCAGCGATTGGTTCGTGGAAGCAGCCAATCACACGTGCGGGCCGTTCCCCCCTGAAGTGGATGAGATGGAGCGGGCTGGGCTCACTGCCGTGCCGTCTGTTGTGGTGAGAAGAGCGATGCGGTTGGTGCCCTGTGTCCCGCTATGCACCCCCCTTCTCCCTCCTCCCTCTCCCCCTCCCGTTCCCCCCGGAGTGGTGAGATGGAGCGGGCCGGGCTCACTCCCGTGCCGTCTGCAGTGGTGAGGAATGAGTGGTACACCTCTGTAACACACAGTGCTTGTGCAGAGAAGAGGGATGTGTGGTTGATATGCAATGTGCCCTGCTGTAGAGCTGTTCCCCCCCGAGGTGGATGAGATGGATCGGGCTGGACTCACCCTTGTGCCGTCTGTCATGGTGAGAAGAGGGGCGTGCAGTTGATGCATTGCGCCCTGCTGTAGTGCCACTCCCCCCCCTTCCCCTTCATCCCTCCCAAAGTGGATGAGATGGAGCGGGCTGGGCTCACCCCGTGCCGTCTGTAGTGGTGAGAAGAGCGATGCGCGGTAGATGCATTGTCTGCCCTGCTGTAGTGCCATTCCCCCCTCTTCCCCTTCCTCCCACCGACGTGGGTGAGATGGAGCGGGCTGGGCTCACCCCTGGTGCCGTCTGTTATGGCGAGAGGAGGGATGCGGTTGGTGCCCCTCTGTGCCCCGCTGTGCCCCCCCTTTCTTCCTCCTCCCTCTTCCCCTCCCTTCCCGAAGTGGGTGAGATGGAGCGGGCTGGGCTCACGCCCGTGCCTTCTGTTGTGGTGAGAGCGAGGTTTACACTCCCGTAACACAATGCGCTGTCGTGGTGGAACGTGTTACGATGCTCTGTGCCTTGCCGTAGTGTGCCGTTCCCCCCCGAACTGGATGAGATGGAGCGGGCTGGCCCGCTCCGTTCCATCTGTTCCCCCCCTGACGTGTGGTGACATGGGATGTGCTCAGCTCAACCTCTGCCATGGTGGGATGGAGTGCATGCCTGTGCAAGTCACTTTGCCAATTCCTTTCATACCCTATTCATACTGTTTTGTCCATGTGCCCTATGGAACACTCCCTCCATGTCCCGCTTTCCACCTTCTTCCTCCCACCTTCCTCCTCCTTCCTCCCACCTCCTTACTCCCACCTTCTATCTCCTTCCTCCCACCTCCTTACTCCCACCTTCTATCTCCTTCCTCCCACCTTCCACCTCCTTTCTCTCACCTCCCACCTTCCACCTCCTTCCTCCCACCTCCCACCTCCTTCTTCCCACCTTCCACCTCCTTTTTCTCACCTCTCTCCTCCCACCTACTTCCCCACCTCCCCCCTCCTTTCTCTCACCTCCCACGCCCCACCTGTCACCTCTCAACCCTCACTACGCACTTTCCATCTCCCACTTCCCACCTACCCCAGGTGAAGCCTCCCCGGGTGGCTGAGTCAGCAGTGAACATGGAGTGCGTTGTCAGACACACATATGACGTCACAGACAGGTGAGACCTGTTTCTGCTGACGTCACCAACAGGCGAGAGACCTGTTTGTGCTGACGCGTGGGAGCAGGTGTGTGTGTGTGTAGGGATGACGTGTGTGGGGTGAGTTGTAGGGATGGCACTCACAACACGTCAGCTTCATGAGCTTTGTTGTGCTCACTGCACGGCAGCTTCTTGACCTCCCTGCCAGAAGAGATGACTCCATGCGCCGCAATCAGAAAAGCAGGTCACCTGCTTTGACTACTGCAGCTTCTTTGCCGAATTTAAGCAGGGCTCACCTGTGTGACTCATCGTCACTCACTTGTGTTCTCTCTTTCTTTGTTTGTGTTTGCGCGTGCACTTCACCTGTATTTAACGTGTATCCGATGCGCCAGGGATGGAAATGTGACAACAACGGTTGTGCTTGTGGAGGTGGTTATGTTCCATTTCTCTGAGCATGTGGTTACACGCACCCCCAACACTGGCAAATTAATTGTCGACCCAGGTCAGTTCCTACCCTTGAATTTACCATGGCTAGTTTTGACATACCAGCCAGACAGAGCCTGTTGACAATATGTTGTGATCTGGTACACTTCTGTGCAGCTGTGTCACTTCACATGTCATGTTTCTGCCTTTTTCTCACTTAGCTGCCCCTGTTTGTGTGCTGCAGTGAAGCTGCGTCCTATGTGCAGACTCGGGGGAAACACGTATGGGTTTGTGTCACATCTGTTTGACATTGCACGGCCGGATAAAGATGGCCGGTACCCGGGTCACAAAGGATTTGTGCAAAGTGAGAGGGACAAGATTGTTGCACAATAAGGTGGTGGTGTGAGTGTTAGGGCGTGTTACTACAGCCTCTTGTTTGACACACCTCTTGTCAGACTCATGCGGTTCAATGTGTCACTGTACGATCTGATGTGATTACGTGCGTGCAAATCGGACATAGGAACACGATACACCCCTAGGACGAGGGCAAAGTACCTTTGTATTTATGCAAAATGGAACATCCACTCAACTGCATGTATAAGCACAAATGGTTCGTACATGAAATACACAAATGTGCAAAATCTTTAAAGCCGGGATCTCATGTAGTTTGGATATTTTGCAGTCAGTGAATTGCGCTAGGCTTTGATTGGTTGACGAGGTAGAGTCCTTCACGAGAGCTGAAACGAGGGATGCGAAGCGAACAAAAATCGTTGGCTGCTTCCGAACCACCTAGGCACGGAAATCAGGTTGGGTTCCGAAGCTCATTTCCGAGCAATGTGTCCCACCTCCGAAAAATCTCATGTACAGAGATCTGTTTTGCAATTGAGATTCACGGGCAAAACGGAAATCTGTCGCTCGCTGAACCTCCAACCCAACCACTGAATTTCGCCTACACAAACAGGGTGACTCGAGCTGCAAGTGTTTTGCAATTGAAGCCAATTTCTCTTACTTGAGATCCTGGCTTTAAACGATAGGTGTTCCTGAATTTTGATGGTTAAAGGAGGTTGATATATGTGAACAATATACTATTCACATTGTTATTGCGAAAGTGCTTGATTTGTTACAAGTGCTTTATAAGGGAACTCGTGTAGATATTCTTGTTGGGGTGCTATCCTGACCAAATGACGCATGTCAGCAGGTTCCAGCGAGCAGCGCCGGGCACCGAATGCGCTGCGATTGCTCACAGCCGAATCGACCGAATCTGTTTTCGAGAATCGAGGTTGATGAAATTGGGCGAAAAGTACGCGTCTGGTCCAAAGAGCACGTTTTCTGTGGCTAGTCACTCCCTCCTAGAAATTTCGGTCAGGCAGGGTTGAACTGTTCTGCCCGCCGACAAATCTGCCTTGGTTTCACCAGCAACACCTGACAGCCGAAACGCTGGTCAGCGAATTTGAGGCAAACCCTCCCCATAAGGGGTGACAGTTCCACATCTTTCCGGGCAAGGTTGCAGTTGGAATATTGCGGAAGTCTAGACGTAAGTGCTGCACACCGACGATACAGAGCTGTAATTGGTGATTTGAAAAGCTGAACATACACTTCTGTCGGCGAAATGTTATAACCGGGATGAGAAATCCGTCTCGCTAGAATTGCGTAACTGTTTGCTGACCTGAGGCGAACGTGACACCAGGGTCAACTGAGAGCAACAATCCAACCGACCACTCACAAATGCGCCCCCAACACCCCGCTGCGCACGCCATTTTCCTCCCTCTTATTCGCTCTTCCCCTTGACTGGTCACTTCGCTGTGACGTGTCAAGCAATCACTCCCCCCCACTGCTGCGCCAGGGAGCGGAGTTCTCCTCTCATCGCCTCGCGCACGCCACGCAACCTGTTCCCCCCCTTTCTCCATTCCCCCCTCTGAACTCCCCCCCAACCCCCCCCCGCTGTGCACGCGAATTGGGTCCATCCAGCCATGCGTCATTGACCGCCTAGAAGAGCTTATAACCGATTTCAGCCCCGTCTAATTTGCCCTACAGGGTAACATGGCCGCGGCTCCCCACCACAACGAGCAGGTCACGTCATGTCATGGGCCCATTTTCTTGTTTTGCTGCACCAGCTCGTTCGCACCACCGACCGACCAGGGTCCCCTCCCCTTCCTGGGTCCCTGAATTTTGAAAAAGCGTTTTCTGAAGAGGGTTCCACCGAGCAGGGCCACTTCCTTTCGTTACTGTACCCCTCTCCCACCAATCTGCCGCTCGCGCCAGCCCGTGCCCTCATGATTGTCGGCTTTGTCTCGACTCTCTCAACCCTCCCCCGACAACTTTTTTGCACCTTTTATGGGCAGGTGCACACACAAAGAACAATCGCATCCACGTTCTGACTGTGCCAATCGGTATTTTTTCGATAAGCGCGTTTCGTCTATTCTGCAGACGGAAACGGGAGAGACCAATATTTCCAATCAATTAGAAAAGTACAAAAGTATTTCAGGCTTGAGTGATACAAAACCAGCGAATACTACTAATTAACCATGTGGCTGTTGTTGTAGTAATCTTACTCGCTTCATGTCAGAATCAACACTTACATGTCAAGTTTGAGCCGTGACGGAGGAAAATGTCTGTAACTAGTAAAATGAACAGAGTGTGAACGACTGAACTGTAGGCTGCCATGCCATGGGCGCACAAGCGTTTTTCGGCTGGGGGCAATTTGGTCTGGTCGGTCCGATGTGCCTATCTGGAATCTATTTCTGGTTTCTTACGTTCAGCCGTTGTGCAAGCAGGGCGTACTAGTCTCCTGACAAGCCCTCACTCCACCGTCCTCAGCCGCTCAACCACTTACCACTACAACTTTCACTGTAGTTCGGTTCTGTCTGTGATTGCAAGATGGAGCATTTTAGGGTTGTCAGCCTTCTCTTCCCTGTTTCGTTCGCTGAACGCCTCGCACCGAATTATTCCACCCTGGTCCTCGCAGCACGTAAACGAGCGTCGTTCGGACATTAGGAGGTGCCACGCTAACCTAATTTTCGGCTTAAGCTATGGGACGGAAGTTCTTACGGCTCACTTTGTGAACGACGAACGTTCTCCGCCTTTCCTAAGTCTCCAGGCAACCAGCGCACCCGCGTAAATAGTAGACTCAGAAACTCGTCAGCACCCCCACGCCATAACTGATCAAACTACCACCGACATCCCTGCACCCGTGCGTCTCCCATCGTAAAGAGAAGAATACTCCGATCAAAGCTAAACAGTTAGATACTCTGATCGTCCTAGACAGATATACACCCGTTAGGAATGGCCGGAAGGCAACGCCAGCCTAGCCAGCCTACCGCGTCGGGTCTCGGACCTATGCCTCCTCTCGCTGATGACCGTTACCGCGTTAGAGCGGCATCCATGGCTGCTCTCGCCGCATCGCCTTCCGAGTCCGCGTCTTCTCAACCCTCTTCCTGTCAACCCTCCTCTGTCTCGCCGCTCGAAGGAGCCTCATTTCTCGAAACCGCGTCGTCTGGACCTTCTTTCGCTGCCTCGTCCCTCAGAACACCGTTGCGTGATGATCGTGATCATGCAAAACATGATCATGTGAAACATGATAAGTCACCATGCGCTGCCTCGTCTTCCCAAATAGAATCCTCGTCTCCCCAAGAAGCATCCTCCCACAGAACATCGAGTTCCCCGAAATCAGCGGCGTCGTCGGACTGCTGTCGATCGCGCGTCGACTCCGATGCTTCAGTTCATCGAGTCGCCAACCACGCGCGCGCCTCAAGCATGGACTCTGAGGGTGCGCGCGAGCAGCGTCGGGGGAGGGAGGATACGGAGCGGAATGATAGAGTGGGCATGGTTGTAGAGCGGGCTTGGAGTCGCAGAAGGGATTCGCTAGTCGTCGCAGATGCGTCGTCGCGGGATACCGTCGCAGAGTCGCACGAGCGTGCGACGGAGGGATCCACGTCGGTACGCCGGCGTGGCGTTCGCAGCTCGTTTCATCATCCCTCCACACGTGAAACTGCCTCCCAACTCGCCGTTTCAACTCCCGCTTCCCATGTCCCCGTTCGCCGAGCGCAACGACACGTGGCGCCGCCGTACGGAGGGACGTACGGATCCTGCGGTTCCGTACTCGCTATGATCTGCCTCGTTAACCTCGTCTCGTGCTCGTCCGCGGTGTCCGTCCTGGCCGCCGCGAAAGCCGCCGCGAAAGCCGCTCCACCACCGACGAGCCAGCCGAGCGTTCTGCCGGCCTCGTGCTTCTTCGCGCTCCAGGTAACTTTCGCAAACGGGTTCGCACGAATGGTTACCCCCGTGTTCTGTTTCGCGCAACGGACTTGGGGGACAGCTGTCTACAGTGACAGTGTGAGTGACTCGTGAGGCGACTCGAGAGTTACGGAATCTGCAGTAGGGAGATGTAAGGGGACACTGCGGAAACAGTGGGGGAAAACTAGGGGGCGCGCACGTATCGGGGGACCAGGTGAGCCCGTCTTGCGACAGGCGGGGGAAGTCTCGAGGAAAGGCTTCCGGTGGAACGGGGGGGTGGGGGGGGGAGGGTGGGGGTTGGGGTTGATTAAGGGTGTGGGTTGTAGAGGTCACACCGGGGAAGGGGTGCTGGGTTGTAGAGGGTGTGGGTGCTGTGCAAACGCGCAGCATGACGGGTCGCGCGGGCGGTCGACCGGGGAAATCCTGGGGGGGGGGGGGGGGGGGGGGCGCGGGGAGGAAGGGGAAGAGGGGAGATATGGGTGGGGTCGTGGGGTGTCGGGATCACCTCCGGATGTCTGGTTGCGCGACCGTGTAGTGTGGCGGGTTTCGCGGGTAGTCGAACGATGGTTGTCCGTTCTGTAAGGATACCAAGAGTGGTGTGGGATCACCGCGGAAGGAGAGCGCGTAGCGTGACGGGTTGCGTTGCGCGGGCAGCCGAGTTCGATCCCCCCAGTAGCAACCCGCGCGAAACAGAAATTCACGCGTGTGCTTTTGGGGGGGGAGGGTCCTCAGGCGCCCGCGCGCTGGTGGGTTCCGCAGGCAGGGGGAATGTCGAGCTGCCATGCGAAAATCCTCCTAACTGCGCGCAGTTAGGTTTGGCCTCCGCCCCCCTCTCTCCCTAGCTCTCTCGCTCCCTTGCTCCCTCCCTCGCACCCTCCCTCCCTTCTTCCCTCCTTCCCTCCTTTCCCTCCCTCACTCTCTCCCTTCCACTGTCCCGCCCTTCCTCAATCTCTCCTTTCTCCCTCTCTCCCTCTCTTCCCTTCTCCCTTCCTCCCTCTCTTCCCTTCTCCCTTTCTCCCTCCCTCCTCCCTTCCTCCCTTCCTCCCTTCCTCCCTTTCTCCCCTTCTCCTTACCTCCCTCCTCATCCCCTTCTCCCTTCTTCCTTTCCTCCCTCTCTCCCCTTCTCCCTTCCCCCCTCTCTCCCCTTCTCCCTTCCTCTCTTCCTCCTCTCCCTTTCTCCCTTCCTCCCTTCGCCCTTAGCTTAATAATTTTCCCCTCACAGCTCCCCCCGTTATGTGGCCGTAGTCTAATCGTCCCCCGCGACGCTCTCTCCTCCCCCTTCTCTCCCCCCGTCTCTCCTCCTTCCCCGCTCCTCCCCTCCCCTGTCCCCTCCAGGCGTGCGATTTCGCCTTCAACAACTCACTCGGCTTCGTGCCGCTCTACGCACTCTCAGTCATCCAGCCCGACGTGCCCTTCACACAGGGCATCATGCACAGGTCAGTCAGTTGCAGTGACCAGTGTATCAACTCAGATGGATTTCTGTAGGCGACTCATGACTCAAAGATCATCTCTCCCTGATGCATGTTGGTGTCTGCTGCTTCCTCTCTGTCATTGACTCTGTGCGTGCGTGCATGCGTGTGCGTGTCTGTGCATGTGGCCGTGGGAATGTGTTCGAAACCAACCCTGGCTTTCCTTTTCATTCCCTAACTCTTTTCGTGTGTCCCTCGGATTGCCCTGGCAGCAAGCGATCGGCGCCGGCAATATCGGGAAAGCTCAAGCCGCAGTGCAAAGCTGTTAGCGTCTGGAAGGTGAGCTGCAATATACACCTTTTTGTTACAACGTCTGCAATCTACACCGTTTTTTGGTTACACCATGCGCACCTTGTTTTTTCTTGTTTATTCAAGCTTGGAACATGGCTCTTTTTTTGGCCGAATTTATAAGCTGGATTAAGCTGCTTCTGCGGGTTTGTTCCTTGCTTTACATATCCCTTCCTACGCTGCTGTAGTGTGCCCGTTCTCTGCAGCGTTCCTCCCACCTGCTTGCTTCACCAGAACCTCAATGCCCCAATTTTTTCTCAACGTGTAACATATCAGCCCTTTTACACACTCCCATTCCCTTCATTTCCTTCTTCTTTTCTTCCCCTGATTTCTTGCCCACCAGTTCAAAGCACTCAAGTGCCCGCCACTCGCAATAGTTCCTCCCTCCAGCTCTGAGTCTCCAAGCATTCGCTTTGCAGCTAAAGGACAAGTGTCAGGAACTGTGAGTGACCCTCTTCATGTTGCCAATTTATTTTGTTATTGTTTATTTCATTTCGGCATCTGGTTCAAGAGTGCGTTGCTGACTGGCTTGGTTTGTTCCTGTCTGTCGCAACCACAGGGGTACAGTGGAGCATGCTTCACCATGAGTTTCTCGCAATTATTGGTGAAGCTAGGGAGTGGCCCAAAGGGTATTCTTAAATTGACATCAGGGGATGGCAATACACAATTTCCAGAGGTAAACTACAGGAGATGAAGATTTAATGCACGTGGCACATGAAAGTCGTCTTTTGGTGCAGCCATTTTACTTCTACCATCGCAGCTTATCAGCGTTGTTTTTGTTTCTGCTCGTGTTTGCAGAACCGAAGATGTGTTGTATTCAGAACACTCTAGGAATGGCTGGCTGAGGAGGTTATACTTGCATGAAGATAGTACCCCATCATAGTAGTAGATCTTAGAAGTGACATTCATATTTGTACCCCTGTACACTGCACTGAAATGAATTTTCACTTCATGTGTACACAGAACTCATCTATCTCTGTTATGATGTGAAGTCTAGGGAGTGTTGTCGTACCCATGGTCCGGGCTGCAGTGTTTTCAAGAACCAATGACAAATTTCTGCAGCTCTGACAGGAGTTTCCCGCCAACCGAGACCCACTCAGGGGTCATCCCGTTCCATCCAAAACCTCTAGGACATTCCCAACGGACTTCCCGCGGAAGTATCCCCCTTGGTCCTTCCGCTCAAGCAAATTTCCCCGTTCCCCACAAATCCTCCGCAGTCTTATCCCGCCAGCTCCCCACTCAGCAACCCTTCCATCCAAGACTCCCCCGCAAACCCCAGCCGCAGAATTCCCAGCATACTTCCCCGCAGACTCCCCCGCAGCCTCCACAAAGCTCTTCTTCTCTCCCTCGCTCCACAACCCTTTCTGCTGACTCACCTCCCTCCCTCTTCAGCCAGTCCTGTCTCTCTCTGTTGTGCTGCTATTCTTGTTTAGACCGTTGCGTTCGCCTCTGCGTGACCATCTTGCGCATGTGTCTTGTTTCCTTTCAATTTTGTCAGGTCTGGTATTCAGTGATGTTCTTATTCTTGTTTTGGTAAGAACGCGTTTTTTTTTTTTCAACGCGGGAAATTGTTAATAATTCTTTGCATAATTCTTCTTCCCTTCCCGTTTCTCCCCTCCTTCGTGCGTGGGTCAACGAAAGGATATCAGAACCGTTTTGGATTCTTTTCATTAACGTTCCGTTAACGTCTCCGACCAGGTGATGGATTCGAGATCCTTCCAACTGCTACCTCGCGTCGTCAATCCCAACCAGGCGACGAACGACTCATCAGGGCCGTCGCCATTACCTGTCGCCGTCAATTCTAACCGGTCAGCTGGTGAACCGTCACAAACACCTCCTGTTGCAGTCGGCTACCCGGCGGTTTACCGTCTGCCTCCTACAGCAAGCTTGAACCCCCAAGTTCAGGAAACACAGGGAGTGCAGATGCAGCGATCACAGCCACAGGTAGCGCAGATGCAGCGATCACAGCCACAGGTAGCGCAGATGCAAGAATTAAGTACTACTAGTACTACACCACCTGGAGCAGCTACTTCTCATTCGTTGACTAAACAATCTGTACCTCTGAAGTCGGTTTTGCCTAAGCCGTTGCTTCCAAAGCCTTTACCTCCACAGTCGTTACCTTCCCAGTCGCTTCTGCCCCAGTCGTTTACTCCTCAATATGGTCCTACTCAGTCGTTTACCCCTCAGTATCTTCCTCCTCAGTACTTTCCGCCTCACGCCTTTCCTCCTCAATATTTTTCTCAACAGTCCTTTCCCCATCCTGTATACTTCTCGCCAATACCAACTCCCGTGTCAGCTACAGTGCTTTTCAACCAATCTGCATCCCATGCGTATCAATCTGCCTCTGGATCACAACCAAACCAAACCCTGAGCCACAGTTACGGTGTGCAGGCCGAACCTCGACTTGTTTCCGTACCTGGTGAACAGGCTCGGACATCTGCTCCCACGCCTCTACCTTCCTTCTCTGCTCCCAATCTTTCTACTCTCCCTACTCCCCAAGTCACCCCTTATCCGTACCCTTCGCCTCAGTCAGCTTGGCAAAATTCAGACTCCTCATCTGGTTACCAGGTGCATCGCCAACCCCCCGCCAGTGTGACTTCGCATTCTTTCGCTCCTGCTTCTCATACGCCTGGTGCTGCAACGGCTTCTCATGCGCCTGGTGCTGCAACGGCTTCTCATGCCTCGATCCTTGGCCCTTACGCTCCTCCTCCTTCTCCTCCTCCTCACGCCCAAGCTGTTCCCGCTGCTCCTGCGGCTTCTCTCGCTCCTGCTGCTTCTGCTGTTGCTGTTGCTCCTGCTGTTGCTGTTGCTCCTGCTGTTGCTGTTGCTCCTTTTGCTCCTGCTGCTCCTGCTGCTCCTGCTGGCGCTGGTGGCTCTGGGCATGCTGCGTCGCTTTGTCACGAAGCCTGGCGGGAGCATGCTCAGGGAGGATCCGAGCACGAGCAGCACGGGCAGCAGCAGAACGGGCAGTTTGCGCAGCAAACGTGGGAGCACGGGCAGCAGCAGAACGGGCAGTTTGCACAGCAAACGTGGGAGCATGGGCAGCAGCAAAACGGGCAGTTTGCACAGCAAACGCACGAGTTTGGACAGCAGCAGAACGGGCAGTTTGCCCAACAAACGTGGGATCACGGGCAGCAGCAAAACGGGCAGTTTGCGCAGCAAACGTGGGAGCACGTTCAGCAGCAAAACGGGCAGTTTGCGCAGCAAACGCACGAGTTCGAGCAGCAGCAGAACGGGCAGGTTGTGCAGCAAATGCACGACCTCGGGCAGCAACAGAACGGGCAGTTTGTGCAGCAAACGTTCGAGCATGCGCCTGAGAGAAGGGAGCCGCGGCCCAGGATGGTTCAGGCGTGGGACTGGGATGGTGTGGAGGCACGAGGAGCAGAGGTGGGAGTGAGAGAGAGGGAGATCGAGGCGTGGAGGGAGGGTCTTTGGCGCGGCGAGGATGGTGATGTGCCTGACGTGGGAGGCGGAGGGGAAGGGCTTGGGGGGGTTGGAGGTGTGGGGCGGGACGGTGATGAGGGTGGAAGAGGAGAGGTAGAGGAGGGGGAAGTAGGAAGGGAGGGGGAAGAAGGAGGGGAAGAAGGAGAGGTTGAGGGAGGAGGAAGAGAAGGGAGAGAGTATGGGGGAAGTGGGGAAGGAGGAGGAAGAAGAGGAGAGGAAGAGCAGGGAGGTGGATGTGCTCGTACTTCTGCGATTGGAAGGAAGGGGTACGCTGCAGCATTAGCAGCAGGCGGAGTGCCAACGTCAGCAACAGCTGGTGTGACGTCAGGAAGAGGAGAAGGTGCCAGCACAGCCAGAGCAGCAGGTGGAGGCAAGAAGAAGAAGAAAAAGAAGAAAAACGGTGGTGCTGGGGGAGTTGGTGGTTGTGCGGCTATGCCACTGCAGCAGGCTGTGAAGGCTGAACCAGAAGAAGGGGAGCGAGTGACCTGCTCGCCTGGCGTCCCTTCGCATGATGACCTTTGCCCTGTCAGCGTTTCGCCTGGTAGCAATCCGTGTGGTAACATTTCGCATGGGTTGTCGGATCTGCGTCCTTCTGACCAGGCTGCTGCAGGAAACGGGGTTGGGGGGAGGCGAGTTGTGAGCTATGGGGACATTGAGGCGGAAACAAGGGGGGAGGAGGTGCCTGGTTTGGCGAGTAACGCTTGGCCTGGTAACCCTTCGCCTGCTGCTGCGAACGCTATCCAGAGAAGGAGAGTTGTGGACTATGGGGACATTGGCGCGGAAGCAATTGGGGAGGAGGTGCCTGGCTTGGCGTGTAACGCTTGGCCTGGTAACCATTCGCCTGCTGCAGCGATCGGCTTTGAGAGAAGGAGAGTTGTGAGCTATGCTGATGTTGGCCTGGATGAAAGGGAGGAGGCTTCTGGTTTAATTGCTGATGCTGGCCGTTTTCCTTGCTGCTGCTGCTGCTGCTGCCGCTCCTGCTGCTGCCGCTCCTGCTGCCGCCGCTCCTGCTGCCGCCGCTCCTGCTGCCGCCGCTCCTGCTGCTGCCACTCCTGCTTCCGCCACTCCTGCTGCCGCCGCTCCTGCTGCCGCTGTTCATGCTGACAGTGTGACACCCATACAATCACGAATCGGCATTCCATTGTCAACTGCTTATGTTAACCTTGCCCCCTCTGCCGGTGCTGCTGGTGCTGCCGCTGGTGCCGGTGCTCCTGCTGCTGTTGCTGCTGCTGCTGGTGCTGCCTATGCTGCTGCTGCTGCCAACAGCTTGGCACCCATACCATCACAACTTGCCATGCAATCAACTGCCAGTGCTGGACTTGCTCCTACACATCTCCCCTCATCCACTCTCTCTGCCGCACATCGCCCCACAGCTACTCTCTCTGCCGCACATCGCCCCACTGCCACTCTCTCTGCCCCACGCCGCCCCCTAACGAGTCTCTCCGCCCTGCTTCGGCGATTCTTAGGAGACGAAGCCGCTGCAAAGCCAACCCTGGAGCCGGCGGTGGGGGAGAGAGGGGCTGTGGAGTTGACTCGCGATTCAGAAGCAGGTGAAACACCAGCTGGTTTCAATTCAAGGGAAGGTGAAGCAACAGTTGGTTCCAAGTCTGTGGTTGGTCGGAATTCAGGGCCAGGTGAAACAGCAGGTGGTTTCATTTCAACGGCAGGCGAACCAACAGTTGGTTCAGTGGTTGGTCCGAATTCAGGGGCAGGTGAAACAGCAGGTGGTTCTAATTCAAGAGCAGGTGAAGCTGCAGAGGGAGTGGTTCACGCGCCTGTGGGCCGTGAAGAGGCCGCGGAATTGGAGGAAGGGGAGATTGGAGAAGAGGAGGTTGAGGCTGGGGAGGAACAGGGCGAGGAGGTCTGGAGGCGTGCGGATCAAGCAGAGGCGAGGGAAAGAGGTGGAGGGGGCGAGAGAGCAGCGGTGGTTTTGAGGGGAAGAGGTGGGGAGGGCGAGAGAACAGCGGTGGATCAAACAGAGTCGAGGGGAAGAGGTGGAGAGGGTGAGGAAGTTAGGAGAGGAGAGGAAGACGCGCAGGTGCTGGGTGTGGTGGGGGAGAGTCGAGAGGTAAGGAGCGGAGCGGATGGGGATGTGAGGAGCGGAGCGGATGGGGATGTGAGGAGAGGAGGTGAGCTTGAGGGAGTGCCGTGTGGAGAGGTCCAGGAGATGAGAAGCAGTGAGGGGCAAGAGAAGGGTGTGGAAGGGTATGATGGGGTGGGAAATGGTGATGGGAGGGCATCTGGTGGAGCGGCAGTAGCTTGTGCTGGCAAAGATGGGAAGCAGCAGCAGGATGGGAAGGAGAAGCGAGATGAGGAGAGAGGGAGTGTCCGAGTGGGGGTAGCTGGTGCTGGTGAGGAGAGGCCGAGGCAGACTGTTGATGAGACGTCTCCTGGGGAGCAGAATGAAGTGGAGAAGCAGAGTCGGCATGGGCAAGGCTCGACTGGGCTGGTCAGTTGTGGTAGAGGGGACCTTGGAAGAGGAGGGGAAGGAAGGGAGGGGCGTGGCCGAGAAGGAAGAGAGGGGAGAGGAGGAGAAGGAAGAGAGGTGGGAGGAGGAGAAGGAAGAGCGGGGAGAGGAGGAGAAGGAAGAGAGGGGATTAGAGAAGGAAGAGCGGGGAAAGAAGGAGGAGAAGGAAGAGAGGTGAGAAGAGGAGGAGGAGAAGGAAGAGAGGTGAGAAAAGGAGGAGGTCGGAGGGACGTCAGGAGTAGTAAAAGCAAAAGCAACAGCAGAGGTAGGAGCAGGAGCAGAAGCGATCGAAGCAGAAGCAGAGGCAGAAACAGAAGTCGAAATAGAAGGAGAGGTAGAAGCAGAAGCAGGAGCAGGAGCAGTGGTAGCAGCAGCAGCAAGAGCAGGAGTAGGAGAGGCAGCAGCAACAGCAGCAGCAGCACCAGCAGCAGCAGCAGCAGGAGCAGGAGCAGGAGAAGGAGCAGCAGCCAATCAAGCGACAGCCGCAGAATAAGCAGGAACAGGGGTGAGAAAAGCGAGATGGTTAGGAGAAAGGAAAAACATGATGAAGATAGTGACAGCAGCAGCAGTAGCAGGAGATTGTACGGTCACAGCAATTGCAGTGGAAGTAGCAAGAGAAGCAGCAGAAGCAGTGACAGGAGCATGAGCAAGAGCAGAGGTAGGGGCAGACGCAGCAGCGGCGATAGAAGTAGAAGTATGGACTCGAGCACAGGCAATGATAGAAGAAGGAGCAGTGATGGTACCAGGAGCAGTGGCAGGAGCAGAAGCAGCATTAGGGATAGCAGTGCTAGGGAAAGCAATGATAGGAGGAGCAGCGATAAGCGAAGCAACGGTAGGAACAGAAGCGAGAGCGTGGGAAAGGATGGCAGCAGTGAGAAACGCAGCAGGGAGAAGAGGAGTGGCATCAAAGGGGGAAGAGGAAGAAGCAGCAGGAAGAGCGAGAGCAGCAGAGGCAGTGAGAGAAGCAGAAGTAGTAGCAGTGGCAGAGAGAGTAGTAGCAGTGGGACACACACCACCACCAGTGATATAAAGAGACAGACTTTTAAGAAGAGTGATGGTGGAGACAGAAGCAGGGGCAAGGAAAGGAGTAGAAGTAGTAGTGTTGATAAGGAGAGGATTAGCAGTGGACCACACACCAGAGGGAGGACTTTCAGGAAGAGTGGTGGTGCAGACAGAAGCAGGGGCAATGAGATGAGTGTCAGTACTAGTGGTAGTAGTGGCAGGAGGAATAGTCAGGACAGCAGCAGCAGCAGGAGCAGCAGCAGTAGCAGCAGCAGCAGTATGAGGAGTAGCAGCAGTAGTAGGAGCAGGAGCAGGGGAAGGAGCAGGGGAAGGAACAGGGGAAGGAGCAGGGGAAGGAGCAGGAGGAGGAGCAGCAGAAGCCGCAGTAGTGAGAGGAGAAGTAAAGGGACGAGTGCTAGAAGTAGCAGCGACAGAAGCATGAGCAGCAGCAGGAGCAGGAGCAGCAGTAGGAGTAGCAGCAGCAAGGATGCGAGGAGCAGCAGCAGCAGCGGCAGCAGCGGCAGCAGTAGGAGCAGGAGCAGCAGCAGGAGTGGAAGGAGGAGCAAAGAGGATTTGATGTCGAGAAATGAAGAGCCCCTGAAGCTTCCTCCTGTTGAATCACCTGGCACTGGCATTGGCAGGCCTGGAGGGGCTTCACCAGAGGAGAGGGGATCTGAGAGGAAAATGAGGGTAGAGAGAGGAGGGAGGGCTGAAGGCAGTGAGGAGAGGAAAGGGAGGAGAGGTGGGGACAGTGAGGAGGGGAGACGAGAGAAAGTGGTGGAGGGAGGTGGGAAAGATGGAAGTAGTGAGGAGAGGAGGAGTGAGAAGGTGGTAGAGGGAGAAGGCAGTGAGGAGAAGAGAGATGAGAATGTGGTGGAAGGAGGAGGGAGAGATGGCGGCAGTGAGAACAGGAGGAGTGGGAGGGCAATGCTGCCTTCTGAGTCTGTTCTTCTCATGTGTCCTGCTGCTGCTGATGGTACTGGTGCGGCTGTTGATGTTGTTGCTTTTGCTCATACTGCTGCTGCTAACGCGGCTGCCAATGCGAATGCGGCATCCGTTGCTGATGCTGACGTGGATCCTGCTGCCACTGGCGCAGATGCTGACGTGGATCGTGCCAGTGCAGCTGAGCCTGGCCCTGGTACCCCTTGTGTTCCTCTCCGGTCTGACAGTCCCACAGCCCCACAGCCTTCGCCACAGCCGGAGGGTTTGCTACAGCCTGAGAGGCAAGCAGTGCCAGTCATTCGGCTGCAGCCGGGAAGTCAACCGCAGTCTGGGAGTCTGCAACAGCCGGAGGGATCGCTACTGCCGGAGGGTTTGCTACAGCCGGCTGCCCTTGAACCTGCTATGCCCACAGGTCAGCAGCAGAAGAAGCCTGTGACCTTCAAGCTCGCTCCTCTCAAGAAGCCGGCTGGTAAAGACGGGGGGAAACGAGGTGGGGGTGGATTGGAGAAGGCGGGGATACCTAAGGGGCTTGAGGGCCTGTTTGTGACGCACCGAAAGCCTGTGTCGTTCAAGGCACAGCCTGCTGCTGCTGCTGCTGCTGCTGCTGCTGCTGCTGCTGTTGCCTCCACTCCTGTTGCTGCTGCTGGGAGGAGTGGTGGTGTTGCTGCTGGTAGTGGTGCTACTGCCTCTACTGCTCCTGATTTCGCTGCTGGTAGTGCTGTGACCAGTGGTGCCGGTGCTGGTCGTGTTATTGGAATTAGTGGTGGTATTGGTGATGCCACTGGTAATGCTGGCGTTCCTGTCAGTTCTGATGCGTGTGCTGCCACTTCTGCTGCTGCTGCTCCTGGTGGTGCTGCTCCTGCAGCTGTGGCTGCTGTTCCTCCTGCTGCTCCTCCTCCTCCTCCTCCTCCTGCTGCTGCTGCTGCTGCTGCTCCTCCTCCTCCTCCTTCTGCCACTGTTGCTGCCGCTACTGCTGTTGATGCTGCCATTGCCAGTGCAGGTGAAAGTGCTGGCACTGATGCTGTTACCACCAGCGCTGCTGCTGCTGCTGATGCATCTCGTTGTGTTGGTCTTGATGGTGGTGGTGGTGCTGCTGCTGTTGCTACTGCTTCTGCTGCTGCTTCAGACAGTGCTGCTGCTGTGTCTGCTGCTGCTTTGCCTGCTACCACTGCTACTGCGTCTGCTGCTTTGACCTCTGCAACCGCTGCCACTGCGACGGGCAGTGGTGCTGCTGTGTCAGCTGCCGCAACTGCTGCCACTGTGATGGGCAGTGATGCTGCTGGTGGATCTAATTCGCTGCGGAAATCCAGGTGGTCCCCTGTGCCCACTCCTGCTGCTGCTTCTGCTGCTCCTCCCACCCTTGAGGTACCATCTGTCACTGCTGCTGTCTCTGTGCCTGCCTCTGCGCCTGCCTCTGCGCCTGCCTCTCCCCGTGCCTCGCATCTGGCGTTTGTCCCTCCATCGGTGCTGCGGAGGAAGCAAGCCAAGGCTGCAGTGGTCAAGGGGACTGGCTCAGAAGGTGCAGCGGCAGCAGCAGAGGGGGCAGTGTGTAAAGGGAATGACCTAGGGGTTGCAGCAGCAGCAGCTGAGGGAGCAGTGGGTAAAGGGACTGGGCAAGAGGGTGCGGCAGCAGTGGAGGGGCGTCAAGAGAAGTCTGTAACAGGGGAGGAGAGTCGACAAATGGCTGTAGCAGGAGAGGGGGGTCAACAAACGGCTGTAGCAGTGGAGGAGAGTCAACGGAAGGTTGTAGCTGGGGAGGGGAATCAGCCACAGGGTGTAGCAGGGGAGGAGGGTCAACACAAGTCTGTAGCAGCGGAGGAAAAGAGTCAACAAATGGCTGTAGCAGGGGAGGAGAGTCAACAGAAGGCTGTAGCGGGGGGGGAGAATCAACAACAGGGTGTAACGGGGGAGGAGAGTCAACAGAAGTCTGCAGCAGCGGAGGAGAGTCAACACGAGTCTGCAGCAGCAGCGGAGGAGAGTCTACAGAAGTCAGTAGCAGGGGAGGGGAGCCAACGAGAGGCTGTAGCTGAGGAGGAGAGTCGGCAAGAGGCTGTTGGAAGACAAGCTACTGTAGCAGAAGAGGCCGAGTGGGCAACTGTAGCAGAAGACATGAGTCAACGCAAGTCTTCAATTGGCAAGGGGGCAAAGCAAGCCACTGTTGCAGAGAAAACGAGTCAACGCAAGTCTTCAGTGGTCAAAGTGGCTAAGCAAGCGATTGCTGCAGCGGACACGAGAAAACTCAAGACGGTCATGGTCAAGAAGACTGTTAGACATGATCCTGCGAGCAGCAGTGGAGGAGGGGGGAAAGGGATGGGTGCAGCAGACACGAGGAAACACAAGACGATAATGCTCAAGAAGACTCTGCTGAAAATCGTGGCACCAAGGGAAAAAGCATCGATCGGTGGTGGAGATCAGAGTAGTTCTGCCGCTGCCGCCGCTGTTGGAGGGAATGGAGGTCGTGGAGACGGTGGCAGCGGAAGTCATGGGGTTGGTGGTGGTGGCTATAACACGAGTGGCGGTGGTGGTGGTGAAGGAGCTGGTTCCATTCGCTATAAGAACGTTGCGGCTTTAGGGGCGAAGGTGGGAAGTGACAGTATCGAAAGGGTGATGCGGCAGGCACGGCAGCATGTGAGACCACGGTCCAGCCGGGTCACTCGCAGATTGGCCCTCTCACCGTCCCCAGGGCCCTCAGAGTCCCCAGAAGGAGGATTTCAGCAGCAGCAGCAGGAAGAGGAGGGGGAGGAGGGGCACAAGCAGCAGCAGGAGGAGGAGCAGCAGCAGCAGCTGTATCGTGCCGTTGAGTATCAGAGCAGCGAGTCACTCCTGGGACCTCACCGGCATGTGCCGCTGCAGATCGAGCGCAGGCCAGAGTCAGAGTCACGCTTGTTACAATCACGCCCGTTAGAGTCACAGGCTGAGGCCTGCGGTGTATTGAGTGACCCTCCTCCTGCACCGAGTCTGCTAGAAGTGCTGGCTGTTGCTGCCGCTGAGAGTGAGAGGGCTGATGGGGGAAGCAGTGGGAGACGCGTGGGAGGGGATGGGGGCGGAATGGGGAGGGAGAGAGGAAGAGTGGGAGGGGAGAGCGTGGGTGGGGTTGATGGGTGGGGTGGATGGATGGGTGGGGTAGGTGGGGCGAGGAGGTGGGGGGAATGGAGAGGGGAGGAAAGCCGGGGGGAGGGGGAGGAGCAGGAGCAGATGGAGGAGCGGGGAGGGGGGGAGGAAGTGAGTGAGAGAGGAATAGATTCATCACAAGGGGGAGAGGCAAGTGATAGGGGATTCCTCTCACAGGACTCCCTAGGGTCTGAGATGCACTCTCAGGAATCCCCGATGCTGGCATTGCTGTCCCTGGCGAACCTAGCTCACACCGCTGCTGGTACTGCCGAACCTGTGGTTCCCGCCGGACCTGCATTTCTTGCCGGACCTACGCCTCCTCCGAAGCTGGCCCCGATCCTGGAATCTGCTTCTCCTGCCGAGCCTGCTGCCACCACACCTCTACCCGAGCCTGTGTCTGCACTAGAACCTGCTTGGAAATCTTCTCCTGCACGTGTGGCTAAGCGTTCCCTGTTGTTTGAAACCCCTCAGGAAGAGAAGGAAGAGGAGGGGGAGGAAGCAGAGGGGAATGGGGAGGAGGAGAGGGAAGAAGAGGAGAAGGAAGTAGAGGAGAAGGGGGAAGTAGAGGGTAATGGGGAGGAGGAGGAAGAAGAGGAGGAGGAGACACAGTTTGAGAACCCATGGGACCTGGTTCTGAACGTGCATGCATCTTCAGGGTCTGACTCCGGGAGTGAAGGAGGGGGAGAGAACGAGGGGGAGAGGGGTGGAGAGAGCGGGGGAGAGAGGGGGGTAGGAAGGAAGCCGGGAGTTGTGTCTGGGGTGCTGGAGGAGTTACCAGTGCTGCAGGGTGTGTTCGAGCTTCCGAGACCAGAGATTGCAATTTTTGAGCCAACGCCGGAGAAGGGCGGGAGGGGAGGTGTTGGTGGTGGTTCTGATGGTGAGGAGGAGGAGGATGAAGATGTTGATCCTTGGAGCCTGGATCTGCTGCCGTGTGGTGACGTGGCAGGTGCAGGTGACGTGGCAGGTGCAGCTGACGTGACAGGTGCAGCTGACGTGGCAGGTGCAGGCGACGTGGCAAATAGAGGATTAGGGAAAGGAAACGAAGTCACCAGGGGAGGAGGCACAGATGGGAGTAAGGCGAAGGAAGGGGGAGAAGGAATGGGGAGGGAGCAGGGGGAGGTTGCAGCAGTAGTGGAGGCTGGCGACGCAAATGCAAGAGATTCAGGTAACGCAAGGGATGCTGGTTTGAGTGGTAAAAATACGACTGGTGGTGGTGAGAGTGCACGTGAGGAGATTTATAACGGAGAAAGTGCTTATAATGAGGACACAAGTGGTGGGGATTCGTTTATCGATCTTGCATCTGATACAATTGAAACGAGTGCCGAAGCTGCTGTGGCTGCTGGTGATGAAGGTTCGACTGGTGAAGTCACAGGTGCTGAGAAACCTTCTAAGCGATTACCTGAGAATTTATTTGAGGAGAATATACCTGAGGAATCCCCTGCTGTTGTTTCAATCGGTGCAACTGTTGCAAGTGCTGGAGCTGCTGCTGCAGCCAGTGCTGATGTGCCACCTGGCGTGCCACCAACGAATCTGCTGACGTATTCAAGAAAAAAAGCAGGGGGTGGTGCGAGTGCAAGTCAAGAAGGGCTTGACGGTGACGTGGGATCGAAAACGGGAGAAGCGGGAGTGAGAGGAGGAGAGGGCAATGCCCCTGCGGCAGCAAGCGGGGCAGGTGGATCTGGAACAGGTGTATCTGTGGCTGCAGGGAAGGCAGGTGCATCTGTTGCAGCAGGAAATGGAGGTGTATCTGCAGCTGTGGGAAAGGCAGCAGCTGCAGGTGTAACTGGGGGAGGTGTACCTGCCACTGCAGGCGTAACTGGGGGAGGTGCATCTGCGGCTGCAGGTGTAACCGGGGGAGGTGTACCTGCCACTGCAACTCAGGTGGCTGTGCCAATAGCAGGAGTGGCTGTATGGGGGAGGGGACGAGGGATGGCTGTGGGGGGACGGGGGCGAGGGGTTGTGATGGGAGCAGGTGGGGTGTTGCTAGCAGGTAGAGGAAGGGAGCTGGTGAGTGGGCGGGCAGGAGGAAGGGCTGGGGGGAGAGGCAGAGGGGCCCTTGTGTGGAACAGGAATGCTGCTGCTGGTGCCAGTGCTGCCAGTTCCAGTGCTGCCAGTGCCGGTGCTGGTGTCTCTGGTGCTGCTCCTGCTGGTGCATATAAGAGGCCTGCATTCCCCGCTGTCAGCAAGAAGCTCACGTACACTCTTGCTGCTGCTACGGCCGCTGCAGCTGCTACAGCTGCTGCAGGTGCTGCAGGTACTACAGGTGCAAAGCTTACGACCGCAGCTGCTGGGACCGGGAAACCCATGGGTACTCCTGTTGCAGCGGTCACTGCTACAAGTGGGAGGCTTCCATCTGTAGGCGCCCCCGCTGGGGGAGCTACAGCTGTAGCAGCCGCTACAGCCGGGCATGCAGGCATAGCTATGGGTCGGCCGAAGCTGGTTGTTAGGCGGCTTGTGCCTGCCAGGCCTGGCAAGGGCTGCTGCTGCTGCTGCTGGTGGTGCTGCTGGTGGTGCTGCTGGTGGTGGTGGTGCTGCTGCTGCTGGTGGTTCTGCTGCTGTCTATAATAGTGCTGCTGCCGTTGCTGCAGTTGAGGCGGCTGCTGCTGCTGCTGCTGCTGCGGCGGCTAAGGCTGCCACTGCCCTCCCTGCAAAGGAGGGCCCATCGCCTTCCCCCTCAACCCCGGGGAAGAAGAATTCCTTATCTGCCAAGCTAACCCCCCGAAAGGCGTCTCCCTTCGCGACTGTCTCTCCTTCAGCTTTTGCCTCCCGCCGCTCCACCGCTGCTTCCATTGCCGCGTCCGTGGGTGCTGCTGCTTTTAATCGACGGTGAGTATGCAACCCCTGGTGTTGCATGTCTGGCTTTGCTAACCCCCCGGAAAAGGCGTCTCCCTTCGCGACTGTTTCGCCTTCAGCCTTCGCCTCCCGCCGTTCCACCGCTGCTTCTATCGCCGCGTCCGTTGGTGCTGCGGCGTTTAATCGACGGTGAGGACTCTGTCTGCCCCTTACCCTTCAACTGGAGGTGAGGATATTGCATTCTGACAATCACTTGACATCACATGTCTCCCACGCTTTCTCCCTCTCCCACGCTTTCTCCCTCTCCCACGCTTTCTCCCTCTCCCACGCTTTCTCCCTATCCCATGCTTTCTCCCTATCCCACGCTTTCTCCCTCTCCCACGCTTTCTCCCTCTCCCACGCTTTCTCCCTCTCCCACGCTTTCTCCCTCTCCCACGCTTTCTCCCTCTCCCACGCCTTCTCCCTCTCCCACGCTTTCTCCCTCTCCCACGCTTTCTCCCTCTCCCACGCTTTCTCCCTCTCCCACGCTTTCTCCCTCTCCCACGCTTTCTCCCTCTCCCACACTTTCTCCCTCTCCCACGCTTTCTCCCTCTCCCACGCTTTCTCCCTCTCCCACGCTTTCTCCCTCTCCCACGCTTTCTCCCTCTCCCACGCTTTCTCCCTCTCCCATTCTCTCAGGTTCGTGGCACAGCAGCTCTACACGCGCTCCTCCTCAGGCTTCTCGCTTCGCCGCTCAGGTGCTCTTTTGCTCTTTCGCTCTTTTTCTCTGTTGCTCTGTTGCTCTGTTGCTCTTTTGCTCTTTTGCTCTCTCTTGCTCTCTTGCTCTTTTGCTCGTGCGGCTCTTTGTGAAATCGTGTATTTTCTTCCTCCTCTTCTCTTTCAAGTTAGGTAATGTCGTAGAAAGGTGCTCGTGTTTTTGTGCTCTTTCTGACCCTCTCAGCGTGTTTGTCTCTTTCGTATCTCTGCTCGTTCATAACTTGATGTTCAAATGCAGCAGGTTGTAAGGAGCTGGAGTGGTCTCATGCTTCGCAAGTTTCTGTCCTACCCAACTGTGAATCAAATGTTTATCGTTTTGTACTGGTGTTTGCTTGTTTATTTGCTGCTGCTGCTGCTGCTGCTGCTTCTGCTGCTGCTGCTGCTGCTGCTTCTGCTGCTGCTGCTGCTTCTGCTGCTGCTGTTGCTGCATCTGTTGCAGGTGTGCGGGCGGCCCGTGGTGCGAAGAGCCTGCAGTGGAACAAGGAGCAGCAGGAGCAGGAGAAGAAAGCGAGAGAGGTGAGAGGAAGTGTAAGAGGTGAGAGAAGGGAGAGAGGAGAGAGAGGTGAGAGGAAGCGAGAGACGTGAGAGGAAGTGTAAGCGAGGAGAAAAGGGGGAGCTGTGGCACGCGGTGCAAAGAGCCTGCAGTGGAGCAAGGAGCAGCAGGAGCAGGAGAAGAAAGCGAGAGAGGTGAGAGGAAGTGAAAGAGGTTAGAGGAAAGAGAGAGAGGTGAGAGAAAAGAGAGAGAGGTGAGAGGAAGTGTAAGCGAGGAGAGAAGGGGGAGCTGTGGCATGTGGTGCAAAGAGCCTGCAGTGGAGCAAGGAGCAGCAGGAGCAGGAGAAGAAAGCGAGAGAGGTGAGAGGAGGGAGAGAAGTGAGAGGAAGAGAGAGAGGTGAGAGAAGGGGGAGAGGTGACAGGAAGAGAGAGAGGTGAGAGAAGTGAGGAAGAGAGAGAGGTGAGAGGAAGTGTAAGCGAGGAGAGAAGGGGGAGCTGTGTCACATGGTGCAAAGAGGTCTGCAGTGAAACAAAGGAGCAGCAGGAGCAGGAGAAAAAAGCGAGAGAGGTGAGAGGAGGGAGTGAGAGGTGAGAGGAGAGAGAGAGAGAGGTGAGAGGAAGCAAGAGAGAGGAGAGGAAGCAGTTAGAGAGGTTCGAAAAGGTGAAGGAGAGGAGAGGAAGCGAGAGAGTGGAGAGGAAGGGAGATAAATATGAGGAAGTGAGAGAGGAGAGAGGAAGCGAGAGGAAGTGATAAAAGAGGAACCCTCTCCTTTCCTCTTCTCTCCTCTCCTCCACTCCTCCTCTCCTCTCCTCTCCTCTCCTCTCCTCTCCTCTCCTCTCCTCTCCTCTCCTCTCCTCTCTTCCTCTTCTCCGTTCCTCTCCTCTCCTCTCCTTCCTCTCCTCTCCTCTCCTCTCTCTTCTCCTCTCCTCTCCTCTCCTCTCTCTTCTCCTCTCCTCTCCTCTCCTCTCTTCTCCCCTATTCATTTCTTCTCCTTTCCTCTCGTCTCCTCCTCTTCTCTCTTCTCCTCTCCTTCTTCCTGTATTTTTTCTCAACCTCAAGAGGCAGTAGCGGAAGCATCCAGGAAGCAGCGGCAGCGGAACGGTGCAGCGGAGAAATCAACGAAGGCGTTAGCTAGGATCCCTTTTTTTTTTTTTTTGAGACGTCTCAAAAACAGTCTAATCTCAGAAGGCGTTAGCTAGGATCCCATATTTTCTTTCTTTCCTTCCTGTCTACTCTACGGATGCTTTTTCCTCAGGATGTCCATCCATGACTTTCTTTCTTCCTCTCCGTTATACTCTACGCTTGCTTTTTCCTCTCCTTTGTATTCCTCAGGAGGCCACAAAAGCAGCGGCAGAAGCTTCCAGGAAGCAGCGGCAGCGCAAAGAGGCATTGGAGAAAGCAAAGAAGGCGATTGCGAGGAGCCAAGCAGAGCAGCGGGCCAAGAGACGGGCAGAAAAAGAGCGCATCCGGGCAGAGAACGCAAAAGTTAAGGCTGCCCGGATGGCTGCTAGGGTGGCGGCGAAAAAAGCTGGTGCTGCTATTCTTGCAGCAAGGCGGCAGCAGAGTGAGTGTGCGGGGGTGGGGGGAGGAGAAGGGGGGGAGTTGGAAGGGGCTTGACTTTTGAGTGGACTTAAAAAGCTGGTGCTGCTATTCTGGCAGCGAGGCGGCAGCAGAGTGAGTGTGTAGGGGAAAAGGAATAAGGGGACTTTTGAGTCGACTCAAAAGTCACCCCGGTGCTGCTATTCTGGCAGCTAGGCGGCAGCAGAGTGAGTGTGCGGTGGTTGGGGGAGGAGAATGGGAGGGGAGGCTGCATCTGTTGGGATGGGAGGGAGTAAGGTGTAAACGGTTGTGGTTGCATCTCTGTGGGAAAGGTGTAAGGTGTGACGGGGTTGTGGCTGCATTTGTTGGGAGCGGGTGTGGGGGGGGGAGGATGGTGGCTGCATAGGTGTGAACAATTGTAGAAAGACATTGGCTCAGCAGCCGTATGGATAGATATTCTGCTCTGACCCCTCGTCACACCTCTCCACCCCTGCAGCCACGGAGTCACAGGGGTCCTCCGTGTATCGACTGGCAGCCAAGAATCGCTCACTTGCCCTTTCTCTCAGAACTGTTTCCCCTCCGTTCCCATCCATGCTCCCTCCCTGCTCCACCTCTGGCACGCACCTCTCCGCCCCTCCTCACACCTCTTCATCCCTTCAGCCACGGTGTCCCAGGGGTCCTCCGTGTATCGCCTGGCAGCCAAGGGGCGTTCTCTTGTGCGCCTCAGCAGTGAGTACTAGGGTAGGGGGTGTTGGGGGTGTGCTAAGGGGTGCTGGGTGGGTGATGCTGGTGGTGTCGCAGGGGTCCTCCGTGTATCGCCTGGCAGCCAAGGGGCGTTCTCTTGTGCGCCTCAGCAGTGAGTTAAGGAAGGAGGGGGTGTGCTGGGGGTGAAGAGAGGTGCGCCTGAGCAGTGTGTAAAGGAAGGGGGGGGTGTGCTGGGGGGGAAGAGAGGAGGAGAGGGGGTTAGGGGAGACGTCTCAAGGGCCTTTTGAGTTGACTCAAAAGTCACCCCTTGAGCTCCTGAGCAGTGAGAACGGGGGGCACCTGCTGGGTTTATGGGCGTGCCCATAACCATGTTCACGCTACAATGGAGTGGTTCTCTTTTGAGGAAAAAGGCCTTTCACCCTACCGTTCACGTTACAATGCTTTGCACAGCGCCTTGCGTAGTGCAAGCCGTGCGCGGGTTTAGGGTTTGGTTTTGTTTCCCTCTTCCCAGCAGGTGCTTCAGCCAAGGACAGGTCGCCACGTGGCAAGACATGCATTTTGCAGTGTGTCTCACAAACAATGCCTATGATACTTGATGCATATACAGTAGTGTACATATATGTGTGCTGTTCCTGACAGGCCATGTCTTTTTGTTTCCCGCTTCCCAGCAGGTGGCTCAGCCAAGGACAAGTCGCCACGTGGCAAGGCACATGCACACGCACACCTGCCCGTGCCGCTCACTGCTGCTCTCGCTGCCACGAGCTACAGGCGTGTGGGCAGGCAGGGCAGCCAGCTGGTGCGGGACTCAAAGGCTGCCATGCGCACAGCTGCTGGGTGAGTTGTGTGAGGGAGTGGGCATTCACCTACTATAATCTGACACCCCTCCACCCGGAGGCATTCACCTTGTGATCTTGCTGCCACCAGCGACCTACCGGCGTGTGGGCAGGCAGGGCAACCAGCTGGTGCGGGACTCAAAGGCCGCCATGCGCACAGCTGCTGGGTAAGTTGCTTGAATCACATGCACGCCCCCCTGCCAGTGCCTCTCACTGCTGGCCTAGAAGCCACCAGCTACAGGCGTGTGGGCAGGCAGTGCAACCAGCTGGTGCGGGACTCAAAGGCCGCCATGCGCACAGCTGCCGGGTGAGTGAGCTGGGTGTGAGAGTGGGGCCCTTTAATCCGAAGCCCCTCCATCAGGGAGCAGTGGGCTTGTGCTCTCGCAGCCACCAGCTAACCGAGAGGCGTGTGGGCGCTACAGGCCCACTACCCTCCCTCCTCTCACTCTTTGCCTTTCTCTCCGCCCATCCTGCCCTGCCCGTTTTTCTTCCTTTTTTTTAACCCCTGCCCCCCCACCCCCCTCCTCCCCCCCCCTTCTTCCTCCCCTCTTCTCCTCTCCTTCTCACTGTTTCTCTCGCCAGGGCCCGAGTGCGCTACAGCCTTCAGAACGCACGCTACTGGCGGCAGAAGCAGCAGCAGCAGCAGCAGCAGCAGCTGTGCCAATATTTTACCCGGTTGGGGCAGTGCAGCAAGAAGGACTGCCTTTCTTCACACCACCCACCCCCTCCCCCCTGCCCCCCTCTTTTCCTTCCCTAACCCTTCTCCCTCCTCTCACATTCAGAGCCCGGGTGCGCTACAGCCTTCAGAACGCGCGCTACAGGCGGCAAAAGCAGCAGCAGCAGCTGTGCCAGTACTTTACTCGGCTGGGGCAGTGCCGCAAAAAGGATTGTCGTTTCCTGCACGATGCGAGCAAAGTGGCGCTATGTGTGCGGTTCATAAGGGGGATGGAGTGCGACGAGTCTCGATGCAAGCTGACTCACAAGGTAATACTAGCAGATACAATCTGCTCCATTTGAGTTGACTCAAATGCAATCTGCTCCATGTACCCTTTACTTGCACCCTTCTCTACAATCACTTTCAGTCACTTGCAGTGACTGGGGTTTTGAGTCGACTCAAAACTCGTCTAAATGCAATTTTCTCCATGTAGCCTTGTCTCGCACCCTTCTCAACTATCACTTTCAGTCACTTGCAGTGGCTGCCAGTAGTGACATGCACCACTGTCTCGTCCTTACTCTTAACCAGTATCCGCACCCTGCTCTCCCCTTACTCTCTCCGTGCGGATGATTCCCGAGCTGGTGACTTTTGAGTCGACTCAAAAGTTTCTCGTCCTTACCCTTAACCAGTATCCGCACTGTGATCTCCCCTTACTCTCTCCGTGCAGATTATCCCCGAGCGAATGCCTGACTGCACCTTTCCAACAGTTAACTGTCCCCTGGCCCCGCTCCTCGCACTTTTGAGTCGACTCAAAAGTCTGACTGCACCTTTCCAATACTTAACTGTCCCCTGGCCCCGCTCCTCGCACTTTCTCTTTTCTTTTCTCTCCGTGCAGATTATCCCCGAGCGAATGCCTGACTGTACCTTCTATTCCAAGGGTGAGTGACTGTTAGGTTGATTTTTGAGGCGCCTCAAAAGTTTTTTCGAGCGAATGCACCACTGTACCTTTTATTCCAAGGGTGAGTGACTGTTAGTTAGGTTGATTCGTAGTGTCCATGTGTGTGCGTGCTTGGCATTTGGTGTGTGCATGTTCACTTGTGCTTTCGAGTCGACTCAAATGCCTTTTTTTTACCAAGGGTGAGTGACTGTTAGGCTGATTAGTGGTGTCCATGTGTGTGCGCGCTTGGCATTTGGTATGTGCATGTTCACTTGTGCTTTCGAGTCGACTCAAAAGCCTTCCTTGCCAAGGGTGAGTGAGTCTTTTAGGTTACTAGTGTCCATGTGCGCGCTTTACACCTGGTATGTGCGTGTACACCTGTGCTAAGCTGCCCGTCTAATTCTGTGTGCCCACAGCGAATGCCCGACTGCACCTTCTTTGTTAAGGATGAGTGAGTCTGTTAGGTTAACCCTGCGTGGGTGCACTTTTAGTTGTGCCTTTGAAGTCGACTCAAACTTAGACAGCACATGCCCGACCTCACCTCCTTTGCCAAGGGTGAGTCTGTTAGGTTAGCACTGCGTGGGTGCACTCTTGGCTGTGCCTTTTGTCATTCGGTTCTTTTTCAACTGCATGCACAAATGTGATTCAAGTTTGGCTCTCGTTTCACACAGTTTTTTCCTTTTGCCCGTCGTTCCCCCACCAGGCACGTGCAGCAACAAGCCGTGTGTGTATCGGCATGTGAAGCTTCCTCCAGGCACACCCGTGTGCCCTGCGATTCTCTGCTCACTTGCTCTTCCTCCGTTCCCACCCAACACCTTACCCCTTTCACCCTGACCCCCACCGCCACCACCTTCCAACACCAGGCACATGCAGCAACAAGCCTTGTGTGTATCGGCACGTGAAGCTGCCTCCAAGCACACCCGTGTGCCCTGAATTTCTCAGAGGATACTGTGAGAAAGGGCTGGCATGCACACAGCAGCACACATATGAGTGTCCCGAGTTTGCTTCTAAAGGGGATTGCGCTGCAGGCAAGAAGTGCAGGCTTTGGCACAGGAAGAAGGCAGAGGAAGGGAGTGGAAAGGGTGGGGGGAAGAAGAGAAAGAAAAGGTACTGGGAGGAGGAGGAGGGGGGAGGAGGAAGAGGGGGAGGAGGAGGACGAGGAAAAGGGTGGCAAGAGAAGACGAGTGAAGCAGGGGGGGGAGAGCGAGGGGAGTGAGGGGAAGGGGGAAAAAGAAGGGAGAAGGAGAAGGGAGGACAGAAGAGGAGGGTTGGGAGGAAAAAGGGGAAAAGTGTTCTGAAGTTTTTTTGGTGGTGATAGTGAGGAGAGTGAGGACGAGAGGGAGGAGGAGAGTGAGGAGGAGGGTATGGAGGAGAGTGAGGAGGGGAGTGAGGAGGAGACAGGGGTGGAGAATGAGGAGATTGCAGAGAAGAGTGTGGGGGAGGAGGAAGAGGAGAGGTTGGACGAAGAAGAGAAACTGAAGGTTGGGAAGGGAAGAGGGAGAAACACTTTGAAGCTTTTTGGTGGTGATAGTGAGGAGGAGAGGGAGGAGGGGAGAGAGGAGGAGGGTGAAGAAGAAGAGGAGGAGGAGAGGGAGGATGAAGGTGGGCTGGAAGGGGAGGAGGAGAAGAAAGAGGAGGACGAGAGGAGCAAAGGTGGTGAAGCTTAGAGAGAGGAGGTTGTTGAAATTGTTTGGTGAGGATAGTGATGAGGAGGAGGAGGAAGAAAAGAAGGAGAGCGAGGAGAGTGAGGAGAGCGAAAAGGAGAGTGAGGGGAGCGAGAAGGAGAGTGATTATGAACCGGAGAATGAGGAGGAAAGTGAGGAAGAGTGGGATGGTGGGGAGAGGGAGGAGCAAGGGAGCGAGGAAGAGGAGGAAGAAGAGGAAGAATAGAGGGAAGGTAAAGGGAAGAAAGCGAGGATATTTGGAAGTGAAGGAGGAGAGAAGTGAGGAGGAGATGGAAGAAAGGGAGTGGAGGAAGCAGAGGAGAGTGTGGAGGAGAAGGAAGAATGGAGTGGGGAGGAGAAAGAGGAGGGTGTTGAGGAGGAGAAGGAAGAGGGAGTGGGGAGGAGAAAGAGGAGGTGAGTGGGGAGGATAAAGAAGGGTTGAGTGAGGAGGAGAAAAGAGGAGGGGAGTGAGGAGGAAGGAAAGAAAGGCAAGGGTGCCGCGTAGGGGAAGGACGGTTTTGAAGGTCTTTGGTGGGGAGATGAGGAGGAAGATGAAGAGGAGAGAGAAGAGGAGAGAGGATGAGATGAGATGGAGGAGATGAGGGCGAAGAAGGGGGTGAGGAGAGAGAGGGGCGTGAGGAGGAAATGAAATGTTGAAGGAGAGGGGAGGGAGGGCGGTGAAGAGAGGATGGAGGAGAGTGAGGGGGCGGGGGAAGTCGAGAGAGGAAAGAGGAACGAGGGGAGGAGAGGACGGAGAGGAGAAGAGAGAGAAGATGAGAGGGAAAGAAGAGGGGTAGAGCGGGGGAAAAAGGGAGGGGAATAGAAGGAGGGAGGAGGGACTGGAGGAGATGCGTGGAGTAGGAGGAAGACCGGGTTTGAAGCGAGGGAAAAGGGTGGCGGAGAGGTGAGGAAAGTGAGGGGAAAGAGAAGAGGAAACGAACGAGGAGAGGGATGTTGAGATAGAAAGAAGAAAGAAGAAAGGAAAAGAGAGGTGAGCCGGTGGAAAGGAGAAGTGAGACGACGAGAAGGAGTGGAAAGAGAGTGAGGAGGTAGGGGAAAAAGGCGAGATGAGGAGAAGGGAAGGAGGAATCGATCAAGGGAGAAAGAAAGGAAAATGGCGGAGAGGAAGAGTGAGGAAACCGAGGAGGAGAGGGGGAGAGACGGGTGAAGTGGGAAAGAAGAAGGGAAGTGGGGGATGAAGAACGGAAGAAAGAGGGATTTGAGAGGTGGGGAGAGTGAGCAGGAGAAGGAGGAGGAAATAGAGGAGGAACAGGAGGAGGAACAGGAAGAGGATAGGGTGGATGCGAGGGTCAAATTGAGAGGGAGGAAGGGAAAGAGGGATAAGGGGTTGAAGAGAGGAAAAAGGGTGGTGCTAATAGGTGAGGAGAGTGAGGGGAAAAGGAAACGGAGACAGGTAAGGAGAGGGGGAAAAAGAGAAGTAGTAAGAAAGGGATGAAGGGGGAAAGAAGGTGGAAAGGAATGGTGGGGAGAGAGAGGAGGAAAATGAGGAGGGGGTGGAGGAGGTGGAGGAGGAGGAGGAGAGGGAGGACAAGGATGGAAGGGGGGGGAAGAAAAAAGGAAGGAAGATAGGGGGAAGAAAGTCAGAGGACGGAGACAGAGGAGGAGAGACCTGAGGAGGAACCGAAGTGGAATTGGCTGAAGAGGTGGGAAGGAAGAAAAGCAAGGATAACGGGAAGAAGAAAGGGAAAAGGGCCAAGGGAATGCGTGAGGAGGAAAAGGTGGAGAAGGGGAGGAGGAGGAAGAGATGAAGGGAGGAAGGAAAGGAGGAAGGGAGGCGGAGAAAGGGAAGAAGGGGGAGGAGGAAGGGAGGAATGTGGGAGGAGGAGGAAAGGAAGAAGGAGAAGAGGACGAAGGGGAAAGGGGTGGAGAAGGCAAAATCAGGTGGTGGGAGGAGCATGTTGAGGCACCGGGGAGCAAAGAGAGGGAGAGAGAGGAGAACACTTTTGTGGCGCCTCAAGAGCAGGCTGATGAGGAGATGGAGGCGAATCTTGAGGCACGAGGGAGCAAGGAGAGGGAGAGGGAGGAGAGGAGAGAGGCGAGGAGGAGGCGGCGAGAGAAGCGAAAGGAGGAGGCGCTTGTTGCGGCAGCTGTGGCAGCGGCAGTGGCTGCTTCTGCTAAGGATGCTGATATGGAGGCGCCTGTTACTGCTCCTATGTCGTCTGGTGTAGACCCTGCCTCAGACACACAGAAGGGCAAGGGTAAGAAGGGAGGAAAGTTGCTCCTGAGCCTGAGGCTGAGGCTGAGCCTGAGAATAGACTTCCTGACACTCCTGCTGCTAATGCTGCTGTTGCTGCTGCCACTATAGACTCAAGCCCCTTGCTTGCAGAGCTGTATCCTGCAGTGAAGGGCAAGGGTAAGGGTAAGAAAAAAGAGGAGAGTGGCTTTTGAACCTGAAGTGCCGTTTCTCTGCTGCTGCAGCTGTTTTTTTTCTGCTGCTGCTCTGCTGCTGCAAGTCTTCCTGATTTGGAAGCCACGCCTTCTGAATCTGGTGAAGCATCCCCAGCACCTAGAGGCAAGGGCAAGGGGAAGAAGCAGAAGAAGGTGAAAAGGGCCGCTGCTCTACCTGCTGCTGCCGCGCCGATGCTGATGCTGATGCTGATGCTGCTGCTGCTGGTGCTGCTGCGGCTGATGCCGATGGGGAAACCCCTGCTGCTCCCAGCCTCTCTGATGCAGCAGAAGCAGCGTCAGCAGCACCTGGAGGCAAGGAAAAGGGGAAGAAGCAGAACAAGGTGAAAAGCTGCTGCTGCTGCTGCTGATGATGATGATGCTGATGCTGCTGCTGCGGCTGCTGCTGATGCAGAAGCAGCGTCTGTACAGAAGAGCAAGGGCAAGAAGAGGAAGCAGAGGAAGGTTGTTGCTGAGTCTGAGCTTGAGAGTTCTGCTGCTGCTGCTGTTGCCGACGCTCCAAGTCTCTCTGATGCAGAAGCAGCGTCTGTACAGAAGAGCAAGGGCAAGAAGAGGAAGAGGAAGGCTGGTGATGAGTCCGAGCTTGAGAGTTCTGCTGCTGATGTGGAGGTGGTTTCAGAAGCGCGAGAGGGGGAAGCAGCGGCAGGAGCTGCTGCGGAGGTGGTTGTTTCAGAGGCACGTAAGAAGAAGGGCAAGAAGAAGAGGAAGGCTGGTGATGACTCTGAGGTTGAGAGCTCTGCTGCTGCTGCTCCAAGCTTGTGTAATGTGGAGCAAGTATCAGAGGAACCAGAGGGGAAGCAGAGGCAGCAGCTGATGTGGAGGTGGTTTTACCAGCAGCAGCGAAGAGCAAGGGCAAGAATAAGAAGAGGAAGGCTGGTGGTGGGACTGAACTCGCAAGTTCCGATGTTGCTGCTGCTGCTGCTGCTGCTTCTGCTGCTGCTGCTTCCGATGCTGATGCCATTGCTGTTAATGCTGCTGATTCTGCTGCTGCGGCTGCTAATCCTCTTGCTGGTGCCGCTGCTGATGCTACGGATGCAACTGCTGATCGGACTTGTGCTGCTGTGCCAAGCCCTGCTGCTGATTCTCCAAGTTTGGCTGTTTCTGGCGGGCAGACTGGCAGGCAGGATGCTCAGGGCATCATCAGTGCACAGGGCGCTCGGGTGAAGAAGAAATCTTTCATTGACTTTGTGAGGAGGCTGAAAGTAGCAAAAGCGGGCGAGGGCATGGGGAATGGGGGGCACAGAGGCTGCTTCAGATGCAGAGGGCGGCAGACACGTGGAGGATGGGGAGGGGGGTAGTGGGCGGAGAGGGGATGGGGAGGAAAAGAATGGGGGGGAGTGGGGATGGAACTGATGGGGTGTGATGAAAGGAGGATATGACTCAGTAGGCGACGGGGGAGACTTGCGTGGGACAGGTAGACCTGGGAAGGTACATTTGTGGCGAATGGCAGTGTGGTGCTGCATCGCAGCACCGTGCCGGTGCTTCAAATCTCGACCACCAAGCCTCACGTTGCGGGGCGATACTTGCAGGTGAGGAAGAAGAGGACGAGGAGGCGAGAAGAAGGCCGAACGGGAGGCTCGGTACGAGGCGAGCATGGTGGTGGATGGGGTGGATATCTCCCATCTGAGCCGCAAGGAGCGCAAGAGAATACGGTACAAGGCACGGCGTCGGGAAAGGAGACGACAAGAGGAGGTTGCAGCAGCAGGAGGAGATGCGGAAAGAGCAGGAAGAGATGAGGCGGATAGAGGAGATGAGGCGGTTAGAGGGGATGCAGAAACTAGAGACTACGAGGGGAGATTTTAAAGGTTGAGCCGATGGATGAGGCAGGTGAGACGATTTTTGAGGTGCCTCAAGGAGAAGGCAGCAGCAAGAGACGATGAATGGTGAGGTGGGGCAGTCGGATGAGGTGGGTGAGACTCATGAGGTGGGTGAGACTCATGAGGTGGATGAGACTCATTCTGAGGCACCTCAAGAAGAGATGCAGCAGCAAGAGACGATGAGGCAAGATGATGAGGTGGGGCAGATGGATGAGGTGGCAGAGACTCATGAGGTGGCAGAAACTCATTTGAGGCGCCTCAAGAAGAGATGCAGCAAGAAGAGAAGATGAGGCGGATGACGAGGAGGAGAGACGGAGGAGAGACGGCTGAGACGTGCAAACTGGTTGCCAGCGAGCCAGCAGATACTGTAGCTCCTGAAGATGCTGCTGCTGTCCTGCCCGCTGCTACTACTGCTGCCCCGCTTGCTACTGCTGCTGCTTGCGCTGCTTCTGAGACGTTCAAACTGGTTGCCAGCGAGCCAGCAAACACTGTAGCTCCTGAAGATGCTGCTGCTGTCCCGCCTGCTGCTACTGCTGCCCCGCTTGCTGCTTCTGAAACATGTGAAGTGGTTACCAGCGAGCCAGCAGACACTGAAGCTTCTGAAGATGCTGCTGCTGCCCTGGTTGCTCCTTCTGCTGCTCCTGCACCTCCCGGTCCCCCTCCTGCTGATGCTGCTGCTGCTGCTGCTGCTGCTGCTGCTCCTTCTCCTCCTCCTCCTCCTGCTTCTCCTCCTCTTGCCTCTCCTCCTGCTCCTCCTGCTTCTCCTCCTCCTGCCTCTCCATCGCCTCCTCCCCATCCTCCTCCAGCTTCCCTGGCTGCATACTTGTCGTCTTTGGAGTCACTGCTCGTCCCACTGCTGGTTCATCTTCTGCTCCTTCTCTTGCTCATCCTCCTGCTCCTTCTCTTGCTCCTCTTCCTGCTCGTCCTACTGCTGCTTCATCTATGTAGCAAACGGGGTCCTGCAAACTGCCTTCCTACGTCC